AATACTACTCTCCTTACAATGGACTGCAAAAATGACTACACAGTACTCCACTTCTACTGTTCCTGGGAGAATTCGTATATTCTTTCCTAATTACGACTGAATTAAACTATAGTAATGAGAGAAAAATCCTGTAAATGTCATCAATCTCCCGTTAATACTCTGCCGGTTGAGCTTTTGCCCTTGCAACAAATTGATCAAAAACACCATTTGGACCTTCCGGTTCATGAGCGCTCGCGCCTCGTAACCTTTAGAAATCATTCTGTGCACAGCGGAAAATATAACTTAACGGATACTTCTAGGAGAAATGGCTTAAGCCCAGTCTTCCTTTCTAGATAGTAAATTTTGTAGTATTGTTTACGTAACTTACGTCACGTAAGTGGCAGGTTTTAGGAGCAGACAACCCGCTAAGCGGGACTTCAACGTCTGGTCGGTAAAAAGCTAAACTAAAAAGCTACTGATCTGGCTGCGCGATACTTTCGTATATTTCTCATAACTGGTCACTTCACTCACTTCAGTCACTTGTAAACACTTTGAAGAAATTGGCCACCGGTCCATTCAAGATTGGGATGATCACCGGGATGATCGGATATAGCATTATTAGTATACAGTACAATAAGGCCGATGACTAGTTGTCCAAAACATGAGCAGAAGTGGCCAACTATTACGAAATACCCAAGTAGTAGCGCTTATATGTAATGGTGCATATCAGTGCTTTTTCGTTTTAAAATTTTCTTGGACCACTGGTCAGCTCGATGACCATCACAATGCACCAACCTTGAAGCACTCGTTGTGGTCTATCGTTTGAGCTATTGAAGTATTCTGTGGGATTCTACTGTCAGTTGTTACAAACGGCATTAGATGACATGTCGGTGCATTATATGGTTCCCATGCGTGTTAGTTTGACATGGTCATGTCCCGCTTGACCTATGGTCGCTTAAATTTTGAAAAAATTTCTTTTTCTTACTTGAATTTTTCTATTCCAGACTGCCGATTTTCAAAACTGTAGTCCCATCCGTTCTAGTATCTGGTTTTGCTGGATTTACCAACTTTACTTTTCAGCTCTAGAATCGTTTTTTTAGCTTGACTTGAACTCAGGTTATTATCACTGTCACGTTCTTTCGTATTGCTTTGCCATGTTAAAATTCCGAGTAAGAGTATAAAACGAAAAAACTTTGCAGAAGCATTTATCGGTTAACCGAGCATATTAAAGAAGCTAATTTTATAACTCCGCAAAACAAAATCCGGAAGATATTCAGAGCGACAGGCAAAGATATTAGGTACAGAATGGATTTATCAAACCAAACAACATTAAAAATTTACGGTGTCACAAGACAAATTCGGAAAGCGACATCATTGCAAAAGCCAAAAGGCACACTGAATGAGTTAAAAGTTGGTGCAAAACTGCAAATCAAAGTTCTAATTATAACGCGTGCCGGATGATAGCTCACGCTGACGCTCAGATTTCCCACGTCTGCTGAGAATTTCTCGTTCAGCGTTCATCTTCGCCTCCCGGTTAAATTATGGATTTTTCTGCTTCTGTCTGTTGCATCTATTACGTTTTCCAGGGCCTACATCAGATTCTGAAGGTTGCCAATTGCTATTTCAAGATCCCTTAAAGCAAGACTGAGCTTTTCCACCTACAAGCACAAGAGTCATGGACTCAAGAAACGCCCTACAAAAGCTGTTCCAAGAACCACAGTACGAGTACAGAAGATACTAACCTCTTCCGACAGCGATTTGAGCTGCTCCCTTAATTTATGTTCTCCTTTCATGAATAGCCAGAACAGGTAGACGCAAAATATGAAGCAGACGAAAAGAGTTGCTCCAAGAAAGTATGCTGCAATATCACCTCTTCGAATTTCACTAAGCGTAAGTGAGTTTGTTAGTGGCGGCGTCAGTCCCAGCCATGCTGGTGCAAAACAAAGCCAAGCTGTCGGATGCAACGCCCCGCGGTGCATAAATACGGATATGACAGTTTTCCTGTAACAAGTATATGGAAATGGATTAGTGCGTCGATATGATACACTCACCAGGCCAACAACTGCGTACTGTAACTGAATACACTTTTTGGCGAGCTAAGTTTTTCTTGAAAAATGCTGCAAGTCATAAAATTCTGAAAACACCGGAATATGTTACTTGCGTTCGTGCAAGCATGCTAACAGTAAGACTGGATCTGCTGGTAACCACGAGCTTTTTCCACATCATAATTATGGCGTACGTAATATTGTGAACAAATGAATTTGGAGCTAAATCCCATTTGTACATGTGCTTCTTAAAATTTATTGACCCTGCTCATCGAGAATTATAACAGAAACTGCTCCAGCCACGATCGCAAGCAACTTTCAGACTTTCCCGCCATTGTCCGAGTACTCAGTTCGTCCAACAGGCGATGTCAGCATTCAGCACCATGAATACTGTACTGCAAAAACAAAAACTATTTCAGGTAAGTACTGTATTGCCACGAAATTATTTACTTACTAAAAGTAAGTACAGAACACAATTTTTAAAAACAAATTAAGGACCAGGCTTGGTAGAAAGGAATCCAGAGTCCAGACTACGGATATAGTATAGTATTTTCCCAGATGAATGGCCAATTCGTGATTCTCGCCGAGACTGCAGACTGGCAGTGTGTCATTTTGACGTCACTAACAAACAGGGATTTTGGAGTGCGCCAACAGGAGAATTATGCATTCGCTCTGTTTCTGTTCGTGTTGACGTGTACTGGCGTCCCTTAGTACACATCGGTACTACTTTACTACTTCTTCCCTTACAACTAAGGCTTAGGCTTTACTACATCTTCTACGCGAGTCCTGACCCCGAGTCTACTTCGACTTCTCAGAAATCCCCAGCAGAGAACTTTGACCGCGACTTGCCATTTCGATGACCGCGCTTCGATGACGTAAACTCAACCTATTGTTCTAGTGGTAGTTGACCTGATGTTCTCATTAGTCCACGTGTAGTGATGCAGCGGTGTGATTAGTCCACGTGTCCTCAGACGTCTCTTATTGGTTAGCGTGTAAATCCCTATTGTTCTCAGACCCGTACCTGCGCGTACGAAGAGCCAGCACTTGCGGTTTGGCTATATAAGGCGCTCGACCGCGAGTGAAATGTCAAGAGTTGTAATCCCAACAAAGTAGAGTCTTGTTACTCGATCTGATTAACTTCAGGCTTTTGCTCTGGTCTTCTCTTTCCAAGTGAGGCTGTTCAAACTGACCTCTGGGTGACCTTTCACCTATTGTCAGGGGTCATTCCTCTATCTCGTCGACGTGCATTATCATCTTCGGATAATCTCGTGACGTAACAGGTTACCCATTTGATCCCACTTGATTTGCCGTGACCTTTCGGTCTCATCATCATCTTCATGCCCTGTAGCGCCAGGTTGATGGATATCTCTTATCGCTTCTGCTAACATCTAGCGTCGGACAGGTAACGTATACTTCTCCGTCGTGTATTTCTCGTGTTTGCAGGACCCGGACCTCTTCTTCTTTCCTTTCCTACTTCATACCAGATCAACGTAATCTTCTACCATCTTCCGTAACAGTTTGAGACAGAGTCGCTCTATCCGACTGGACGTGGTCGGACTAGTGGATACGGTACCCACTTCACTGTGTTAGGTCTTTAATTCGTCTTTAATTCACGTGCTAAAATTTTCGAGGCGGTAATGCAATATCGTGGCCATAGCACCTGCGCTAAATTTAAGAATACCGTAACCATTTTATCACACATTTTTCCTTGTTTGCAGAGAATGGTTTTTCGTAAATTTTCATGTATCTGCCCAATTTAATAACAACATAGTTTGCAGAACGCGCACTGTTTTAAAAAGTGCCGGGATAAGCACTTGTTGTTGCGGGCCTACGATGACTTCCCGGCGCACCGTAGGCGCACGGCTGCCAACCGCCACAGGGTACCATCCTGGCGAGAATCGTCAATGGCTGCAACAGACCAGCAACGCTACGGCCACAGTCTGATATAAATTCATACAATACGTATATATAAATTCATGTACGGTGACTATGTACCAGATACCTTTAATAGGCGACCGCTTTGGGTAGACGGTCAAGCAACTTGGAAACATGCACTCGAGTCTTGACTCGGACTGGTTGCGAAATCACACACCTTTTAAATTTTTCGCTCGACTTTCAAGACTTTTTTCGGTTTTGTCTCCTTAAAATTCATTCGAAAGCTTTGTTTATGACTTTATGACTCTCTTGTTCTCGCAAATATTTAGTTTGACTTTATTTTTAACGGACGGTTACGAGCCTTAGCCCATAGCGTAGCAAATTCTATCACCATGAGCATATTAAACACGAACGACACCGTCTCCGAAGGCGATACCGTTATTGTGCACGTGGATTTCGCGACACTACTCTCCGTGCGCGTTGATCCCACGGTCCGCGAACCGACCGTCCAGACGAAATACGGTGCGATCCCGTATAAAAACCTCATCGGGCACAAGTACGGCACCAAGTACCATTGCAAAAAGGGTTATGTTTTTATCCTCCGAGCCACGCCGGAACTGTGGACGAAGACCCTGCCATTTCGCACGCAGATTCTGTACTTGCCCGATATCAGTATGATCATCATGCATCTGGACCTCCGACCTGGCTGCATGGTGGGCGAATCGGGTACGGGATCTGGGTCCCTCTCGCACACTATCGCCCGCACCATTGCGCCTCACGGACATCTGTACACCTTTGACTACCATGATCTTCGTGTACAGCAAGCGGAGAAAGAATTCCTCCAACACGGCCTGAATCATGTTATCACGGCCCGCAAAGCCGACGTGTACGCCGAGGGCTATCTAGAGCTGGACGGTATTCTCGATGCCATCCTGCTGGATCTTCCGCGACCGTGGGTGGCGGTGCCAAAAGTCAAGAAGGCGCTGAAAAGAAGTTGTGGCGGAGCGCGCATAGGCTCGTTTTCACCGTGTATTGAGCAGGTGCAGCGGACTTGTTTGGCATTGAAGCAGGAAGGTTTTGCGGATATTGTCACCCTGGAGTGCTTGATGAGACCACTGGAAGTTAAAGCAATTACGGTGAACTGTTGGAATGAGCCCAAAGAGCCAGAGGCCGCAGCGGAAGGTGGAAAGCCGTTGAAAAGTCCGTTTTCGCAGACGACGTTCCCGGCAACGATTGTGCCGGGAGATGTTCCCGGTCATTCCGGATATCTTACCTTTGCATCTTTATTTTAGGTTTTAGATAACTGTTAAGTATAGATTTGTTTTTAAAAGTTCACCGTTACTGAATCCATGGTTGCTGCCTTTTTTTGGAGCCTTTGAATGCTTTTTTTTGCGAATGATCGTATGTTTTGAGCTGTGTTTATGCCTCAGGAAGATTAAAAAAATTCGAAACATTTTTGCTGTTGCTTGAGCCATGAACCTCTTGCGAAGTTGGAAAGGTTAGTTTCCGTCTTATTTTCGTAAAAATCTTTGCCGACAAGTGTAATGCGTTGTTATCGGACTTACTTGGTCGGAGTTGACCAAGAAATTTATAAATTTTATCATCTTGGACACACCGCATAGATACAAACGTCCTGTACGAGTAAGTACTTACTTTATTAACAAATTCGAATTTTACAAACGGTAACCACATGATATTGTGGACAATACATGCATGCTTCTTCGTCTGTTAGATAAAACAAAATACTCAACAAAACTTACAACGTTACTCGTAGGTGATATCAATTCTAAAAGGAGGGTGCACCAAAAATGTTCAGTTTTCACGTACACAGCACTGAACGGCCGAGATCACCACAAGCAGCACCTATTTATACGTACACGAGAACTGCACCCTATCACCATTCCCCGCACAAAAAGAGCCCTGAGACAGTGGATATACGACTATAAATCAGCACTGTATGCGAGTTAGTGTAAAAACTAAAAAACCGCGAAATACCGTAAATAATACCGCAATTTACTCGGAAGGGGAATTATCAAGAGCAGGATCCGGTTGGACAGAAATTCTTTGATCGTTGTCCGTGCTGGGTTCCAGCGGTTCCTCTAATCGAGGATATTTTACAGGGGTACCGAGACTTCCCGTCGAACTGCGGCGCTTCTTCTCCGGGGTTCCTTCTTCCGAAGTGAGCTCCGAGAAATCAACACAGGGAGCAAGCGGCGTTCCTTCGTGTGCGTCGACTTTCTTTTCACCGTTTTCTGCTTCCGGCGTCGTGGACATTTTCTGCACCACCACGACGTTTCGCGCCGCAGAGTCGGCGGACATTACGACGCAATCTCCGCATAAATTCTCCGGCGTGAAATCCATGCAGTCGTCATAATGGAAAACTGATGCACAACCGTAGCACCGTCGCATCCGATTTCGTCGCTGCTTTATGCCGCACAACTTGCACTGTTCATTGCCGATCCGGCGTTCCCATCGGATGCAGTTATCCAACAGTTTACACAGGTAATAAATCCGCGACAAATTCATTGTCTCTTCGACAACAGTCTTCCAGGTTTTCTCCATCATTGTGTGGAATTCTTTATGCATCAGTACCGGAGAGATGGCCGAAAATACCCAGACAATGAACTGCTTAAATTCAGCCAAATCGGCACAGTCCAACTTTTCTTTCCAATCGGGATCAACCGATTTAATTAAAAACTGATTGTCGGCCAAATCCGCGAAAACTTTAGCGAAAAAATCTTTCAAAATCGCCAACAACCCTTCAGCAATATTGGGCAGAGGTCGTGCCGACGTCTGGGAGAGCTTTTGAATATCGGCTTGTAAACGCATTTTCAAGCGGCCTTCCCTGATACCCATGGGATTCAGTTGAGCAATTAAATGCGGAATACTTTTAGCATCGTACATGGTCCATGCATTGGCAGCGGAGGGAGGGAAAATGAGACGCGAATCACACTTGCGATATTTCCCGTCCGGCTGGAGATAATAGGGCTCCTGTGGACGGTTGGGATAGACAAAATTGCTCAGCACGGTGGGTAGAGGATTGGCCGTCAGATCCAATTTCTTTGGATACACCGGGGAAGACCAGCCAGATTCTACCAAAAGCCCGGAACAGAGTTCCGGAAAATGCCAGTACCGGTTGAATTGTCGATCGTATCCCAGGCAGTCCGAGTGCGACATGTAACCGGAAAATATCTTGGCTTCCTAAAACACAAACACCAATACTTTTCTTTTCGAATGAAAAGCATCAAAACATAGTTACGTATCACCATTTCGGGATATGACTTACTCCGTGTGATGGCAGTTCTTCTCATTTCAGATTTTCAATATCAGTAAGAACAATAGAAACTGCATTACCTCGCCCTCCGTTTCTGCTTCCACTTTTTCAGCATTCAGCTTTTCAATATCTTTGGTCACCGTTTTTATTTCATCTGTGGAAAACTACCATGTAAGAAGCCGCATACGTTTAGCACATACACATGTCTAATTATCGTTTATACCACTTATGTACGTCCTTTCCCGGTCTTCGGAACGGGTTGCCTTCGAGCGTTCATCGAACAGTTTCAGTTTTTCTTCCATTTCTGCAAAGAAGAAAACTGCATTCTTAACTCTCTTCAGTAAAGTTCGATGTACCACCCGCGTTGGTACTGATAATCCGAATGATACAGACTATAGAGTTGATACTAAGAAATATCGTAAACAACGGAACAATTAATTACAGTAGCATCATAATGATCAATAACGATTATCATTATGCGTTCACGTACAGTGCTTTCTGTGATAACATTATCATTATTATATCATTATTATTATTATTATTATCATTATAATAAACGTGCTGGTTCTTTGCAAAATTCACAATAAGTAAACTCGAAACAAGCGATGTAAGTACACTGAGTGCACCGTCTGTGTATAATATAAAACTTTCCGCGTCGGCGTAATAAACGTACCTAAAAGTGCAAGCTCTCTGGCTCGAACAGCAGCATCCAATCTCATTCTTTTATCCCTAGAGCCGAGCAAATCGAAAAAAAAACATTGACAAATTATGTATGCTGTGATCAGTAGTCCATAAAGCAAACGTTAGGGCCAGTTCCAAGTCATAGCACAAACAATAAAAACTTAGAGAGGAAACAGTTAGAGGATTGCTTACATGGCTTGTGCACATTCTTGTTCCAGCCTTCCTAAGCACGCGTTCACAAATCCGGTGTCCTGAATCAAAATTTTGTGGGCCATGTTGAGAAGCATAATTCGCTCTTCAGGAGTGAAATCAGCTACGTCGACATATTTCAGCTTTTCCAATATAACAAGAAACTGAAAAGCGAGGTCCCAAATGTAACAATGCAAAAATCTGCCTAATCCACAGTAACTTGGAAAATACGGTCAACTAACAAAAGCAGTTAACAAAAACGTCGTCTCACCTCTTCTGGATACGGGATTTCTTTATATTTTTTCACCACGACCATATACTGCCGCAATGTTTCACACGCGAGGATATGGTCACCAGCTAATTTTTGCACACTGACAGTAAATTCAGGAGGAATCTGAAAATCAAGACGTGAATCAACGACATGCTCCGTGTAAATATCCGAAATTAAGAGTAAAAGAAATGCAGATCAATTCTGAGGTACAACAGAAATTTTCAGGGTTTCCATTCTATTCGATTTCAGCTAAAAACAGCCTTCGCACTGAGAAATGTCTTTGTTTTGCAGCAATCGGAAGAAAAATCAAAAATAAAATGTTTACCTATATGTAAACCATTCACATTCTGAACGAACAAACTCACATGTAGTTTAGACTCAAAATCCTTTCGCTCATCAAACGCCCAAACAAACCAATTCAGGACAGATAGGTATGCCCCAATATTGCCATCTCGTAACAGCACCGCATTAACGAGAAATTCTGAAAGTATCGAAAGTTAAAAGGTGCACGTTCTCATATTTCCGTGGGCAATGGCTCACCATAGTCAAAGCGTTTCCGCTTATTGCGCGTGGGTTTATGCTCATACTGCAGGATTTCGATAAACCGCCCGATACTTAATAAGTCCCCAACTTTCGTTGACGACACACCGGGAACCTCCATCGGTTCAGGCGCTGGTAAAGGCTTCCACACAAACTGTGTATCTTCATACACCTGGTAATGCCAACGCATGATACAATTAATTGCAAGTATGGAAAACAAGAAAAATGTTGATTAACAAAATGTCCACTTACACATCGTAGTTTTTCTAAATCTTTAACAACCTTCTTTTCTTTTTCAACAGAACAGCGAGCAGTTAGTCCGCTCAATTCATATGCTCCAACAAGATTCGTCCATATCGTACTTCTGGGAAGACTGTAAACAACATTCAAAAATGAGTATGGCAAACAGTAAACACGCATTCAATAAGATCAAAACAAACCAAGAAAATCAAAACGAGCCAAATTTTACAACCAATGTGGTCGATTAACCACCCTAGCACACTGTAAATACTAAGACACAAACGCTGGCGGTAAATGTCTTCAGTTTCTAGCATTTTTCGAACAAAAGGGTTTCTTTTTCATTTCAATTATCTTTCAGCTCCGATCTATATTCTTAACTGGTTTAAAAATTATCCAAAGAACGAAGAACCATTACCAACAATCAACCAAAGCGCACTTCGGCCACAGAAAATCTTGAAAATTCGTTGAAGCCTTACATAGACAGCAAAGGTAAAACTTCCGGTTTTCCTGATAGTACTACAACGTCGTTCGGTTTGGCCACAGCACTGGAAACCGCACTTGTATCCCGCCTATCCGCCACTTTGACGATTTTGGTGGGCCGCACCGTAGTGCTAGTTGTGGGGGCAATGGACACCTGAAAATAACAAATTATTGGTTTGTCATAACAAATAATCGGCTATGGATTCGTTTTGTAGTAGTAACATTTTAAAATTTTTACACATTTCACACATGCACTAACACACTTCAACACATCACCCCAAAATATGTGCCAATTTTGTAGAAAATCTCACCGGTAGAATTGGCACTGTGGATGAGATAATGCGATACGAAGTGGTAGGCAAGACTGTGGATTGATTAGAGAACGCCACCGCAGTAGAAACGCCACCACTACCATTCTGCGCAATTTGAGTAATGGACAGTGCTTTTTTGGAAGTGTCCGATGACAACGTAGTCTAACCAGAATTAAAGAATTTGAATATGCTGCGGGTGTCCCAACAAGCGAACATGATACAAATTAGCATTATTTTCGAATGGTGTAGACTGTAGAATAGTTCTGATGAACTAATATTTTTTCTAGCAAATTAATGTCATTTCTTTAAGTGTGTGTCTGTAAACACCGCATGTAAATCAGTAAACAGTTTGAATACAATAATACAATACTAGCAAAACTTAAGCTTTTACATACTTACTTACTTTTACAGTAATAGCAACATGTACAGGAGTGAGAAACAAAACGATACCCAATTTTTAAATCCAGACAAACTCAGTTAAACTGAAAGAAATAAAAATTTCTTCTGTACTCTATTCGAAGTCCATCCAATAAAAGTAAATAAAATATTGACTTCGTAAGTTCATATTGTGTCCCGTCAAATTATACCCAGAAGACGTCGAACAATAGGCGAAACTAAGAGTACGGGGAAATCAGCCCAGATATAAATAATTCGAAGAGCCTTTTACGAAAGGTAGTAGAACATAAAAATTCTTTTCCCGCAAACACCGAATAATTTTCTAGATAGAAAAGCCCGGGCAAACGAAATTTTAAGAGCAACCGAAAGCCACTGTTCTACGACCACCTAACGGCTAAAACACATGCGTATTCAAAACTTGAATCAGTAAGTACTGCTCGTAATTTTTAGCTATTATTATATTATAGTAAAATTTGCATGAGGACAGAGTAAGTACTATAATGTATAGTTTCATCATTCATGGCTACGACTTACCCCTGGAGCGGGGATAACGATGACTTTCGGGGCATCCGGACCACTCACCCGATTGAGGGCGAACTTCTGCGTGCCAGCCTTGCCCGCCGTACCAGCCTTCCCGTCGTTCAAGGCCACCAAACGGAAGACAGACTGTACAGTCTGCAGGCCATTCGTGCTGGCAGCCGTACTCCCACTGGCGCTTCCCTCCTTGGCCTCAGAGTTCGGGGCAAGCTGGATAATATAACTGGGTCGAGCATTGCTTTTATCCGCACTTCCTTTGCTGGACGAAGGAATCGCAGTGGCGTCCACGGGAAGCAGATTGACGAAGGAAAACGTGCCCGCTTTCTCCGCGGTATTACTTCCGTTGGAGTCATTGGACATTAGGCGAAGTCGGGGGGAACTCTGGGGAAGATACATCTTCCTGGACTTATCCTGACTGTTTCCCGAACCCGAAGATTTGTTCTGATTGGAGATCGTTCTGGTTTCCAGGAGTTTTCGCGGAGTATCCGATGCACTGTTGGCTGGCAGGGCATCGCTGATTAACTTTGCCGCAGACGATAGCGTCTCACAGATCTCGGAATTAGCCGTCGTGTTCAACGCGGTGTCTTCCTGATCATCCATGCTCACCAAGGAAACCTGGAGCGTCACACTGCACGGCTGTACCTGACGACAAGTAGAGGTGGATTGTTATGCTATGGCCCAAAGCCAAATGGCCTAAGTGGCTAAGCGACTAAGTCGCATCAAAATATTAAAATATAAAGATCAATTAATGATCATAAATCATAAACAGCTGTTTCCGAGAGGAAATCAGTTTTCATCAGATACACACACCTTCGAATGCAAATGGAGGGGATCGTGTGGATCGATTTCCCACAGCTGCACTCGTACTTCTACTTACGAAGAAAAAAAACAACAGTCCAACACCACCAGTGTAATATTTCCCGTAATGAAAAAATGTCCCAATAGTGTACTATGTACCGTACTAATAACAGCCCGCCAAAAGAATAACAACAAAACACCAATCCCGAACGGAATCCAGTTCCGGGTGACTTTTCGATTGTTTTTAGACTTCTGAAGCGCAGGATCTACCGAGAAGCCTGAAAAAGGAGACCAAAAAGGGAGTGCGTTAAGGTCGCTGGGGAGTGCATGTAATCGCACATGTTACGAGGGTGGTGATACTGGTGCTGCCACCACATCCGAATTGGTCGGAGCCGAACTGAGCTGACGGTTCCGGTTCAGGCGGCGGCACCAATAATTAACCATTCCACGGTGGACATTGTTTGCGACATACTCCGTTCTTTTATATTAACAAAATTAAAAGAAGCATCGGTTATTCATTACGAATATTCAAAAAGGCAGAGTACCAAATCATTACAAAGTGATCGTTAGCTACCAAACTGCTTTCAGCTATGGACCGGGCAGCCGACACGAACCGTGGGTGCGAGCCATTTCAACCAAACCGTATTTGTATGGAAAGTTGCCAAGCAGAAACGCTCACACACACAACAGTCGTCAGTCACACACACCGGTTTGCCAGCGCTGACTTGTTCCGCGTTTCGCTATGGTTCATCGTCCACGCGCTCGATATTCCTATGAACCGAACTGAAAGTGCACAGTACCGTCACGGCAACGACAGACGTCGACAGTCAGCCTTCACAATATGGCTGCCTTTATGTCAAAGCAAGCCTACAAAGCGTCTGGAAGCGCAGCATTTGTTCAAAGGCCACAAACAAGCGTCAAAACCAGCACCAGGTCACAGTCTCGGAATCGTCGACCATTTCGAGAAGACCCATATCGCGTTTCTGCCGTACTTGGTGTATGTCCTAATACTTGTACTGTGCATTGTAGTTTCATGAGATGTAGATTGACCTTTTACTATAGCGAAAAGCCATCACGTCGCTTTAGCCTTTTCTTATGCAGACAGGTTCGTCCTAAACAAATGACACCTTTTTTCTTACCTTGTCTTTATCAGGGTTTGATGGAAGTGCTTTGATAATCGAGTGTGGTTAGCCCGAGCCGCGATAAGGGCGCACTCATCTGATGCAATATCTCATAGTCGTTGTCGAAAAGCTAACACAACTACCGACGGCTACCGTCGTTCACATTTCCAAGTCCAGTTAATGCAACTGACAGTGAGGCAGTAATTGTTCCAGACCGACGTGCGTTATTTGCAACAGTTGCTCTGCTTGCTCGGATAGAACACCAAGGCACTGCGCTTTTGTTGACACTTGACACGACCGTGTATAGGTGTCTGTGCGTGCCCGTCCTGCCCTTTAATAGATAAAGGGTTTTGAATACGACGAGGCTGCTGTCCTCATCCTTGGCGACCGACAATAGCGGGAGTGACTGGTGCAAGATCATCGCACATTAGCGGCGAATTGTCATAATGTTGCCATTGTTCACTGGACAGATCCTGGTGACTTCTCTATTTACAGGAATAACAGGATACGCAGCGGGGAACGGTGTGTCCAGTGTTCCATAACAGTCTTCGGTCTGGTCTTTAAATTTAATTTGTTCAATTGACTTTATTTCGTTATTAATGCTGCAGTACCTGGCCGCGGCAGTGCGGCTGGAACTGTATTTGAAGGTCTTATTGTTTGGTCTATAGACACATTACATTTTGAACAACAGCGAAATTCCATCTAAGACTTAGTCACAAGTCATCCGTAGTAAACTTATGTGAAACTACTGTAATATATTGCGACATACTATACTGCCCACTGGCTATTGCTTAATTGTGTTGTTGTACGAGCACTCTAGAACTTTGCACATTTCGGGAAGCTGGACGAAACTGAACTGATGCGCATAACCTAACACTTATAGAATTCTTGTCAGAGCAAAAGTGGTTCTCACTCTTGGAACTTGGAAGTAAGAATAGCGATCAGCGAAAGACTTTCATGATTTATTCAGAAGCGAAGATACTCGTAGATAAGCTGCACTTTGCTGCTCAAATGAAAGATGCAAGCAATTTCCAGAGTTTGCCTCGATCCCGGCAGCCTACATGGACCCACTGCCACATCAAGCTATCGAAAGCACATTTTTTACAATTAGTAGTCACGTAAATCCAGTTCTTCTTTCCCCGTAATGTGATTTCATCAGCTCGACTTTCCTTGATGTTATTAGACTTGTTTTAGAGTTTGGGCGTACATGGCAATTTGGCAGTGTCCTCCTGTTTTGCTTGAAGAAGTTTTGGCTTACGATCTTAATTTGTACTTTTGGTGCAGTATCTACTCGTATATCTATTCTGTAATAGGGACTGGACGGGACAGTCTGTCCACAATTCGTTGTCTTTGTAGCTTGCAGTTTATGCTTCTATGGAATTTAAGCAAACTGCTAAAGAAAAGGAAATAATAAGCCTATGCGAAATGCGTAAAAAGAATCCATTTAAGCGTTTCCCTGACCAAATCGGCCCAACGGTTATTGTACAACGCGATCAGCAATGCCAGTTTTATTTTAGTTCGGGAACGTAAGATTTCGATTCGTATGGTTGTATGGACAGAAGCGCCCATTGGCTTTTAACTCTGCAGAGAACGTAACGATTTAATGTAGATTATCGATGATGCTATTTTGTATCACGTTTGTTTTATACCTACGATTCTGCGACCATCCCATTCAAACCTTTGTCCACGGGCACGGATTGCTCGTTTTGCGCAGATTGCGCTTACGGTTAGCAGCGTTTCTTAAAACGGCTTAAAACTGAAACAGCTGAATTGCCTAAAGTGAAACCGCTAAAACTGAAGCACGAGGAATCATTACGACCATAACACTGATTCTGATTACGAGTAGGCATTAACCAGCTAGTTAATGTTATCACACTTTACTCGCATACGGTGCAGCAATATTCTCGAGAGGTTGGTCAACGGGTCCCTTAAATTCAATTCTAACAGTCTAAACAGAAAACAAATCAAAGCATCATCCTTTCCTTCGGTTATATAAAGGGCATTGTGATATCATAGCCAGTATACCGGGGTAGTGGTTTCCAAATCCTTCGTCTTTTCGCTCTTTTCAAACGGTATAGTGTGTCTAAATATACCTACGTTGATAATGCAGCTCATGGTCAGCTCTGACTTGTTCTGTGTGCTCACATATTTACAGTATGCCACCGTTGTATATATGGCGCAGGCGTCTGACCTGTGTCCAAATCGACCGAACAACCGACGTAGCTGAAACCAGTGCCTACTGCCTAGTGCCTACATTACAGTTACAGCACTTGTCTAAACCGGCCCCTTATAATATGGCGTACATAACTCTAATAGTGTAAACGGTTTACAAGCACTTTTCATGCACAGAAGTTGATATAACATCATATAAGTATAGATATGCTGGTATGCACACCGTATGTTTTTCGTTCTCTGTCTTCACGGAATTACAGGGACAGCATTATTATTATAATTAATAATATTATAAGACCGGCACCACGTACAGATAACCGTCTTTAAGTTTTGCTTTCCATGTACTTTTCTGTTTTGGAGTGTTGCGTTCTGTTCCAGACAGATTCTGTACAAATACTATTTGCGGTGTTTAGTGTTTACACTAGCTAACCAAAATTTCGGTGAGCGATATGCTGTACACTTTCAACCATCGGTCACAGCACTAACCACGGTACGCATGCGGCGGTGCAATCGGATGCAGCATGCATCGTGATCGGTTTCAAAAGCTGGATGAAAGTACGAATCTTTCAACTTATTTTCTATTTGCGCAAAAATTATACCTGAACGTTTTAAATGGCTTCGGACTGTATCATGACCACGTAATGTTCTGTGTTCACACAGCTAGCAAATGACATTTATCCCTAAACACTACAAACCTCCATAACTACATCGGAAGTTGCCAATCTAGACCGCTCCTATTGTGTCATAAAAATCTTAACGGTAACATGATTCAGCTAGCGTTGTGATCGATTCCGGCATTTGATGTGTATATACACTGCTCCCCGGTGTGTTTAACCAGGGAACATATCCAAAACATGGCAGAGTTTTTGTACAAAACATGTGCCACTAAAATAGCGTTGCATGTTTATTTTTGCCCCCCGTGCGACCGGCCATGGCCGTCACTTTCTTGATTAATGCACACACTACCGTGGAAATGCGCGCGGTGTACGTGGAATTTGATCTCAATTACTACTTTCACTGGGCAAATAATTCCATGCCCAACTTTTTGCCCCGGCGCATTGTACACGGGACCGCTTCATTATATTTCCCACCGAATTCCACTTCCGGTTAGACGATGGTTAGCGCACATACACGTACCACACACGTTCGCTCTATATGCGTGTACTGTCATATTGCACACGATATGAATCCTGAAAACATGACAGACATGTTTCTGGCTCATGCAGTAAAATATATCTGGCGAGGCACACGAAACGCACCCAGCATCCTGCACCAATTAGTCACTCGTGAAACGAGGGGACCAAAATGTTCTTGATATGCGCGCCGACAAGAGAGAATCAACAAGCGTATTAGAATTTTGTGATTTGCCCAGATAGAAAAGAAATTTCTCCTCTCTTTCTCTCTCTTCGCTAACTCTCTTCATCATGGCGCTTCTTCTGCTTGTCCGCATGTTTGAACGGTCTCATCATCAAAAAACCAACAAGATAACCGGGCCAACTTATGCTTGAATGATCCTATCGGCTGCTAGCGTCTTATGCCAACTGGACCCGAGCGGAAATCGATGGACGGATATTCGAACATGGCACTACTGTGTTTGTCTTTCCGTTAACTGCTTGAGTTATCCATTGTGACGGATAATGTGGACATTATAGGATTTGGATGGCAATTTGCAAGCAATAAAACGGCAGACCGATTAACCGATGAGATCGGATGCGGAACTAATAGAAGACTGAAGGTACGAAAACTAGAGCATTATGATCAGCTGTGCAAGTATACGCTATGGATAACGTAAATATGTTCGGGATACTCTGTACATGTGTCTTTCTTAAGTTATAAGTGATCCCAGAACGTAAGAACCGTTCTACATTACATATAAGATATCGAACATCACTGAATCAAGAAAATACACCATTATTGACACTCTGCTATTACAGGCAACATCGGCCTTTTAATTACTAAAATTATATGAGATGTGCGTATTTCTCCGACGCGCTTTTGCGGCGTATCATCCCTTTAAACGATTAAAAACAGCACAGACGCAAGCAAAAGGACGTGTTGAATGAAAATTAGTACCACAGCCGCGTGAAATCACAGGCATACCGCTGTGAAAACGTAAATTATGCTGACATTTAAAGGTCAACCGTAAACAATCCGTATGTACTTTTTTTGTATGTGAATCCTGGTATGTTATTGAGAAATAATCCTTTTTTTAAAGAATGTATCTTTGTTTGTCCAAATGATGTGCGGTTATCTGTTCACAATCGCCGGAACAACTACTGCAAAACTGTTATCTCCAAGCTGACTGTATTGATAATTTAATCATCGGCCGTAGATACTAGATGCGCAGTATTATTACGCACGCGTGAGCGATTAAGACATCAACTTTTCATGTTCAGTCCATTGCAAATTACTAAAACTAAAAAGTGTTCAAACGTCGATGCATACGCTCAAACGATCCATTTTTTTACGTTTTGTATATTGTTGTAATCTCTTATGCCCATTTCTTAGTTGGGGAACTTGAGCTTTAAATAAAATTTTAGTCGATCTGCTTATAGCCGGAAAACGTAGCATGCATCGAAGGAAAGAAGTGCACTCATTTTTAAAATTAGCAGAGCATCGAGCTATAGTACCGATAGTTATATAATTTTTCTCGCAAACGTTTCTCTTCCAAGACGATCCTGATAAAGCGCTGATCGCATTCGATGATGTCTCATTATTTTTTTAGGAACGAAAAATATAGCAATACGTAACTTGGTAATGAACGTTCAGTGAACTTGAGAAACCTCCAGTAGGTCCATACATAATAAAACAGCCTGGTAAGTCGGATGGTGGCTAAAAATATCCTGTCACGATGTGATCCAGCGCGCCATAAGTTCAGACTCTCATGTCAAACTTTAGTAAACATATTTTCTCATGTCCACTTTATATCGAAATGTCAGGATCATGCGCGACGGCAGTGGAATACCGATGCGCTTGATGAGTATTACGTATATTACGTATAATATTGAGCCTTCCTATCCATAAGTCACATTTCTGCATGGTACACGTTTTCCTACTTCCGGTTTGAGCAGCTGCTGATAGAAGTTTTGCCATGCTTTCGTAATTAATATTGCGCAGCGAACAATCAGCTGGGCATTCCGCAACACATAAAGTAGGAGTTAACATAATTTAACCAAGGCAAAATAATCGCATTCGTGCTGGATAGTGGATACCCGTTGCGGTATGCACATTTTAGGTTATGTGTATGTGTAACAATTTGTATGTGTATGTGTAACAATTTATAAGAAAAAGTGCAAAATTTTCCAAACAGGTAGTGCAAGATGCAAATTTTTGAAATACTAAAATAATTTTGGTAACTGAAACAAGAAAACTTTAACTCACTGTAAAATCGTTAACGTCACCGTCGCAGACTTACACCGTCAATATACTGTAGTTCAATAATGTGCGTCTTATTTTGGGTTGATATCATCGATGGGCATTTTATCGTGGTTTCTAAACACGATGCTAACTTCCAGGCGGCACATTTCAATGTGCGTTATTAGAATTCCTTCTTGTTACAACTTTAACGTAATCAATCTAAATGGATTTAATGTACAAGCGTTCTGTGCGTAATATGTGCGTCGATCGATTTAAATTGCGCTTGTACGAGTAAGTTAGTATCATGCAGCTGCAAACACTAGTTGCTCGTAAAAATTTAAACCATTCAAGTGCAACACAATCTTTAACCAGTGCAGCATGCGCACTACATCTTTATTTATTATTTATAACGTTTACATTTGAACGCAACGCAAAAGTTGTGGAGAAATATTTAACAGTATTCATGCACAATTCAGTTATCGCCAAAACATCAAAACAGCGGATTGCCCCCAAAATTACCTGTGCGCGCTTCTGCTTTTATTGTGTAGTATATACATTATCACATTAACAGTGCCGGTAGTATGCAGTAGAAGTACGCTTAATTGTTTTTGCTTTTCCCGGATACGCTTATGTCAAGTTATCGACACGGCTGATTTGCAGTTTCTGCAGTTTCTATAAATAAGACGTGCTCGTTAGTTATGATTGATTATTTAATTAATTTAGCACCTACAGACTCTGTACACTGAACGTTCTTTACAATTTCACAATTCATGTACTGAAAAAAAGGAGATTTGTTTTCATATAACTGTATAATCAAATAGCCATGTTAAACTGTATTGCACTGTACCGGCAGTAGTGCGTTCTCAGCTTGCCTGTGGTCGGGGACACACCTCCCTCTTGTGGCGTTTAATAAAAAGGACCCCGGTTGAAAAGCGCACTTGAAGAAGTCAATCCATCCCCTCTTTTGACGTGCAATAATTGAGCATGCTTGACAAGGAAAAAACCTCGACTTTTTTCATTCTCTTCTACCAGGTTTGACCTGTCAATTGGCTGGATTGAGCGGGAACGCGGCTACACGGGCCCGGCGGTGTATAACACACGTATCGACGTGTCGGTTCCCATCGCCGATCATATTGTGGGAAGCTGTATACTACTATGAGTACCAGTATGGGTCGGGATCGATCGGGGCATGATGATTGCTGCGCGGACAGGGACAGTATGGCCGGCACAACTACACCGATACGCAGTGCTAGCTGCCCGTCCGCTTCCTCTCCCATCCGCCGCCGCTACACCCTACTGAACTCCGACACATCCGACTCCTTAGCCGCCTCCCCGCGCAGCACCACGTCACCACCGTACGGGCCGCCTACGCCCAGCAATCGGCCGCAACATGCCTATGCTAAGCGTCCCAGCGCTGTTGCGGCAACCGCGGCAGTGCCGATCAACAGTCCCAATATACCTTACAATAGTAGTTCCGCTCTGTCACAGACAGCATCCTGTACATCCGCTGATTATAATTCTCATAATTCCTATTCATCTGTCGATCACTGGGAATCCAGTACGAGTACCGGCAGCAGTACACCGTGCAGTCAGCCGCATACCGTCGATGTCGCCGGGATTATTAGCGCATCGACAACAACTACAACAGCACCTGCTGCTGCTACACCCAAAGCGCCTGGCAAATCATCACCTTTCCGCGGGACACTCAATAGTTTTATCCGCTTACTGGCCGATTGCACGGGCATTAATCAGTCCCGCCGTGATCATGCTGCCGGTCCACGGAATAGTCATCACCATGCCGCCCGTGTACGACTGCGCGTGAATATGGCCAGCGCACAAGCCAGCCACTCATACGATATGGTGCATTTTATTGCCGGCGGACAGCGCTTCTGCTGTCCGGAATGGATACTGGCCACGCATCCCGATACACTGCTCGGTAATGCCGATAAGCGGCGCCGCTACTATTCGACGGCACGCAAATGCTATGTATTTCCCGATACCCTGCCCGATGTGTTTAACGCGGTGTTGGAATACTATGAAGGGGAAATGTTGATGCGGCCGGGCCGTGTCGGACTGCGTGTTTACCTGGAACAGGTGGAGCTCTTTGAGCTGGATCCCAAGGAGGTGCAGGATCTTCTGATTAGAGAAGGTAAGCAAGTGGAGTGGGCAATCAAGATGTCGGCGGGGGCGAATAAGTGTGAATATTAACGCGTACTTGACGCTGGCACGAACAGATCAATACATATGCAGGATTTTGTCATAATTTGCTTTTAATTTCAAATCTTTGATAACCGGTGACCGCATATAACAGTCGTAACGGGTTTTTGTTATAATTATAAATGTGCGGATAAAGGATTTCCTTCTCGCATTGTCGTGCAAGAGCTATTTCGGACAGTTAATAATTAGGCTCCGATAGAGGTCCTATGACGTAATAGTATTTTGCGAATTATTATCATGTGTATTATGCATCTTAACAATTTCATTTTATTACCTGGGAATCAGTGAGATTCGGAAAAGATTTTTGTATTTATATTGTTGTAAACAATCGCAAACTGTACTTTGAAAGATCGCATGCTTTTGATCATACTGTCATAGAGCATACAAATAATACGTACAATGTATCCACTAACTGTGGTATACAAATCTGTAGCTACAGTATTTGTTACATAATACTTTATAGCAGAAACGAGCAAAGCTCTCCTGTGATCTCTCGTTTTGTGTTTGTCTGTTGCCGGTTCTATGAAATTAGTTTTAAGGGTTTTATGCGGACTAAAGCCGGCAGCGATTAGTGCATAATTTTAAAAAGTAATGGGACTTGTCGATCGAAATCTTTTTTACAAAATTTTTAGCAATAGTTTTCCGGAAGCGCGAACATGTGTGAATATTTTCACGTATGCTTCTAAGTTCTAAGAATTCGTAATACAGTTGTACTCTGTACACAGTGTACAAGTGCAGTAGCTTTACAGCCGATGATAATCATATAGCTGCAAGAAATTTGTGTAACGGTAACCTGCTTTGGTGGCAGCAGTTTTTAAAGCAGGACTGTGCAAAAACGTCCATTGTAACGCCAGCTTTCTGAAGGGAGTAAAAAGTCATCCCTTGACGTCACCACTTCTTATCCTCAGGTCAAGCGGAAAAGCGGTTCGATAATATATCGTCTTTGTCAGAGCGAGCGGAAGCCCTGCCGCTGCGATCAAGCGGTATATGTATGACTGGTGTGTACAGTGGAGTTAGCCAAGTGGTTATTAGGCGATTGTCAGCTTTTAATTGCACTTATACGGCTGGAAATCGTAGTGACTGGGAACGTGGTCGTCGCAGGCCGCACACAATGCCCGTGCATGTGAACAAATTGGCTCTCCAAGGAGCTATAGGGGATATTACGTATACGTGTGGCGGTTAAACGGGGATGGGTACACAATCCTTTTTTATACATCGCGCGCCATTCTGGTGGCACCGCGCGCGCGCACGGTGTGCGTGTGTATATGAAAAGTCACAGTTCCCATTTACACACAACGTCGCCATCGTCATCGCAGCCCGTCATATTGGTGTGAGAACTAAAGTGCCAACAGATGGGGAGTTTATAAGCGGAAATGTCACGAATATTGAATTAGTCGACTTTTCTTTCCAGTAAGTCCTAATGTAAACACACAGTCTCGGTACATCTCCGAGAAAGAAAAATCTTTATGTTCTTGATTTTCTTTTAAACGGCATTAGAGTTTTATGGTGTATCATGTTGATACAATTGCGGATTATGGAATCCGATTTTGCTTGGAAGTAATTATACACAACTCTTGTTCTACGCAAGCAAACAATAATTACTGGAAAAAATTCACAGCGACTAAAAGGTTTTTTATGTGCCGTGCGTCTGCATAGGTACGGTATATAATTATAGCACAGCAGTTTTAGCGGGCAGCCACCATTCCTTTTCATAGTCCTGTTCAGCTCAAATATTTAGGCAGCTAATTCACAATTTCACATCCATTTGGCTTATGTGTAACCGGAAATTGTAGCCCTTTTGTTGTTTGACAGACGCAGTTGTCCGTTAGTTTTTAGAAGCATTTATCGCTGCCTCCATTAGCTGCACCCATCATACAGTGCGCTTACATATAGATATACCGTCTGTAGTGCGCTGGGGATAAAGTATAAACGAACTGTGTATACGTCTGCATAAGTGTATATAACACTTACGATTTAAAGTTCCCACTTGCCAACCGGGAGTTTAAAATATTTGTAACCTACAGAGCGACAAAAATCTCCACACTGGCTATAAACATTCGCTATCCGAGCTGTTAACACTGAAAAAGAGGAGAAAAAAAGAACACTATATTACATTTCCAGGGTTTGCACACCTTGGTCATGCGGGATATGAATAAGCGTATTGTGGTCTCGGGAAGTGGTCGATATTATTGGCAGGATTCGTGCTTTCCTTTTATTAAAGATTTCTCCAAGAGTTTCGCACTGGTTCAGACAAGAGAAGGCCCTATTAAAAGGCTTTCCGCACGAAAATACTCGACGTGTGTATGTATACCTGGCACAAGTGGAACCGCCATTACACTGCAAAATTCCAGAAAATTTTTATCGATTTTTTTATAGAGCAGAACTTATGACGGTCACCAGCCACACAATACGAACTAATAGGATTACAGTTTGTTAAGCGTTTTCAGTGCAGTGTCCAGTTAAATCGGGTCGATTAGGTTTATGATTTAAGGTCTTACAACGGATGTATATTATACAATCATACATATCGCCATAAATGTGTGGTCTAGAAATCTTTAAAGAACATCGCTATAAGCTATCTCAGAAAAGCTTATTCCTTTGTCTAATTTCGAAATTGTATGGAAATATGTAAACCTATTTAAAAATGTACAAAGTAAGCTTGCTACCTTAATCAAAATTCTGAGTTTAAATACTGTGTATCTACGTAGAATAGGAAGGCCAACAACATACTCATAATTAATCTGTAGGCGACAAAATGTCTTGTTGGGCTAACCAACGATTTACGCACATCGAAACGAAGTTATTCTGTAAAAAAAGTGATTTTATAATATTGATTTATCATTAGCAGTATGCGATATACAATATAACTCTAGAGTAGGTCATGAGCACAAAAAGCTTTTGCACGATAAAGCTACTTACTATGGCCGTTTTCCTGACATTGCAGGTATCCGATTTGAACACTTCACCCAAGGGCATACGCATATCAATTATGAGCATTTTAAGCATCCTCTCCATGCCCAATTATGGGATATCTTGGAGAATCCGGAAACTGGTGTATGGGCCAAATTTATTAGTGCACTGTCGATGGGATTAACGCTGCTGTCTGTTGTGTTATTTTGTCTGGAAACCTTACCGGAACTGGACTATCTCGACGTGGACGGAGAGGCCTCCTATTCCGCACCACGCAATCCTATTTTTATACTGAATACCATTTGTGTAGTGTACTTTAGTTTGGAGCTGATAATACGTTTTATTGTCTGTCCAAGTAAAAAAGCCTTTGCTAAGAACTGGATGAACTGGGTGGATTTATTCGCTGTTGTGCCTTATTTCGTGACCTTAACCATGATTCTGGGTGATGTTAAATTCCAAGGTCAAACGTCCAAGTTTGCTGCCGTCAGAGTTATCAGATTATTCAGGATACTAAGGTGAGAGCCGGGAATATTTTGTATGGGTTCTATGTATGCCCAAGACAAAAAGTACTGTCTTTGCCGGCACATCAGGTAGCAGTGTTGTTCTAAATGTTAGCACATGCCCTGCAACGAACGCAGTGACGCTTCAGATATAAGCCGGATGAAATCCGGCTAATCCCGTAAATAACAAATAATCAATAAAAAGTTGTATGGAGATACACAAGCAAAGCAGATAGGTAAAACAATAATATTGTGCACATATTCTAACAGAAAGCATGTAAATCCTTTGATCTAACATTTATAGTGTGCTGCAAAATTACAATTTGCTAATGCGGTTTTGAAAGTATCTGTAACTTTTTCGATATTACTATGCAAGGAAGAACCCATGTATAAGCATGTTTTTATCAAAAAAGTCGTTGACGGAGTAAAACAAAGTGGAAAGATCAAAAGGACAGTTCTGTATATAGTCACCGGCATCGAAGCATTACGATAGGTTTAAACGCTCAAACACTGACACTATCCAGAGAGACCCACAGTGGTTGGGGGCTAATTTGCATGGCCGTCTCGCGGGTGCCCTTAGTTGGATGGGAGTAAAAATGTTAAAGCAAATATTAGCATGGAAGTTCCGGTTGAGTATTTGCTGTTCATAAAAGTCCTGTTGCACACACATGTATCACTTGTCAGCCGTCATTAATTCAGGCGGATTCCCTCGACTTTTTTCTGACATTTAACATAAAATGCAAATTTTATTTGCGAAGATGCCTCTTGGGCAAAAACGATGGCAAATCTTATAATCAGAGCGTCGACGATGAGTCGCTGAACAAATAATCAAATCAAAAGACATGTAGGATGTCCCGATATTTTCTCTACTCGTAGACTTTGTCGAGGCTAATCGTCCGAGTTCGTCTAACCGGCAAATATTCGAGAGGAGGATGCTACTTATCCACAATCAGTCTTACTGTATTCGGTCCATTTTAACAATTTTACAATACAGAGGACTGTGCATAGAGTCGTGGGCACCAACAATATATCGAGCCGAAATGACTAATGCGTTTTATTTTTGGGTCCAAACATTCGATTTACTAATGGAACCGTAAAGGCTTCAAAAACGCAAGATCTCTACAAAAACTGCTCATAAATTAGTATTCTCCGCAAATGCGCGCTACCAGTTTTAAAGATATTAACATATTTTATTGACACATATATGTAGTTTTGTCTATTATGAACCAATAAAAAATAAAGGTTGGATTTTATGGTTAGATGCCCTAGACGATTTTGAAATTTATGCCCACACTGCGTGTGCATACCACTAGCTTTAAAAACCGCGAATTACCGTAACTGATGCAAGATCATTCGGACATAAAATCATAAACAAAATAATCCACCTGTATCTTTTAAATAATTTGTAGTGAGCCGCCGTAAATTACACCGGCTAATTTTGATACTGTTTCCTGATAGAATTAGAACAATCGGCACGCCAATAGTTAATTACAACACGCGGCGGTGGGTTTACGTTGGCGCTAATCTGCGCAATCGTGCAACTGATTACCGTGCGAATACCAAAGTCATTACGTGAATTATTAACTGTGACACCGGGAGTACAGATGGGGGCGTTATTTTGACCGGTGTTGTATTGCTCATTCCAGGATATTCGACCTATCACGCCACTACAAACTCAAATCCGTCGGTGTACTAATCCAGGCTATTAAGAATAATTTCGATATAATTGCCGTCCTGATATTCCTTCTCATCATCTGCGACATCCTGTTCTCCGGCTTTATCTATGCCGTCGAGGGCGGACCCAATACGGCCTACACCAGTATCCCGGCCGGTTTCTGGTGGGCGGTCATCAGTATGACCTCCGTCGGATACGGTGATAGTGTGCCGAAGCGAGCCGCCGGACAGTTTGTGGCCTGTGTATGCGGTGTGGTCGGGCTGATTTTTATCGCCTTCGTCCTGCAGTCGATCGCGTCGGAATTTCACGCCCTAATGAAGACCTATTCAGAGTACAATGCCTATTTGAAACTGTACGATCACGACAAACGGGCGGAACATCACACAGTGCGGAGTAAACTGCTGGCGGAAGACGACTATCTGGGTCCGGAGATCACCGTGTCGGTCAATGGAGCGGAATTTATCTTTAAGGTAAAACTGCATTGATTATGTCTTACGCATAATGCGCCGACATCCGGTCGTTTTTTAAGGCACTAATGATTCACATTTTACTGGCTCGTTGACTGTCAAAGTTGTCTTAAGCCAGATCGATGGTATAAGCATTAACGGACTCAATGTATTATACATTAATCACATCGTACAGGACCATAGTGAGCAAATCTGCCCCCTTTGCGTACAATCCCATGCAACAATTTGTCACGTAAACCCAAACAAATCTTGTCATGATATCGCACGGCCAAGGAGAAAGCAAAAAGCAGCACAGTATTCTTCGGGGCGCAGATGATTGACTTGATCCCTGCCGATGCTTAATGGGCCGGTACTCTAGTATTACGAGCGCCTTTGGAGAGATTTATGACGCTCTGGGATTGTCCCGGCCCGGTCACGTTAAGCAGGGAGGAAGGGCCTTTCCCCCCTGCCAGCTATATGTGATAGCAATTATTAGTGGTGTCAGTGTCTAAAGTGCCCAAGATAGTTTCCGGCACATGCAAGTGATCAGCAGCAGGTTTCTCCATTTTATGCCTCAACAATCAATACATATATCCCTTATATACGGTGCCATTCCGCCAGATTCCAGGCATACTTATCCAACCCTCGATTGACTTACGACCAGTATGTTATTTTAAAGGGACATAACATATGCTAAATGCGCTTAATGTTTTTGGTTCATTAAGGCAAGTAAAGTAGTTACTTCTTGCACCGCTTTGATCGTTTGCAAGCCATGCTACTGTACAAGCTATGCAGAAGTTGAAATCCGACATTTTTATGTTGTTCAGCTGGCAACACATATTCACGCCTGGTTTTGCCGATTCGTTAATAATGATTAACGATTAACCAATAAACTGTTTGACATTATCCTTTAGGATTTTATTTTCCTCTTCTGTTCATGCAAAACACAAACTTAATCATTATAGCAATGTTTAATTATACTAACTGATCTTTGTAAAGTGCATGTGTAACATATCATTTGATCCAATGCGCATACAGAGGCACAAAGATCCCTGTACAAGCTTCGTAAAATGGTTTGGTGTAGTGTATGATCGGCACTCGAAACGACAGCTGCTTCACAGCCTTCGCTTCGTGAGTGGTTGTTAAACTGTTTGGCTGGTAATGAATGACAGAAGGACAATTCCATGAATTTTTTACGTGTCTCCCTTTGGCATCAGGTTAAATAACATTTTCCCACCGCATCCAACAGGGCGGCCAGCAGTACTTATATGTATACATTGTGTGTCCCAGTGCGGTGCCGACGTAAGAGCTGTGTTCCTGCTGGCCCCGCTTGAACGCTATGACAAAGGGGAATGCTGTGGATAATGTTAGGTTTGTTTTACAAATATCCCTTCCTCTTTCTGATCCCACTGTGTCAACAGACGGTAAAACGGCTGAGGCGTGTTTAGATTTGCGAACTACTCGGAATATTTAACTACATGTCATCGATTTCTACCGTTAATATGTGCTTCTGTATTTTCGCCTTACTTTACTGCTTCCACTTTGCATTGTATGCTGTACTGATGTGGTGTAGTAGCATTAAAGACTTAACGCGCGCAAGTCTCGCAATAGCAGTTTAAAAAGTGTCCATACCGAGCATCTTGATAATACGGAAATCAGAGCTAAATGATTTTAATTTATGAAAGAGTTGCAGTGTACGTGTATGGCGATAATTATAACCAGTTTTACTGCTGGTCTCTCTTTGTGAACCACCAATTAATTAAGACGCTTCATGTAGAAAATATTCACAATGTCTTCCGCAGCGCAAAAATTCACAACCGAACTCACAGATGTACCGCATCCTTTTTAATGTAAATAATTATTTCTGTAAAGTATATTAATTGACTCAGACTAATTTTAGTACGTTATCACCAATTATGACGTAAAATATGCAAGTTTTATGGTGCATGCTGCGCACAATTGAAAAAAGTTCTGTACGTATATATAAATTGTCTAACATATAAAAATAATTTTCACACGCTCACTTCTTACGTTGGTTTAATTTTTCAAGTTTGCAAATGAAAAGCGTGATTTGAATAGTGTTCTGATTGGTGCGATGTTCCATATGACTGCGTTAGTAGAATTACGCACTGACGTGGCCTTTGTGGATCACAACTGGTGCGCTATTTTTATTGGTGTTTTAGGAAATGCGTTGCATTTTGGCACTTCTGAGTAGCGAAGCCGATCCTCCTGGGATTAAATAACGAATTTATATCTCGGATTATGGTCGATTTTCACCTGCGTAAGACATGAGCCATGAGAAAATGTTTTTCAGTTTGGTATGACATTTGAATTAAGTATCAAGTGACCGTTAAAAAAGACACTGTATAATTGAGTCACGATGGTCAGAGCTCTGCAATATACATCAACAAAAAGCGTTCTCTTGTTTTCGCTCCTAATGATGATCGTAACGAGCGTTCACAGCGCTCTGACAGTGCCGGTTAACGGTGGATGATCCAATAACTTCGCTTTCTATCACTTTACAGTAGTTGGTGATGTGAAAATGTGTTATATGCATAACGCGTTCCCCTTGTATTCCTGATGGAAATTATATAAGTGCTCATGACGTCAATGATCATAGCTAAACGGATTTTGAAAATGTTTTCCCAAATCAAGGTGAATGGTTGAAGCATATTGTCACACCATTTGAGCAAACATAATCGATTAGGAAATTTTCCTTAATAAATATAGCACGGATGGCTGGATTCTCTGAACGAATTTATCGGACTGGACATGGAGAGATGTGCTGTAATACGGCGCTCGACTAATCACTGGAAAAAATCTTTAAAAGCGCATGTTCCATTTGATCATCCAAATAGGCTAGTGCCGCGTTATGTAACCACACGGGAACATGTCATCGTTAATTTTCGAACTGGACAAGCAGGTGTTACTGTCTGAAAAACGATTGACTTAAAAAGGTCATTGAATTATATACTGCTTTGAGCATCGAAAAAAATACACTACGCACTGTGGTCGTAAATGTGCAAAACTGCATGATATTGCCGGTATTGGCATATACTCCATTCATTATAAGGCTTTACCAGGGGACCTACAGTACCCAACGAACATAATTCTACAGTCCAATCATCCATTCATTACACAATACCGCTTTTATTATTTGATTGCGTATTCATTAGTACAGTCATCGATTGATATTCCATATTTTTCCGTATTTTCCCGATTGATGTTCTATACTTTCTTCAGAACCTGTCTTAGAAATGTTTGAGTACATTTTAATTAAGTCACATAGAGAGTAGAAGATTGTACGAGCATGCATAATGCAATATTATTAAATAACGGACTGCTTATTTCTGGCGTCGTTGTTTTGATGGCTCGGTTTGCACTTTGCAGTTATAATTTTGTCTTCAAGTAATTACGCATGCAAGTAATTTCGAGTAAAGATGGGCAGGTTAACAGTAAGTGAGAACATGTTGAAGTCATAAAGCAAATAATAAAATATTGCCCTTACTGTTTTCAGCAATACGAACTGGATAATTATCCCAATTCTCTTCTCGGAAACGTGGAAAAACGCCGGCCTTACTACAATCCCAAAGAAAAACTCTACTTTTTTCCTCGTAACACAGATATTTTTCCGGCCATTCACTATTACTACCGTTCGAACGGTGCCCTACAACGTCCGCCCTACATCAGTCTGCGTCGATTTATCGACGAAGTGGAGTTTTTCCAGCTGGGCCGGGAAGCCATAATCCCGTTGCTGGAATTAGAGGGTATCTACATTGTGGAAACCCAAGAACCGGATTCTCCCCGGCAAAAATACTGGTTTCATGTCTTTGAGAATCTGGAATACAATACCCTGGCGAAGATCGTGGCGGCCATCTCCATCGGCGCCACCGGCACATCGGTGCTGGTATTCTGTCTGGAGACCATGGAAGTTTTCCAATCGTGGAATTGTTCTCTGCCGGACAGCTACCTAAACAACGCCAGCCAGCTGCACGTGGATCCGCATTACCATCATGTCTACAATACATCGCGCGCCACTTTCGGTACCCTCTTCACCGAGAACTGTACCGGCCCGGCGGCACTGTTTATTGTGGAGACGATGTGCGTCACATGGTTTATTTTCGAGCTGATTATCCGCTTTGCGGTGAGTCCACGCCGGTGGAAATTCCTCCGCTCCGCGTTGAACTTTATAGATTTCCTGGCCATCTTACCGTACTTTGTCTCGTTGGCGGAGCTATTCTACGGCGAAACCAGCACCCTGGTGGTGGTCAACACCCTGGGGCTGTTGCGGACGATCCGTTTAATTAAATTAGTCCGTTTATTTAAATTCAGCCGGCACTCCCGCCGCATCCAGATGATCGCCGAGATCCTCAAAGCCACGTGGGCGGAGCTGGGTTTGGCGGTGTATTTTCTCCTCATCGCCTCCGTATTGTTCGGGAGTTTGGCGTATATTGCGGAGACCGATAGTGAGGGTGAGGAGCATATTTCGTCCATCCCGCGCGGCATGTACTGGGCGTGGATTACCATGCTGACCATTGGCTACGGGGATGTGGTGCCCATGACGGCGTGGGGCAAACTCGTCGGCAGCGTGTGCGCCGTCATCGGTCTCGTGTTCTGGTCGATCCCCATGACCTTTGTTAGTGATAAATTCGATGTGTATCGGCGATTGTACAAGGATCGTGACTACTTGATGGGCCTGCTGCAGAAGTTGAAGTTGGAAGCACAACAGGAGTTGCAGCAAGAAAGCATGAGAAAGTAAGGTTTTTTGCTATCTGCCGCGGTCCGGGCAGTAGTGTAACAAGGGTGACCGACTGCCTACTTGAGATCAAGATGCTGATAGACATGGCAGACTAATGGCTTTTACGTATTTGTTACGCGATTCCTTATTCTAATATTGATTTCCGATCTGTCACAAGAAGGTTGCGTTCCGTTGAGCCGTCTGTGCGGTATATCTGCTTAGCGTCAATGAGTGATCATCACTTTTTTTCGTCGAACTTCACACTATATATTCAAACTAATTATTTCTACTAAGGTCTAGGAAGGTCATGAACTTATTTGGGTCGTTTCCCATCAGCAGTTTATAAAGTCGTCAAATTTTACTTCCCCTTCACCCCTTCACATTCACTGCACTTCTACTGACCAGGGCACATAGGGGTCCTCCAAATTCAGAAAAATCTCATCTTTTGTAAAAAGGTAGCATACTACCCAACTATGCTTAAAAAATATTTTTGGCTGCTGTAATTAAGATAGGCGTGGCCAGCGCGAATTAAAAGAGTACGCAATACCGCATGCGTACTATGCTGTTACAATGCACAGCGCAGGCTTTTTGCATACTAGTAGCAGTCATCACATTGATCACAAAGCCATTAGCATGGACTCGGGCAGCTGCTTTGCAGTTAGCACCGAGGCAAGTGAAACCCGCACGCGGTGGTACCTACCACCGCTTTCAAATTGCCGACTTTCAAAAATGTGCTATTTATTACCTAACATGTGTTATTATAACAGTATGTGTAAAAATGCGAAAAATTTTCTTCTAATTTAAATAATAGTAGATTCACCAATCCAGAAATAAAAAATTTCGAAAATTTGCAGTTTGACAGCGGTGGTAGGGACCACCGCGTTTGGGTTTCACTTGCCTCGGTGCTAACAATAAGCAGCTGCCCGAGTCCATGCTAATGGCTTTGTGATCAATGTGATGACTGCTACTAGTATGCAAAAGCCTGCGCTGTGCATTGTAACAGCATAGTACGCATGCGGTATTGCGTACTCTTTTAATTCGCGCTGGCCACGCCTATCTTAATTACAGCAGCCAAAAATATTTTTTAAGCATAGTTGGGTAGTATGCTACCTTTTTACAAAAGATGAGATTTTTCTGAATTTGGAGGACCCCTATGTGCCCTGGTGAGAATTTATTACAAGATTTAGATTTTATTGCCTTGGTCCTTCTAGTCATAGTCAAATTAAACCATGTGGAATGCATAAGTAAGCATTTTTACACATAATTTTATACATTTGTCATATGGTATTATTTAAAGGTCGCTGTGGATTATTCCCAATGTAGTTAACGCATATTCGTAAATGCGAGATTTATTATTGCGAAGAATTTTCAGTAAAGATTTTAACTACTCGATAGGACATTGATGTACACAGTTTACAAACCGCATTTTGTAAAAATGTTAAACATTACAATAGAGACGGTACATTTGCGGATTACGTGGCCACATTTACAAATTTGCAATGAATTTGTATTGTTTACATTACAGAACAGAAAATGGACCAAACGTGACCCAGCCTTTATTAATCGTCAGTGATAATTCGGGTGAAAATATTCCCCTGGATGACCGGCACACATTCCGGCGTACATCCAGTCGTAAGAGCGTCTCCCTATCGGCACTGAACCACTCCTGTCAGCCCGGCTCAACATCCATACTCAGTTTGCAGTTCGGCGATGAAGTGCGGAGTATTGACGGGGAAAATAGTAGACCGGTATTTGGGGCACTGGGCATAACATTGAACACCGATGCCACACCAGCGACACCGGCGCACGGCTACACTTGAAAGAGCATGAGAAAAAGAAAGCGATGGGGAGAGAACGGGACCATTCTCCAACGTAAACATACTCTTTTCCTACAAACAATACTACTCTTTTCCAGTCCAAGTGTGAATGTGCACTGTGTACTTAAGAGAAAGTGGCCAATTTTTTTGATCAAGCAGAATGTACTGGCGATCGATGGTGTTTTTGGCGGTACAAATTACCCGTCACACTGCTGTGATTTTTGCTCATTTGTCTGGTGACCTTTACGGACTAGTCGGAGAGGCGCGTGGGTGTGCAAGTGTAAAATTGTGGTCTAACGTCTTTATTCTGAAAATTTGTACAGCTGAATGGCAATACTGTGATAAATATCAATAAAATGGTCAATGATCACTAAAATGGGTTGCAAAAGTGTCTGTTTAATAATACGTAAATGGTGCTGGTTGTGAATGTACAGTTCTCAAAACTCACGGTCGCCATATTCAAAGTGAATATCTTTGCGTACGCACCGAAAAATACGGTAACAAAATTAATAAATTAACAAAATTAATTAATTAATGCACAAAACAAAAATATGCATTGCTAAAGCTGCTGGTACTATAATACTCGCACTATTGTATGTTGTATGTACTAATGTACAATACAGACCTTATATATAGTGGTTATGCCATTGTGGGATAGCGTCGCCGTGATCTATGTAGCATTATTAAATGATAAATCATATAAAATACTAAAGCGTCACGCTCAACTGTAGTTTGTGCACTGTATGGATTGTTATTTATTCGGTAAGTCATTGTTTTACACAGTATTAATTAAGCTCTGTTTTATTCAATAGTAGACATGTGTATTACAATAGCGCTTCATTGGTGCTAATATTCTTGTTTACAGACTACGCACAAAGCGCGACTGTGCGGGGATGTTTCAGCAGCTGCTCCGAATTGTGCTTGTTATCCCAATAACATCGTATTAGCAAAATTAATTTATTACGGTTTATAGGTCAATAATGGCCCGGCAATCAAACGGAACATCTACCAGTTGCATGACGATTACTCCTGCAAAGTTTTGTTACAAGTTACTAGCAGTACAAGTAAGTATACGCATTTATAGAATCGCATCACGATACAGTACTCGAGTGCAGAAGAACTTTCATGCGACGCCGTCACGCCGGCATTATTTAAAATTGTGTATCGGTCATCAAAACTGTATTCTAGAGTAGATATTTTATCGGTCAAAAATAAGAACACAGCGGGACAACCGTCACCGTAAACCGCTTGCTTCGGCACATTGTTAGCTAACATGAAATTATTAGTTTTCAAGTTTCAACGGATACAAACAATCCCCTTATTAAAATGTTTAATCAATGCATTTGTCGATTTTTTCTATTTTGTGGTACGCTAATTAATAATAATAATAGTGCCCACCCTATAATGTACAGGTCTAATGATATGCAGTTTTGGAATCCTTTTAAATAAGCTGCTGTAAACGGTTGCCTACACACGATTAGAATCTTTCATGGCGAACAATGCGCATTGTAAATTCATAAGTGCATAGTGCATACCATACACGCTCACTGGTTACAACACCAGCGCTGTCGATGCACTCAGAACGTGTTGTGGTTTTGACTTTGTTTGAATATTTTTGAGAGTCAAGACGAAACCAGCAACAAAAATTCCCCCGCGTAATGATCGATGGAGTAAATTTTAATACTATTGTTTTTGCTAATTGCACGTAGAAAATATGCATACCCGCACGGCGACTTGTTTGAAGTTACACTTTGTGTTTGAATGAGTTCGAAATCATTTGGCATGAAAGAGCGCAACCTTGAGAATCTGTCTGATTATTATAAAAAATTGTCGTAATATTGTTTGTACATCGCGAATCTAACATGTATTAAAGCCGTGCAGCAGATGCTTCTCTGATACAGTAAACATGAGTAAAGCACATTATTGAACGTCCAGTTTATCAACGTACTCATTCGACATGCCTGCGGAGCAGGAGATGCAACCTCTGAATAACGAACAGGTACGAAATTTCATAAAGGACGAAATATTTTAATATATATAATTAATAATTATTATCAATTAAGCACATGCAACTTCTAAAACGAAAGTTGATAAATAATTACGAACCCGATTATTATTCATTGTACAGTGGGTACTATTAACACGTCGCTTTTACAATGGTTTTCGTCCTAAACTTTTCCAAGTTTGGCGCAGAACAGAGTAAAAGTTAAAATTTGCTATTTTTTTTTAAAATGAGATTACTTACTAGAAAAAAACGAGAACCGCCAGAATCACGGCAGCATAATCAATTTTTAAGCAGTATAGATATAAAAGGCATTTTGTAAGGGCAGTAAGGTGTTTAATATGTCCAGGGTTGTCTAGTTCGCCTCGCTACCCGCCTTGTATTGGTTTTGAATGTTTCATATTTCGCCAGTTTTGACTTTCATGTCGGCGGGTTTTGCGCTATATCCCAAGATCAGTACAGTACTCGCATCGTTTCCGAATGTGCGACAATTACAGCTGAATTATTTTCCAAGTGCTGATTATCACCGTTTGTTAGTTGAAGCCTCTACTCGGATCCCCGGAGGCCAGTGTTGAAAAAGCTCCAGTGGCAGAAGTTGTCAAGCCAGTTGTCGCGCAAGATAGTCGCAAGCAGAGCAAAATGGGATCTGTTCTGAGTACCATGAAGCAGGTCGGCTTCTTATCCTTGGCCTGTGTGCATCTTTATTGTGCTGCCAAGCTAGCCGAACCAGGAAGCTGTAAGTGCCGCTGAGCCTGAAATATTTAACTTTCATCTTGCTATCCATGGTATAGAGCTATTATTCAATATGCCATCAGGGTAACAGCGAACTCTCGCTGTAGCAAACACACGAAAACGGAAAATGATCGTATTTCGAGTTTCTTGCCATCTTGTGCTACGATAACACCAAGGTTTAGTAATTAATTCCTAGTCTGAACTTTTGCAGCTCTGTTTTCATGGCATCCGGTCCTAGCATCCGCTGCGGTGAGTGAAGTGTTCCAATATTCTGATATAATTAATTATAACTGGCCATAAACAGGCCATTGCGCTGCGGTAGTTTTCAAACTTTCTTTGGATTTTGTGCTTTAAGTATCTTTTCGTGTAATCACTAAGCGGTGGTATTGCAAAATCAGTTAATCAACACCGCCACTTTTTTAAACTTCGTACAGTATTGTTTAAAGTGCTGGTCTGTGAAGATGTTGCGCAGAATATGTAAATGCATTTCCAGATTACAGTTGTGCTTCGCTTTAATGTTTGCTTTTAATTACCTTTTAGTTACCATTTTACTTCGCTTGGTCTACTGTTTGTACAGTTGTTCATCAAATTTAAATTGCCAAACGACTGTTACAATTTAATTTTACTGTTCAGATTTGACAACTGAAAATTAATTCAAGTGCCAAATTTTAGTTTTCCTGAATTTAATTCGCAACACTCCTTGTAGTTCGGCTTGGTGATGCCGGAGGCTTTCACCCAGATCAGCCGCCTGTCGGAGTTCGGTAAGCGCTTCAGCTACCGCAGCCGCATCACCCTCCACTGGGTCCTGCAAGTCACCGCCCTCCTCCTGGCCAGCGTGGGCGTGGGCTGCATCGTCGCCAACAAATTCCAGGCGAACCGTCCGCATCTGAAGACCTTCCACGCCTGGTTCGGCGCCATCACTTTCGCCTTCGCCATCATCCAGTCCGTCGGCGGCTTCCTCATCATGAACCCGCGCTTCAAGCCGACGTTCGCGCCCACCCAGGCCAAGATGAAGGTGTACCACGCCGCCAGTGCGGCGGGTCTGATGATGTTGGCCGCCGCGGCCATGTTCATCTCCAACTATTCCCTGTACATGGCCAAGCATAAGATGGCCGCCAGTGTTTACGCCACCGGAATGTGGGTGTATCCCCGGGGTGTTGGCCGCACGCTCGCTGTGGACCATCTACGATACCGGGGCGTTTGGGAAGTTGTTCCAGCAAGCGCCCATTGTGGAACAGCGTGATTCCACGTTGTGATGGATGAGTGGCGAGTGACATTTTTTGTTTCATTCAGTCATCCCCTGTCGAGTGTTTTTAACCATGTTGAGGTTGCTTTGCAGTTGTTAGCTTGTGTTTTTAGCATGTTGATTCGAATACGCGGGTGCCTCTAATTTATTACCAAGTTTTTCGAATGGCAATCTTTTTTGATTTGTTGGCAATAAGACAGGCATGATTTCATGTGGCATTTCCCGATTTTAATGCTGTTTAATGTTTGCAATATTTACATATTAAAAAGCAAATAATGGTAATATTTGGCAAAACACTGAAATTCATGCAAAGATTTTTTTGCGTGTAATTAGAAAGTTACAGCCGTACGAAATACAGACATTTTACAGATTGTCTCGAATTTTAATCCGATTTTGACGAGCATAGTGTAACAAATGCCACCCAGTAATTATTAAAACCTATTTTTGAGTGTACAATAGACTGCAACAAAATCCGGACCTTCGCAGCAGTTACAAATACGAAAATTTAATTGATATACGTAAATTGCGAGCATATACCGGAGACGTAGGCCTGTAGTCCTGTACAATGCGAAAGAATCCCAGCAGTATAGTTCAGCATTTTACATATGGGAGAATAATTTGTTGGAAGCAGGACAGCACTACAGGTGTACATGTTGATGTCGGTAGAGGCCGGCCGGATTGTGTTCGACTGCACGGCATCCTGGAGTAGTACTCTGTAAGCATGTGTTTACGTACAGTACCTGAGCATACCGCATAAGTATCGATCGTTAGTTCCACTTCCCGTTACTGCATAAACAGATCTCGCTTATTTTCGTTTTTTTAGTTGTTATTCGTATACGATCCATTTGAAGCTTCGGTTTAAAATAATGGAGCACTAATAAAACGGCAATTCGTGAGCGTTATTCACAATTCTTATTTGGTTGTCATTCAATTATGTGCGCCATATCTATAGAAGTATGCATTCTCACCGAAATTAGCGATTCTTACTGTGCGGAATACTGAATACCCGACAAATTCTGATACCAAAGCCTTTGTAGTCTTTTCCGCCGGATAGAAATATTTTAAGAAGAAAGCTAAAATGTCCCGTGGTGCGGTGTTGGAAAACACTCCAAGCGCTGGCAAACTGTCTATCGCCGGTCAGAATGTTCTGGATCCCGAGCGCAGCTCCATTGTGCAGCGTGGAATATACCAGCGTGTGCAAGAGTCCGACGGAAGGAATTGGCTCTTCTATCAGCTGTTTCTGCGGCAGGATTTTGATGCCTGCAGTATCTCTTTAGCCACATGCGAAGAACCAAACTCCCCCGTGCAAGGAACGTATGGAGTTTTCATGAAAGGTCAGGCAGCTGATGATAATTTTCTAGTTACAACACGAGACGTTTTAATTTTAAGATATAGGTCTCGTTTCTAATTATGTGCCCTCAACAGGACTGATTGCAAAAAGACAAGGAAAACTGACGGAAGCTTTGAACTTCATGAAATCCTGCCACAATCGTGATCAGCGCAACCTGGAAGTTTTACGCGAGCTGATATCTTTATGCTATTTGACATGCAATTACAAACAAGCGCTGCAGTATGTTCAGTTCGTAAAAGCCATGAATTCGTCGGATGATTGGTTTTTGGCACATCATCAAGGATTATGCTACGAACGTCTGGGTGACCAAAATATGGTAATCTTAATTTTTGCAGTAGTACCGTCTGTTTGGTTGACAATAAATGGTTTCACACAGTTCAGAAATTACTGACCGTATTTTTTTAGGCAGAAGAACACCTAAAGTCGGCAATAAACATTTACCCTCAAGAAAAATCCTACCTGGTATTGGTAGATTATTATTTGCGGCATGATGCACCGGATAAAGCCCTTGAGTTGCTTGAGAGAGCAAAAAGGTTGCAGTGCGTGGTTACTGTCACAATTATCATTATGTAACACTTGTATGTAAGGAAGTCAGCCTGTTTGTTTGTTTTCAGGGTGTTCCCGGAAAGCAGTCTGGTTTCTTCACGTCTAGGATTTTTACAAATTAAAGTACATAATTTTGTTATAACAAAAGTTTTCAAAACTGAGAGCACGTAAAGATATATAATAAAACTGGCAGTTTTTGCTGCAAAGGTCAGGCGACTGGGAACAATTTCATTACGCTTTTTTCCAGTTTGGTTTGATAAATTTTTAATATTTCTGAGTGGTGATTATGCTCCCGCTGAGTTTTGTCAGTAGTAATTTTTGTCTGGCTACCGAATGTGACTGACAAAATTAATTTTGTTGTCTGCATAGAATCCAAAAGAGCTGGATAAAGGTTTCGGCAATTTAGCGCAGGCAGCTGCTGCGTCGAAACTCCGCGGTGACGCCACATTGTTGGCCGTCGCTTCCGTTATGCAGCGCAAACTGGATCCGGACGGCGCTCTGAAAAAATACGAAGTCATCCTGCAAGATCCGGGTGATATCAACGCGGCGGTGCTGAACAATATTGGGTTGTGTTATTTCGCCAAACGCAAAGCCGCGCCGGGTGGGAAGCGCGCAGATACGAAAGCTCCGCCCGAGGATGACATATATGCCCAGCGTATACTGCAGGCTATTGGCTGCCTGGAGAAAGCGCGTCAGTTGGCGCCCTTTGATGCCCGGATAGCCGGCAATCTGGGATATGTCGCCAGAGAACTAGGATTATTTGCGACGGCCAGCTATAATCTCATGTCGGCAATTCGTTTGACCAGGAAAACCGCCGTTACGAATTTCTATATGCTGTTAGCTGGTAAATCTATACGTTATGCACATCTGTACTTCTGTACGTAGTACTTCTGTTAAAGTTAAACTGAAGCGAAGGTTTCTTAAGAGTCTTTTGACTTTTCAACACACTGCTTCGGAAACTTACCTGATTCGCTGTAAACTTGTAATCCATCTCTTATAATTAGGAGTTGCGGAGAATCTGGAGATTCAAACTCAAGCTAACCAATTATACCGACATTGTGTCAAATCCAACAGGTGCGACTAGGTGTGACCTTTAAGTAAACTGGAGCGATTGTTTTAACGTGAGTAGCTACTGTAATTGTTTTACAGCTCAAAGGATCCCCTTGTATTTTTAAATTTCGCCTCGTTTTTGTTGCGGCAAGGCGAGCATAGCAGTGCCGCGGAGATGGCTCAACGTTGTCATCTGGCGCTGCGTGAGGCCGAAAAAACCGGAATTATGACCGATCCCGTGGTAAGTCCACGCGATATGTAAGAGCCTGCGTACACTATTTTAAGAGCTTAACCAAAGTGTTTAAATGTACTTCAAAGATTGTCAACGGTTTCAAGTTGCTCCGAGCAAAGGTGTCCATTCCCGATACACCACCGCCCACACCGGATGTTCCGCATGGTGAGGGCGCCGCAGATGCTGTAGTGACCGGTGCCGGCAGCCACGAGATGGTCGTAGCTGCCCAGGTCGAGCCGAACAGTCCTAAATAACTGCTTATCTTCATGTCTTTTATAATGTTGTTTTTTCCGTCCTTTTTTGGTTTGAGACTTTGAATGAAATACTGCTTTACTGTATCGGTTGTGTAACTCGATCCACTGACATATATATTTTGTGCAGTACAACATAGTTAATTCATTATTCGCTATCAGAAAACAGAATCATCGCATACGCGCTTCGAGGATCGGGTTATCTGTGATAACGCAATGTGCCAGACCGAACTCGTTTATGTTTTATCAAACTGAACCGCGGTGCCCAAGCGTTCCCTTCAAAATTTAATAGCACTGGAAACATAAGCCACCGTTTGAGTTTACTACTTGCGTAACAGTAAAATCATCATCGGTTCAAACTTTCTTCTACAAAACTGTTTAAATAACCACAGGAAACATAACGCAAAATCTGCCTGACAAACTGCAGTATATCCCAGAACACTATCACAACCAACCACAAAAAATAAAAATAATAAGAAAACTGACTCACAATTCTGCTATTTTTATTTACAGATTCGGAAGTCCGTCATAGAGATACCGGTGTCTTGAAAGAAGGACATGTTAAGGAACAAATTTTGGGCTATCGAGTTATTTATTATCTGTCCAAACACCGCGCTGTGATTGGCAGCGGGCTTTCTCCAGGCAGATAGACGAAGGTTATTAATAGCACCCTTTTGATCAATATCCCATTGCAACCAGCAAGCTCCCGTCTCCGAATATGATAACACCGTGGCCTCTTCGATAACCGCTGTCCAAGGCCCTTTGCAGCGCGAAAACTCGTTTGCATAGCCTTTAAAACTGATATGAAAATGTCCTTCGGCGATTTCCCGTACGAAACGACAACATTCCGGAGCCAAGTCGGGAAACATTCTGATCTCCACGTCAAACGATGGCCAGCGCGTGTTTTCCAACAGTGTGTTCACGAACGTAAATTTGCAAAGATAGCGATTCGGTGGAGGTATTCGAGGCGTAGTCAGGAAGGGCGAAATTGGCTTTTCTTTTCCATGCAGACTCTGGAAAATTTCCCGCACATCCCGATCGCTGAGAACACCATCTTTAACAGGGCCGTCAAACAGTTCAGCAGCGGAGAAGAGAGGAAAGCGAATGGAATACAACAGCGATCCAAAGGCTTCGCGTAGATTGTCAGCGGCGGTCGCAACGTTGCACTTCACCCATTTGCACACATTCTGATAAATCATTCTGATAAATTTCTTTTTCGGGGGCATTTAAAACCGGCTTATCCAAAATTTCTTTCACATAAGGAAGGGAAAGATTGAGGAAGTCATCACTGTCCAATGCATCCCGTGCGGATCGCGAGATTTCTGCGAGCGCTGCCGTGGCAAGATTTTCCTCGTCCAAAAATCGAGCTTGCTGAAAAATCAAACAAGCGTCTTTTGCATTCAAGCAATACTCCCGAATGCGATCGCGACATTCCTTCGCTAACTTGGAGATGAGGTACTTTTTGGAACAATACAATAAATTCAAAATATCCCTCGTCGGTACACCCATGCCGTCTATTTCAAAATCCGTCAAATCAGCGTAAGCATACTGGAGCAGCAGCTGAAATGCTGCCGGCGTAATATCAGGAAGTTCAATGGTCTCCTCTGTGGGATGGCTCAATGGACCATAAAACATGGCCTGGAAGACGGCGCTCACCAGCGACAGCACAAACTTGTGACACTTGAAGATTTTTCCTGGTTGAGACTCTCCGTTTCCTACAAGAAAGGTGACATCGCTGGGAATTTCTTCATTGGGATGATCCAGAAGGTAACGCGCTCGCTTGCGAATGCGTTTGCTTGAGCGCCAGTCCTTCTGGGCATTCTGGTCAGATACTTCGGACATCGTACAGTGCGACCAGCCAGATAAATCTCTCGTTTCACAAACACTTAAATATTAACTATAAGAACTCAGAACATTAAATGGACAGTGCAAACAGCGAAGAGATTTGTGAATTCAAATAATTGTGAAAGCAAATTAAATTAAATCACACGAAGGAACTCAAAGGAAGCAAAAGTGCACAAGTGATAAGTGCGACAAGGAACGGTCGACAAACTTGTTGTAACGTGGCTGCCGCCTCATGCAGTATGCACCGGTGATCTCTGAGACCGTTGTTTTTGCTTTAAATTTTATCATTTTTTTAAATTTTACTTCAAAATTTTAACAGAAACTGTGAGTCAATATAATTCGCTCTTTTCCAAAACTTACATTTTTCAGTTTTAATTATTCGCACTTATTATGAATAGAAAATAGCTGTCACATAAAATGGATAGTGTACTGGAAAACCCTTCCCTTCCATCTTTATTGGATTTTATTGCCGATCCTGGATTAATCGAGAAATACGCTAACGAAAACCGGAACGGTGAGAGTTAACACGTCGAATAACTGCAGTTGTACCTCGGTAACAGCCGAAACTTTTCAGGCCCCTCGGTTCCCCAATTGATCGACCTGTTCCTGCGCCAGGCCAGCCTCGAGAACATCAACGAGCCCTTCCTGCGGCTGGTGCGCGTTAGTCGTGTCGATGTGGATGATCGAACATTTCTGACAACGCGCAGGAATCGCGCAGCGAAAACCATCACGTTGATGCTGGCCAGCGCATTGAAATGGGATCTGGCCACGATCGAAAAAGATCTCTCCATCACCATGCAGTTTTGCCTGGTGCAGGATATGCTCAACACCGTGTTCAGCGGGACAGACTACTGCAGTTCCATTGCGGAGCCGCAGAATGCCCCGCAGAGGTCTTTAGCCGCGTTCACGGGCGATGTTCTCAAGTACCTGGCCGATCACTGCATCTTTGGATTAGCCTTGTATTCGCGGTGGATTCTACGAGCGCATATACAACGGAAAATACCGAAGAAAGCCGCGAAAGGAGGGATTGTCAGTATTGGAGCCATCACGGATCCTGTTGTGCTGCGCGGACTCGATCAGCAGACACAAGGCAATTCCCTCATCTGGTCGCTTTTTAGGTACGTACTGCACATGCCGGTGCATTCACAGTCGTTTTTATTGTAGATGTTCGTTTTTCATTTTCGAATTTGTTTCTACATATATGGATTTCTGGATTTTTTTTGGTCGGGATGGTTTCTGTATGTTGTATATTTTTGTCGCTTCAGAAAATCCACTCGGTAAAAATTTACTTTTTGAATTTTTCACTATTTTAAATTTTTTTTATTTTCGGATACTTTGCTTGTTTTGCCTGAATTTATCGGTTTTTGGATTTTTGTGGATGCGTTGTTTTGATCGTTTAGAGTATTTTCAGTTATTTTGTCTTTTCAGAAATTGCGGAGAATTGGTACTGTTTTTAAATAGTTTGTAGTTATGTATTTTATTTCTGCTTCTTGACGTTGAGATTTTTCTTTAGGCAAATCAGTCGGGAAAAAGTAGCTCATACATCCGTGGATTTGTTAGGAGAAATTATTAAATTGGATCGCGATGCTTTTCGTGTTCCGATCTCCACCTCCTTCGTCATTCCATCCAGCGCCACGAAAACAGTCGAACCACATAACTGGAGTATTGGACAGACGATCTCCTTTATCGAAATAAAAATGCAGATCATTTTCGACTTGGCGGGATACTGGATGTTTGAAGGCAAATTATCCCAAGCTGCAGAGTATCTGCAAATGTTGAATATCTTATTGAAACAACGATCCTTATCCTCACTGGAATTTGTTCGTATCAGTGACAGCGTTTTATATAATATGTGCAAGATTGCGAATGTCCCAGTTGATCCCTCCGTATTAGCCACACCTGCTCCGACCGTCGTGGAGTTGGTTCCATCCATGAAGTCGAAATTGTTGGAGATCCTTCTGGATGATCTAAATTCGGGAAATATATCTGCGTCATCCCGCAGCAGCCTGGAATTAGAAATCCAAATGTCGGAAGACAATACGGAGCGTGCCGTATTGCAGAAAGTACGTTTGTGCAACTTATTTCGTGAATATGTCGCAGGGAAGAGCGTCCCATCGTTTGCACAGCTGCGAAATATTCTGGCGGATGCCACACCTGGTGATGCGGAATGGATGAAAACCGTGCTGAATAGTGGGAGGTTGGATGGGGAATTGCGGGAGTCTATCACGGAACAGTTGGGATATTTGGTCGAGCACGATTTGTTGTCGATCACGATCAAAAATAAAATCTCCGATTTTCTCAGTGATTCGCCTCGGTCTCCTTCTTTATCTCCAGGTACTGTACTAATTTTTTTATCATTCAGTTGTTGTGATTGCAAAATCATCACTATTCCTTCCTAATGCGAATGCATTTATCAGTGAAGGAGAATGTATTGGTCTTGTTTTTGCGTTGCAGCAAAAGGCTTACCGGAAGATGTGGAAATGTCGTCCGAACCTCCGTCTGTAAAAGATTTGCATCGCGCACTTCTATCAGCTTGCACTTACTCTGCTATAAAAAGTGCCGTGGTTCAGTTAATCAACCATCCCAGTTCAAAGATCCCGAATCTGAAACAGTTGAATCCATCCTGGCCAGATAAAGTGCCGCCTACCCTGCGAGCGTCGTGTGCACCGACATGGCCCGCTTCCACTGTAGAATTAACCTTGGCGGTTTTTGCAAAATCCACCGATCTAGCGGAACAAGGCTGTTTTCGTGGTGCTCGTCTTCTGCTGAAACAGTTACGCACTGACCTGGCGGAGCTATCCAGTGTGCCAATGAAATTCGACCGGAATTTCCGCTGGCAGAATACTTACGTAGATTTAGCCGAAAGTCAGCAGATGATCGGGACAGTTGCCATGTCCAATGATCTCCGTTTCGAAGCAGTGAAACGGGCCAAGAACTGTATATCAGCGGCGCTGATGAAGCCACCGGATGAAGAGCCGGTTCCGATGTACGTGCAGAGTGTCGCTGTCATGGTGCTGTTTAATCTGGAAGAATGGGAGTACATCACGGAAGCAATAGGTTTACAGGTGCGTACGATTACACATACACCACCTTATATCCCCATGAACCGTGTTCCATGAATAGTCATGATAACGCATCCAAGTGGGCTGAAGGGAAATGTTTTGCTAGCTGGGTTTTTGTTGCATTTAGTGGCGCATCAGCAATGTTTCCGGTGATATTCAGAAATACTAATGATGAATAATGGATTGTAAATACATAAACTATCTGTATGAAGATCGAGTTTTAGTAGAAGTACTCACTTTACTTATCTGTGGTTAGTTAAGTTTTGCTGGATTAATCGTCAGTGCTTGTTAGTTGTTAGCGCTTACTACTCGTACATATTGTATTTGGTTTTTTGGCGCAAATCTGTATCTGATTTCATTTGCTACAGCGTCCTAATTGTTTTCTGCAGGACCAGAAACGGAAGCCCACCTCTTCACGCTCCGTAAACGCAATATTCCCCTTTCTGAAGCAGTTGATCTTGGCATGTCAGGAATACCAGCCACAGCGAGAGGATTTAATAACACAATCCAAAGGTGGCCGCACTAAGCAGACCACGGTGCATCGCCAGCACTGCATGAAACTGTGGAACAACCTCTCGGCGGCATTCTCCACGGTCGATCCCGCCTTGGCCAAAAAACCTAGTAGTTCCTCCTCATCGTCCACATTAACATCGGAAATTTTGCTCCCGTATATTCGCATGATACGGCATAAATCTGCAGCGTATCTGCTTTTCAGTTGCATTTTCCGTATGTGGAACGTGTCGAATCGTGAGTCGGGAAGCTACACAATAATTACTGAATTATTGTGGCCCACGACCATTCCCTTGCATTTAAAAATCCAACCGGAACAACTGCTCTCCGCCTTGGAAGGGATGTTTAGTGTGACCGAGCAGTGTGCTGTCTGTGATGCGGAGATTATGATCATCAAAGGTGATTATCATTATAACAAAGGTCAATATGAGTTGGCGGTGAAGATGTACCTGCTCAGCGCGGTGGACGGCAATGTTCCAGGATTTTTGCACGCACCGAGAGTGCCGAATTTCAGTCAAAATACGCTGAAAAAAATGGCAACCTGTTTTGATTCGTTGCGGTATTTTACGTACGTGGCAATTATTAGCCAGTTAATGGATCCTGTGGATTATGATACGGCATTCCGTGCTGTGGGAGAGAAAGTGACGTATGATGCGAGCGACGAAGCGTACCGCTTTATTTGGGATCCGCTGATCCTCGAGCAGTTAGCGTTCTTGCTACAGAAATGGGGATTTCTTGAGAAACGCCAGATTGCGGTGGACTTACTGCAGAACCACGCAATGACGGCTGCCAATCAACCCAGCATCATCGAAGGCTTAATGATGAAAACGGCTACGGAATTTTTCGAGATTTTATTCGATCAGTTTGTAATTGGCTAATAAGCTCAAAACGCCTGAATTGATCTGGTTGCTAGTGCTTTGTAATTTTTACTTGGTAATTTAAGTGTTTTTGTTATAATTTTATGGTCGTGTGTACCGGCGTTGTATGCCGGCCTTGTGGAAATTCAGGAAACATACGCTTGCGATTAATTATCGAGTAGCAGGATGCGTATATCGCGATCGCGCTACATGGGAATGAAATTTCGACGAACATTAAAATTAACATATTGACATTTTGGATGGTGAATTTATAATTTGTGGAATATAAGAGAGCTCAATGAAAACTTAATTAAACGTGAACGTTAGCGGTAATTAAAGAAATCCACTTTTCCTCATTGAAATCACTTCTTTTCAGGTTGATACATCACTCTACAGACTTATCTGTACACGGCAAAAGTGCGAACATATTAAAACAAAAGTTTACATAATCATCACAGAGTGCAGAATATTTTCTATTAATTTGTTTAGATTGGAAAATGCACGGCAACATTCGTCATCCGCCTACACGTGTACGTTCGTTCGCTCATTAGACGTTCGTTTTAACGCTCTTTCAGACACTGAGACAGACAACAGTCAGATCAGCAGTTTGTTGTAGACTGTCTGTGATATCTCTGCGGACAAATTTTACACTTTTCATCTTCACATATTATTTGTAGTATCGCAACTATTTCGGTCTTTTTACCCTGTGTTTTTCTAAACCAGTTGCGAAATGATGTAGAGGTACTGGTAGTAATAATATGGATCGGCGCAAAAGCTCGCATCCAAGCGCCAGCAGCAGCGGATTTGCGGTAACCAGCTTATCCGACGCCAGCGATGATAGCGACGATGATTTCTGGTCCAGCAGCCATGCCCCTGCATCGGGCTCTACAAACGCAGCTACCGTTACCTCCAAGCATGCTGCTTCAGAAAATCTGGAAGATGGATTCGCCATGTTGAAGCGTATGCGGGAAAACGACAGGTACAAGTTGATTGGCGAGTAATGGGAGTAGCAGCACGACTTGTTGACATTCCATATGGCCACGTTTGTTACGGTTTGACGGTTTGTTTGTATAATACCTTCGAATTAGCTGAAGCTGTTATTTCATTCCGAAACTCGTTACCGTTTTTTGCTTTCTGTAGATCTTCGGATAAATCGATTAACGGCAATAATAAACGAGCCAGGGCTGCAAAATTTAAATTATCCGATGATGAGGAAGATGAAAAACCACGAATGTCCACGCAAAAGGTATGCATTAATTTGGCATTTCAGTCTGGTAATCTGAATACAGTGAACAGCAATGGATCACTATTGAGTAGTGAGTACAGACCGTGAAGGTTTATCTTGTTCTATGCAATTGCTGTTTTTGGCTCGCTTTAACCTGTAAATCGTTGACACCAATCGTTAACAAAAATTATATGTAACTATTTAGCAGAAAAATTGATAATTAAGGTTTGAGTAAGTACATGCAGACTGATGCAGTTGTAATTTCAGTAGTCTGCTTTTACTGTATTGAATTATTAACAAAATTGCTCATTTTTGGTGTGTGTGTGAGTCATACACACACCAAAAAAAATTTTTAAATTCAGTCACGCCGCGTGACCGAATTTAAAAATGTCTGATGACCGAATAATGTAATACTTACTCATATAACCGGAAACTGGGTAAAAAATTTCCCACAATAAGCGAAAATTATTTTCGGTTAATTATGCACAGCATTGATAAGTTGATGACAAGGTCACCCACATCAACATGCAAGAATTTTATGTAATAGTATCACTGTTATGTGGTTTTATTAGGTACAGGGTAAACTTGAATCGAAAGTTGTTAGTGGAAAGAAAAATCTACTGGAGAATACTGGTGCGAAAGCACCGGCAAAAGCGAAAACTGCCCAGGATTTAGAGCGAGCCAGAGCCAAATTAGCGGAGATCGATCTGGAGTGGTCACCCGGCGATGATGAAGTTTCCGTGGAAGAAACTGTTAATTGGATGCGAAAATGCGAAGAAGGGATGCCGGATCCAGAAGAGCTCGAAATGTGGGCAGCCGAACGGGAAATCGATCTGGTAATTATTGTTGTGCATAAATACGCTGTATGGAAATTGTACTGTATTTTTTGCAGAGTGGTTGACTTTGCCAGTTATACCCCATTCTTAAAAACAGCTGTTTTTTTAATTAATATTTTTTTCTGACAACAACTTTGTGGCTTGCGAAATTATTTATTTGTGGGTTGATACAGAAACAAATGAGCATAGCGAACGAAGATCATTTCTGTGATGTACGGATTCTTCGGAGATTGCTGGAATGCAAGGTAAACAACGTTCTGTACGTTGTCGAAACGGAAACATTATTCTGGTTATTCCAGACGATTCTAGACACGGAAACCAGTGCCGATATCGAAACTGCACGAAGTAAAGTCAATCCATTCGAACTCACCGGAAAGCATTGTTTCATGAACAGGTTAGTTCCGAACATTTCCAGTATTTCAGTGTTTAAGTTTATGAGATGCTTCTGGTTTGTTAGAGCAGCTCTGAAGATGGCCAACATTGATGCCGTTTTTGATTGGATGTTCACTAACCCGAAAACGGATGGTGGACGCACACTGATTTCCGATTCAGGCGATGATTTACTGTATTTTGCTGATATTTGCGCCGGTCCGGGAGGATTCACGGAGTATGTGCTGTGGAAGCGAAAATGGCATGCGCATGGTTTTGGGTTTACACTCAAAGGCGAGAATGACTTCAAGCCGTATAACATTCAGGCTGGACCCGCAGAAGCCTTTGAGGCGTTTTACGGTACATCCTTTCAGATGTTTTTTTTCAACAGGCGAAAACCCCACTATATATTGTGTTTAATTTATATTTCTTGCAGGTCCGGAAGACGAAAATAATATCTGCAGCAGTAAAAATTTGGAGTTGTTTGCGGAGCATGTTAAAAAAATACCGTACAGGATGGAAAAAGCGGTGTGCATTTTGTTGTGGCAGATGGGGTAAATACTAAATACCAGTTTTTGAGTAATTTGTACCACTTAAGATGATTTTTGGAAGTACTATACTGTAGCACACCTCGGCAGCGTACGGCCGTTTGTTTAGGTTTGGTTAAAACTAAACTGAAGAATAATTAATTGTTATACTTTGCAGGCTTTTTCGGTTACCGGACAGGAAAATATCCAAGAATTACTGTATAAGCGGCTGTACTTATGCCAAATGCTGTGCGCGCTTATGGTGCTTCGTGAAGGTGGACACTTTGTGTGTCGACTGTGCGATATTTTTACGCCGTTCAGCGTTGGATTAATCTACCTGATGTACCGATGCTTTGATCGAATATCCATCCATAAACCGAACACAAGTCGGCCAGCAAGTTCTGAAAGGTGAGAAACTTTGCCCCGTTGCTGGATTTCAGTTTTCATATAACTATGCAGTAAAAAGTTTTGCTTAACAATAGGTACATTATTTGTCGCAATCTACGATCTGGAACAGATGTTGTACAGCAGTACCTGTTCGACCTTAATCTCCAGTTCGATGCACTGGTGCCGGGACAAGATCTGATGGAATCATTACCGCTGGACGTTATTAATCACGATGAGGAATTCGTCCAGTATATCCAAAACTCCAACGAGAAGTGAGCAGCTGTAATTTGCATTCGCCGATGCAATGAATAGAATCATTTTTGCCGCATTTTCAGGATTGCCGCAGCACAGTCTCTCTACTTGGCGAAAATCATTGTGTTTATCAATGGGTAAAGTTTATGAACACTCGGCACAGATTGCTTGCATCGTACATTTATTCAGTTGTTAACTGGTTATTACTACACAGATTTAGAACTAATTACAACTTACAAGGTGCAAGAAGTTATGGATTATTTTAGTTTGATTACGAATAAATATTATTATCCAGCCGTATTTTTAAGTCACAACAGTTTCAGGACAAACGAAAAAATATTTCTGAACTGAACGAAAGTAACTGGGCGGTCAGTAATTTTTTTGCTGATGATTATAGGAATTTTGACGAACGCCAAAGGCAGGAAGCGCTGCGCGACGAATGCCTACGATACTGGCAGTTGAATCCCCAGTCATCATTCGACGTACGTCGTGCTGCCAGTCGCGACATTCAATCGTTATTTCGCCGTCTTCGTGGCAGTATTCCTTTCGACCGCGTCCAACTGTCTACGATCCCTCTATCCGGTCAAGTGTCCAACCTTCTTAGTTACCGTGCCGTCGTGTCGGGTGGAGCCTTGTGTTTAGTCCTGGGTCTCGGCCGTGCCGAGGTGCGGTTAGCACCGGTGAAAGTCGGCCGCTTTGAAGGCCTGAGTGGAATCTGGGAGTCGATGAGTGCGCGGAGCGACTTAAAGAATGTCCATCTGCAGTTGCCGGCGGAGACGCTACTGCTGGGCGAATTTGTGGAAGAAATCACGGTTAGTGGGACGGTGACGAGGAAGACGAAGGCGCTGCATATTGTGGATGCGTATTGGCTGGGGAAGGAATTGGTGGGGAATAAGCCGTATGATGTTAGGATGCGGCGAGCGAAGAAATTCGCTAGGAGTATTGTCCAGACGGGAAAAGACGAAAAGCTGGCATGTGTTTTGCGGGTCAAGAATGTTCATAAGGCTGCGGAAATGCATGAAGCTGTTGGAAGGTGCGTATCGCGGATTGTTGATTCCGGAGTGCACTTTTAATTTCGATTCGCTGATTATGGAAGTTTGCTTTTGATTACAGTACATACGGTAGTTGTTTGTTTAGTGAAACATACGGAAGTTAATTTCCTGTATCCGGAACTTCCATAATTTTTGACCCGTTCTTTTACTGATTTTGTAGGTTGCAGTTGTTCAGGCCACGGAACATGCGCTTTGGTATGATGGTAACGGAAAGTGTCAGCGAAGACACTTGTTACGGAGTGCACGGAATGCACTTTATTCCTATCACAAAAAGTATGTGAAAACGAGTTGTCTTTTTAAAGCAGATCAGTGTTGAGGCAGTGTAGTCATGGATATGCAGCTAAAGACATATGTTGACTGCAGATCCGTGGAAAATGGTTTGGAGCAATACACAGCAAAATTGCTATGTGTTTAATACTTCCAACGGGAAAACTTCAACATCGCTTAATGAAGGGATCTTTGCGGATGCTTGGTGAGATCTTTATTACGTACAGTATATTTGTATTCGAGATTAAACACCATACTTTGATATGTTGTATGGACTGATGTTTCAAATGCGATTGGGATATGTTTCAGCGATGCTGTTTCGAATTGGAAAACATGGCAGTGGACAACCGAAACTGGGGTGGTGGATGAAAGGGTTCGGCTGCGTTGTAAAGATACCCTTTATGACTGGCTGGAGGCTGCAAAAACTAAGAAATGACAGGGTTTTGGCAAATCTCAATATTCCGGTTTTAGTCCTGTGTGCATAGACTTTCGTTTATAATTTAAATGCCGTATTTGTTTTTATTATTTAAACCGCGTTTTCGGCTCTGCCGGTGGAGCTTCTAGTATTTTTAATTTTGATTTTATTTGTCTTTCGCGAGTCTGCTGTTTTGAACGTGATTGCTTGTTGGCAGTTTTTTGCCGTGATGTGACGGGGTGATTTTACCGCTGTGATGGAGAGAGAGTTCTTGATTGTTATATGGAGGGAAACCCGTGTGCAGTAAAATAATTATTTAAGCACTGGTGTAATCCATTAAAAGATAAACCTAATGTGACGCTTTTTGATGGTGTAGTTTTGATGGTTTCATCTCTTGCAGCCCTTCTACTCTACAGTAGTGATTCGGAACATTTTATTAGGTGTATGATTCTTGTATGCGGCTTCACTAAAACAATCATCATACAAAAATTATGTAATCAAATTTAATGTTAACCTTCCTTGTGACAGTATACTTTATGAATCGCCATATCCATCACACAAGTGTATCACATTTTACACATTTGCCGGGTTATTTGGCAAGAGTTTGTCAATAATAGACCCGACATGAGTAAACGTAGTAATTACTGCTACCTTAACGGTCACTTAGTCCTTCCACTTCCTTACAAGAACCCGGAATCCGAAATGATAACTCACATTTACTTCCATTGCACTGCTATAGGGGAAAATTACGATACCCAGCGAAACCGACAACCAGAAGTACTAAAACAAATTTTCCACCGCAAAACAGAACTGTTGTCACTAATTTAGCAAAAGTTCATGTACACTGTTTCCAATTATCGCACGAAGTTGTCTGACTGATATTTTCTGGTGCAACTGGGCTGACAATAAATGGTTACTACAAATTATCAACAACTTCCAATTTATTATTCCTGTTAATTTTTTCTTCGAAATATTATGGAATATTCTAGAGTACCATGAAAAGTGTGGCCGTGCTTATGATATTCATCTGCGAAACGTTTGGTGAGTACTCGTACTAGATATATCTGTGCATACTATATCATATTCGTACTTGTGTTTTGGCGCTACCATCAAAAACAAATCATCAGGCAGTTGCTCTATAATTGGTGCCGCTTGCTATATGGAAAAGCAAAAGTTTTAAGATTTAGAAGTACATGTTACTGGAAAAAACTCATATTTTATTATGTTTACAAATTATTGTAGAGTACTGTATACTTATTTTTTGTCGCGCATTCAGCTATGCCCTATAATTTCAACTTTAATCCCGGATCCAATGTCGGTTACGGTGGTGGCGTATCGTTTACGGCCAACCTGAAACCATTCGACACCCAGAATCCCATCGATTACGCTTTCGGTGTAGCGTTTGGGTATGGAATGGATGTTGCGGGGCATAAACTGTCAGACACCTTTGCGACTAACGGGGCCATGGGGCGCGCCCTGGGGCGGAGCTATGGTTTTGGCGGGGCAATGGATGGTTTCGCGTACGGTGGCGGTAACACGGATACCCTCCTGACCGGTACACCGGGACTGAGTAATGCCTATACCAACAACATTGCCTTTTCCAATCAAATAGGAAATGGCGCCGGATCGGGCAACGCTATCGGTCGCGTTGTGGGCTTTGCGAAATAAGCCATTTAATCCAAAGGTCATTTTGTTTCTGTACAAACACTGCATTCAAATTGTTTATTTCCGGTATATGATGTTGTTTATATTGACACAGAGCATCAGAACTGTACGATTACTTTACTTTTTAAAGATCTCGTGTGTGTGTTGCATATTTGAAACTACGTTCTGTTTTCGTCCTATTTGCATCTTTATGGAATAAAACTGCTTTTAACTCATAATACAACATAAAACACTATGTCTCACAGTCTAAACCAGAAATCACCATCATGTACGAACTGTAATTAACGACTTCAAGAACTGTCGGCTTTTGTGTTATGATCGTACTGCATCCGATAATAAACATTCGATATTTTCATTATTTTTACGGGAAAGTGTGCAGACATCGACCGTAATTTTTAACGTATCGGTTGCCTCGCTAAGCGGTACACTGCCGTCGCGCAGTGCCAAACGGTTGGCTTGGTAGGCTGCCCAGCGTTCGGCTCCCCGTAATTCCGCAAGTTGCTACAAGGAAGAGAAACAGGTTGTATACGGCTGCACGCTGAGTGTCACAAAGGTAATCGAAATAATTAATTATACACTTACTTGTCGTGTGCGGTTGGAATTCACCGTCACAACATACTGAAAGCCGGAATATTTGGCGCGATTCTCCAGTTCGACTTCCATGAAATTAAACAGTGCTATGCTCTGCTGTGAAGAGAGTGATGCGTCGGTTGTCATTAAAAAATTCCGGACAATAATGCCTAAAGAAAGGAAAAATAATTAATTACGAATTTACAAGAATTTTTAGCATTATTTGCACACATCAGATAACAAAGGCCATTCCATAGATGGTGAATTTAACTACAGTGCTGTATTCAATGTATTGCAATTATCAGCGATGCTAAAAATGAACTTTACACATAATATGATAATACTCGTACATAACTTTGCCTACATATACACCACGTACACGTTGCTTTACTTTAAAGACAAAAATTTCGAAGTTTTTTTCTGGTTTTATACATATTTTTAAGTACTGCAGTGTGCATGCAGCCAAACTTACCGGGTTTTTGCGGGATCCCGGCGAAAAGCGGCATCATCGCGTTCTGCATCAACTGCGCCACGGGCCCCGGTTGACCGGTAAATAACGTCTGGGTTTCGGCAAAACTCCCATGTATATCATAAGCCGCTGTCACTGCTACGACTTTCTCTCCACTCTTCACCGCAAAACAGAACACCCCCACCGATTCTCCTGCACCGGCTACTTCGTCAAAAAACTGCTCGGCGATCCTCCGCAGCTCTCCCGCCGTCAAACGAGGATATTCCTCGGAAAATTCACTGGGCTCACCGGCAACAGCCGCAATCAGCAGCGCCACCACCTGCTCGCGAATCGGCGCAGAAAACTGCAATGTATTAAATTCCGGCTGGCCCCGGACTGTCGACGCTGGGCGGGGACACACTGGGCGGTGTCCATTCGCAGCGGGCGATGATTTCCCGCACGGTGGTGGCGCTAAGGAAATCCGCTAATGTCAGCTTAAACCCGCATTTCCCCAGCTGTATAATTGTGTCGACGGTGTTGAGTGATGTGCCCCATTCTCCGTAAAACTTCGGTCTAGATCGATTGTGCCAACCGGTTTCCTAAAACGCTGGCGATGGTCGTCAGGGGCGTGGGCACATCGATGTTCTCCCATCCGTGCACTTTCTCCTCGAACATATTAAACAACTTCATCCGGTCAATTTTCCCATTGGCCAACATGGGAAACGGTGCATCACAGCGGACAAAAGACGGCTGCGCGTACGACGGTAAATGACAGCGGACGGATTTCTTGGCTTTATGCGCGGCATGGTCATCGTCATTATCACCAGTACCGCCGCTATAATAAAATGCATAAATCTTCTTACAATTGCCCACATCGTCATTTAATTTCACCACCGCTGCATCCCGGATGGAGGGGATTTGTTTCAGTAGGTCTTCAATTTCCGATAGGTGAAACCGTTTCCCACCGATCCGCACCTGATCTGCCATCCGTCCTTTCACATAAATCAAACCGCTACTGGAATTTATATACGTCAGATCCCCGGTGCGGTGCCACAAACGACCGGCATCGCCCAGCAGTTGAAACGTATCACGGTTCGACGTCGGGATTAAATGACTGCTGATGGCCAGTTCACCCCAGCCTTTCTTCATGGCCGGATGGAGATTCTCATCGATGACCGTAATGATGAAATTATTTATGACCTTCCCAACCGGTACAATCCCGTCCATACACGCATTCTCAAAGTGTGTTTTATTGTCGAATATCATCCACATCACGTCACCGGATGCTTCGGTCAGACTGTAAAAATTCGCTAATTTTGTTTGCGTGAAATGGTTGTAGAATCGATGGGCGAGTGTATAGGACATTGCTTCACCGGTAACCATCACCATCTCCAACGGCCCGTAGAAGATTTTCCCCTCTTCGTCTAAATAATCGCAAATATAGCGGAGGAAGCTCGGCACTACCGTAATTCTGCGGATCGGGTACTTTTGCAGTACAGAAAATAAATTCGATGGATATTTTAATATTTTACTCCGGTCAATAAGCAGCGTTCGTCCCGCTAATAACGTTGCAAATATTTCTAACAACCCCGCGGTGGCAGTCAGTGCATTAATCAGCAATCCCATTTCTTCGTCTTGAAATGGTAATTCAGTCCACTGCCAGATGATTCTGTTCATAATTAATCGATGGGATAAAATAACACTTTTTCCCGGATAGCCCGACGTGTAAAATAACTGCCGGTAAGTTTTGATCATTAATATGAAAGACGGGACAGGCGAAATGCCGGCATGGTTGTCGTGCAATTTCCAGTAGTTTTTCCGCTTCCACCATAACAATATCGGCGGAGAATTCCTGCAGCTGCTGTGGATCATCACAAATAATGAAAGACGGTTTAGCATCACTGATTATGTAACTGATGCGCTCGGTGCACAGCGACGGATCCAGCGGCACAATAGCGGCTTTCAGTTTGAGAATGGCGAACAAGACCACAATGAGATTCAACGAGGGTTCCATGTGCACCGCCACACGGTGGTGGTGGTCGACCGCATCCGGCGGGCAGCGTTCCAGCATATCGGATAGGACGGACATGAGCGCGTCAGATAGCCGGTCCAGCTGACCGAAGGATAGCGTATCGTTGTCGCAGATGACGGCTGTTTTCTTGCGCGTGGGTGAACGGATGTCGGTGCGACGGTCATGTTGTTTGATGTTCTGGACGAGTTTGAGGAAGGCGCCGTGCAACGAGGCCATTTCCGGGAGCTCCGACGCTCGGACCGGAAATAGTGTGGAGTGGAGGTGCTTTTGTCGGCTGGCATTCTGCAGAAAATTAAATCCGGGGTAGTGGTAGGGAAAGTTAAATGAGTATGATGTCGGTATAATTGTTATGTAATAATAATTCTGCGAGCATATACTGCGACAGTTATTAAATATCCGTCAGAAGATATTATCAAGGCTTCATTTGATCACCAAGCAAAAATTACAGTAATTCTTTTTCAATTTATTATGGTGCTATTCCTGCCGACTCTCTCCCTCTTATTGTTCAATTATAATTTGCATAGTATTATAGTATAGCATCGCTTGCAAAATGGACCAGTTTAGCAACATCAGGATCGAGATCAAGATGAGTAAATATCAACATCGAATGAATGTTTTACAAATTTCAACTGATGTGAATTGCATAAGATACTCATAATTTCAGTAACTGCAAAAGCGTTAAGATTAGCCCACAGAAAGAATTTCGGAGACGTAAAATTTCTGTTACTATACGAGCGTAACTTAAACGATCTTAGAAATTTAGTTTTCCTTATGTACCTTGCAAGTTAAGATTCCCCATGGTGTCGAATGCTCAAAGACGTCCAGATTACAATCCACCGTCTATTCAGTTCAAATTTCAAGACCAGCCCGTAATTTCACTACGACATCATAATTGAAATGCAGTCCCTTTGTCGGCGGTAGATAAGATGAAACCTCGAAGGCGCCTCGATAACAAAACCAACAAATGTGGAGAGAAACTGGAGTGCGAAGTGTACCGGGAATGACCATGAAAATACTGGATTCTAGAATTTGGACTGGTTATCGCTTGCGATCCAGACGCACGGATAAATACATGCGCGCATTCGTATACCGCAGTGAACAGCTGTACAGTATGTACTCGGTAGGGTAGGTGTGTACAGCAGTCGATTATGATCACTTACACCGCGATAGCGGCAGAGGTCGTTATACGACTTTTTTTGTTACACAACACCAGTAAAGTGAATGACAATCAGATGTAAAACTATAAAGATTAGTACTCCATACTAATCATTTGTGCTTTGCGTTTTAGCAGGCTTAAAGGTACTGCGCACATTAAGAATTTGAATGCAGACTTTATACTAGAAGTATATATATATATGAAAACAGTACGTACGATTTCCATTTACAGGGTTTACAGGGTAGACACTACATGAGTAGAAGATTTCTCCTTTGATTGACCTTTGGCACATCGACAGACGTAATATTCGCACCACATCCAAAACCCTCAGAAAACCAGCGCTTTATGGAAAGTGCAACAAAATTTCGCGGCAAACCGCAAAACTTGTAGAAAATCAGCTAGTTTTGGAGTGAGCTTCCTACCTCGAAAAACTGGTTTTTTTCGAAGCGTATTATGTATCTACTCTGTAAACAGCACATGTACAAGTGCATAAATAATTTCTACTCAGTATAATATTCGCAATGCGTGTGCTTTTTGCTGGAAGGCATGCTGGATATCAAGGTAGAGGATACATACGTTCTTTCGTGTAAAAAGAAAAATTTATGTCGCCACTCCTAACTCGTGTGAGATATCTTTGCAGAAGTGCGTTTCACGTGCCGTGTATGTGATCAAAGCCATCAAATTACTCGGGCATTGTGAGAAGAAAGCCGCCTTTAATTCTAATCAAATTTACGTATGTATTTGTTGATGGGAATAAGAAATCTTGGCGAAGTATTACTATGTGAGCGACTATAAATATCGTTATACTTTATGCTACGTACTGATCTTTTGTTCATCCACATGTACAACAGTTTTTAATAGTATAAACTATACGAGAACAGGAAAGCAAGATTGTTCACAACTGCGTAATCCAAGGTTCGGTTACTCCTTATTGTTTGCTTGAATAATTTAATTAATGAAAAACAATGGAATCACAGAATTGTTTGTGTTTATATATATGTACGCGCACCCAAGTTGGAGCACAAAGTACAGTAATGACAGCAGTAAACATCACACGCCATCGGGCTGGTCTGCAGTTGCCAGTTCCATTTCCGTCGCCAGCCAATTGGCGGCATCCTCAACAAAAGAATCCACTGTATGGTACTCCATCCGTGTCGTCCCCATTGCCCCGAAGGAAACACTTCTCGATCTGTCCCTAGTATAGGTATATTCTGGAATTGTCTCCTGAATGTTAATCATCGGTACCCGTATTAATGGCAATACGTCCAAAGTCATGGTGTCTGTATCTGGTTTGTCGTCGAAGGGCACAATGCCGGAAGACAAACATAGCCGGTTTAATTGCAGCTTGGCCCAGCGCTGATAACCTCGTGATTCACTAACTTTCTGTGGATAAATAACATCAAAAAAATTTACTGCCTAAAATATAATTAAGTTAGTAAAACATTAGGCGAATATCAATTGCTCAATGTTGTCTGTCATAAGTAAATACATCTTACTCCGATTCGGAAAGGCAGCTTCTCGTGTCAGTGCTCTCATAAATTCTCAGAGAATGAGTACTATATTAACGGAATGCACAAAAATATACTCAAGTCGCCAAAATTGATTCGAAACCACAAGATTTGGAATTGGTTAATTAAATTTATGTACACAGATACGCTTGTAAGTTACCTGCATTAATACGTCAAAATTCGTAGTCATAATAAACTGGTAACCCAGCCGGCGTGCTCGCTTTTCAAGTTCTTCGTCAATCTGGGAATAGATCGAGAATTTTTCTTCGTCTGATAGCGTATCATCAACAACGGACATCAGATGCAGAACAACAATGCAACCTGTAACATAAGAAGAATACTGTACATACATGCAGAAATTGGGAATGTAAATTCTGAATTGTTGATTAATTTTATCTGCATGTGAAGGCCTGCATGTTGATGTTACGAGTTATGAGCAACTGCGAGAGAAGTGCGAAATCCACTAAAAAATATTGATGTCGGTTGCAAAAAATTCGTACCGGCTGACTGTGGTAGCGTTCTTGTTAACGGCTTCAGAATTCTGTGAAGCAGCTGATTCCTGGGATCCTTCATAGGATGCATTAATTCCTTTAAATCAGCTGAAATTTCAAAGGGATCGTAAGCCATTCCAATACCACAGGCTTCATCGCGATCATCGGTAACAATAAACACGAATTCCCGCGGCTCCATTCCTTCGAATATGGTCAGCGCATACTCCGCCAACTGAGATCGCAGGTGCAAATTTTCTTCATGGGATGTCAGGTCAGAACTGGACAGTATCCCCGAAAGCAGAAGATTAACAGCTTCATCTTTTAACTCCGGGGACATTTCGTCGGGCGCATGCACGGCGACAAAAACCGGTGTCGGTATCGCGACAGTAGCCGATTCGGACGGGACCGAAACCGTAACCGCTTCTTCACTGGCCATGGGCACTTCGTGAACGGGAGGTGGAGTCGGGGGCGGATTCGGGGGCGCTAATTCCTCCTCGATTTCTTGTTTTACCGGAGGTTCAGGAATTATGTAAAGAAAACCAGATTTCGGTTCGATGAACGCCGACCGCCCAGTCCGGACCATATCGGATAATTCACCCGAATCGTCATGGTCATGACCCAGACCGTTAACAGCGACCGATACTTCCGCAATCCGCTTCCTTAACCAGTTGCAGTTGACAAAGAGTTTCCCGGTGGTTCCGTTCGTTACTGGCTGCATGTCATCGTCCAACACCAGCAGCTCCAATTCCGGACTGATGGGCGTTCCCACGGGGATCAGGTCATTCTCGACGTGGGAACTCAGATCCTCCTTGTTGTCAAAAATACACCAGGCGATTTCCCCGGCTAATTCCCCGACGGCATACGAATATCCTAGTTTGCTGGGAGAGAAAACGTCAAAAAACTCTTCGGCTGTTTCACATGACAGTGCATCGTGTTCTTGCTGGTGAATCATAACTAATTTCAACGATCCAAAAAATTCTCGCTTGCGTTCTTTAATGTACAGCAACAGGTGGTTTAATTCCGTCGGAGTGAGTAGCAACCGTCGAACAGGAAAGGTCTCCAGCACATGGATGAATACCGCAGGTTGTGAGCAAATATCCACCGGTAGGAACAGCGCCGTCTGACCACCCAATAATGTGCCGAACAACTCAATCAGAATATTAATCGAAGTGAAAGGGGATTTGACCAAAACGGTCTCGGCTTCATTACTGGTGAAGTACAGTTTATCCCAGTGTGCGGCAAGACGATGCAGAATTAATTTGTGGGAAAATTCGTACGACTGCAGCGTATCCGCGTCGTACAGAATCACCGCTGTGCTGTCTTCATCCTGACTGACGATGGTCGGAGCACGCCGGTAGAACGTTGCATAATCGGCAGCAATCAGAAGAAACATCTGTGCATCAATCACCTCCACTGGTAAATTTTTAATATCTAATTGCAGTCGAAGAGTATCATCACAGATAAATATATGCGGCCGGGTTTCGGTCAGGATGATCTGGATTCGGTCCACGGTCCACTGCGGATCCACGGGAATGGCGGCCGCGCCCATTTTCGTCATGCCGAAAATTATTGGGATGGTTTCAATGGAACGCGGTGCTAGGAAGGCGATCTTTACGGGACCGGTGTGGGGAAGAGTTTTCGCCTTGCTTTGTAAATATGCGGCGACACAGTCGGATAACCGGGCCAGCTGACCGAATGTCAAGGTGCGTGAATCAAATCTTACAGCAATGTGATTGCGTTTGGTGTCGGAAATGGTTTTCATGAGATTGGTGAATGTGGCATGCAGTGTCGCCGTGGAGGCATCGCTGCTGCAACTAGATGCTCGCGATCGAGAAGCCGCGGATGACGGACCTGTAACAATATGACACCAATTTTTTTAAAATTTTCATTGTATACGTAATTTTCTTTCCAGAAAAGAAGGGCAGGATGCATTCCTTTATAAAAGTTGCGCCGAAATCGTACAGTAATTGCAGGAACTGCAACAGTATTAAAATAATTACTGTACATGGACTGCAAACAGGATAATGTATGTACAAGTACTTACACGTATCCTTAACGATAAGTATATTTACTCTGTATATAAAAACGGACAAGAAATTTAATATCTACAGTTTAATATCTACAGTAATAAGCGAAAACACTCGTACGTGCCTTTAACAAATTAACATTACTTACGTGTATGTGTTGGGGGCGCGGATTTCTTAAGCTTTATGTTCTCTTTTCCGGAAAACGATCCCGAATTTCCTTTGGTCAGACCATAGTCCTTTAAATTCAGGGAGGCTGCTCTTCGCATGGAGCGGTCATTCATGAGTACATTTAGGAAAAGTTTGGCTGCCGCCGATGGTCTCCCTGGATCCATTTTTGAACAGTAAATGTTCAGTACGAATCCATATAAAATTTTATTAATAGCGTCAGTGCAACACAGAATCCACTTCAGGTTTAATGGTAAGGAATGTCAACCATGGGTCGGAGTGTTATTGCTCCCACCTGATCAATGTGATCCAGCTCATTGCTTACAATACATCAGGTTAATGTTAATGTAAATAGTAAAAGTTTGCGGTATTCCATCTACGTAATATTCTCAAAAAACCAGCGTGGTCGGCAACATAATTAGATACAGATATGATTGCATAGTGCAGTCGCGCGAATTATTATTGCTAATTTGCTGCAATTAATGGATGCATTTTTTAAGCCCTACGCCGGAAAACGGTAGTGCTCGTCTGTGCACAGCACGCCAGCTTAAGCATGCATTGTACGCATCTGTATGCACGGTGTAAATACTGTGGCATTATTTTACTGCTCACTTTGCTACCTAATTAGGACTTGAATTACGTAAACCATATTATTTAAGTTCCTCATACAGTAGACTCAAAGTCTCAAACGCGTTAGAACCAGAGAAGTTGACAGGTATCGCAAAGGAGCGATTGTACGAAATGCCGACTTTACCAAATGACCTATATATATTTATGATTGAACGTTTCAGCCGATTACCCGGGAGCGAATGCAACGCGGTATACCTGGAGACTTGGAGTCGAAGAGATACAACACTGCAAAACGGAAATAAATAAGAAAAACAATGCAGTACTGTGCCTTCTGGCAGGCCGGCAAGTAAAATGCATATCATATGAGCACTGTACTTCTATTGTATAATATACATATATAGATACGTAAATTTTCCTTTTTCAGTAACCAGTTTACGTCCACTACTTCGTACAGTAATCATACAGTGTTTGGCAGTACCACAACCCAATAATACTACTACCTGGGGCTGTGGCAGTACCATCACTACCAGTACCATGGCATTTAGCCATTTACTTTTTATGCTGTAGATGTAAGAAGCCAGTAAACCTGTCATATTTGCGTCGCTAACAATAAAGCAGCATCATATCTTCCAGAATTTTCATTTTCTTCGGTGAAAAATACTTACGATTATTATGAAATTCTGTTAAGAATTGTTTACCGTACAGATACATGCAACGGGCCGTGAGTCGTAAATCGTAAACCAACTGTACTTGTTGTTAATAAGCCGAAGGGCATTATTATTAACAGTGTGTGAGCGATTAATGGATTGATTGCTAGCTTCTTTTTCAGCCGGTAAGATTTACATTGCGGAAATTTGCACTCATTTGCTTCTGTTAGGATGCGTGCACGAAAACCTTCGCAAATCAGTATTGCATTCAGATCGTTATTTTTTATTTCGTTTGAATAAAATGTTATCAATTTCCTAAAAGAACTGTGCAAGCGCAAACCGTGATAAATTAATAAAGCACCGAGCAGCTTAAATCAACATACACAAACAATAAAAACTCCACAATCTGTCACAGGTATCAAATTATATCTCATTACGAAAATAGCTTTGGTACAAAATGTGAAATAAATCTCACTTATTAGCGGCCTAAAAAATCAACCAGGAACTGATTACGAAAATTAATCATCAGATAACTTCATTGTGCAAAGGTATGGTCCATCATCTTCGGAGTCTGATGGGGAATGGATTTCAGCTCAGGGTCCAGACGGAGCAATTCTTCCGCTTGTTGAATCAAGTTGTTGAAAAACTCTTTCTTGTCAACATGATCACGAGCTCCCTGAACGAAATTTAAGAATCACAGATAATCAGAATTCTCAATTTACCGCTATATCACACAAACGAATTACAAATTCTGCGACAACATCAAAAGAAGTCACAGAACTACTGTAATTGTAAGTCGGTAAACCTCAGCAATTAAAATATGAAAGAAAGACAAACCTTTTTGAACCACTCAATCGCCTCTTCGACGCGCCGGCGGAACACCAAAAATTCTCCGTAAATCCAACATACATCGGAATTGTTGGGGTTAATTTCAATGGCTTTTTTGAAATGCTTTTCCGCATTTTCCGGTTCACCCAAGGAGAAGTACATTTTCCCAAGATTCATGTGAGCCACGAGGAAGTAAGGGTCGCGCTCCACCGCCTTGAGACCAGTGATCACACCGTTACGGAAATCACCACGCGAGGCATAATTCTCTGCCAGTCGATTCGTAATCTCGGTGTTTGTTGGGTATGTGGCATGTAGCTCCTTGAAGATCTCGAAAGCTTTTTCTGCTTTAACAGGTGGAGCAAGCGTTTTATCATCCTCAATACGGTTGTCTGCAAATTGCAACGGAAATGAATTACGAATGAATGAAGAGTGCACCAGATAATAAAATAAACTAACTGCAGCAAAAAAATGAGTACGAGCGCTCTTTATCTTTTGCAGGAAACCAAGATTAACGCTCTAACATTCAACGTACCTTGCACACCACTGACACCAGAAGGAAATGCATTAAAGTGAATGTTACTTTCTTAATAGCTTTCTTCGTATATTTCCTTTGGATTCTTACATATAAAATGGAAAGATTTAAGGAACACCCTTAAATATCACTTTTTTAATAAACAAACGTTTTTCTTATACAACCGAGCAAAAATGAAGTAATGAACTGATAATGAAGTAAAGGTCCAATGTGGCCGGTGAACTTACTTTCATAAGTGAGATTCTCCATATGCAGAGCACCGATATTTTTCTGGATGCCAACGGCTATGGTGTCTCCAACATTAATTGTGCCTTTAAGCAAATAGCATATAGTACAGGCTCACAGATGCACGGGCAAAAAACAGAGCATTATATACTAAATCAGCCTTACCATGATACCAGGATTCCGGCTGCAAACCAAAAGACCGAATTGTTATATCAAGATAAATAACCCTTCGGGATCACAATTCAGCCAAACTTTATTTGAACTGTGACCGATTTATTAAAATTAAAATCATAATAACAGCACAACAGTTCTCACCAAATACACGACGTCACCAGGTCCTTGCATACATTCCAACGGTGCGAGATCGCCAGACAATTTGGGATAGATGCGGGCATACCATTCCATTGTGTTCAGACCGGGCCATACTCCGCTGGGCGGGGTCTGTGTGGGAGGATAAATGAACCAACGCTTCCAGCCGAAAATCACGCCGTTCCATGCATCCGCGTGCTTGTGAAATGATACACCAGACATGGAAGCGCCAAGGAAAAATATATTCTCGTCATAAACAGGCTGAAATGATACAGCAACATTTGTTCATGATTGGCGGAGGTGCACTTGCTAAATTTGCCTGCCGCGGGCGAGTATTTACGGATGCAGTGTACTTAAAAGCTAGAGTCACCAACTTCCCTTACCTAATGCAGCTTTGTGAAAAATCAAACCACAAGTGTACTTACCTTAGAACGGCAAGTAGGATACTTTCCAGGAATATATTACTTACCGAAATACATTTTCAATTGACACAAGTTTTTTTCCAAACTGAATTACGTAACAGTTATAGAATGCAAGATTAACGGGAAACAAATCGAAAACACCGGATCCGTCTCGGTGGATTATCATGTGTAAGGAAGGTATTACATATAGTTATAACAGTGAGATTACGTTAACGTTGTTCGGAACTCACCGAAATTTTGAAATATTCCGGAGGGTGCATGCTTCTGGGAAGGTCCGATGCGTTGTAGAAGTTGCGATCGAACATATAGCTGTCGAAGATCAAATACTGAAACTCGTAGTTCGCAACTTCGCACACTAGAGGCTTGCCGGTAAGTCTAAATTATTTTAGCACAATCACACTTACAATGGTTCTCTGTTGCTGTCGCGCATTTCCATAAGGCTCATAACGTAATTCTCGAAAGTGCTTTTATAATGTCCATTGCCACCATGTCGAACAATATCCACACCACGTCCCGCTCCAACCTCCCACTGGCCATAAGAGCTGCAAATACCCGCCGAAAATATTATTATATACTCGCACAAATTGGAAGATAAGAACGATATAATCTACTACTACGGATACCAGATAATTGAATAAATAACGTTTGGCATTCAGGCAGTTTTAAGGAAGTCCACATAAAACTCAGCAATCAAGAGAAAATAATTATCAAATACCGCTATAGTGGCGCCAAGCAAATGAGATCAAAACGTAAAGATAATGATGTTTTATTCCGTTAATTGGGACTTTTTATCGTTTCGTACCGTAATAATGCCGGGAGGGTCCATAAATCGGCTTTCGTCCACCCATCGGCACCGTTTGGGAAATGAATCAGTAACGGCTTCTTATAGCGGTACTCCTTTTCGAAAAATTCTGGAGTGATGTCATTAACGTTCATCTGATCAAAATCACAGCGACTAATTGAGTACTTTTCCCAGTCGGCCTTGCTAGCCAAACGCCATCCGCCGTTTTCTTTGGGTATGTCCGAAAGGTCGCGGATCTTTTGCGGATTGTTCGCGTAAGTTTTGGCGTATGGTCCGGGACGTTGCTAGAAACACAAGATAAAAATGTAATTAAACATATAAACATCACGGAGCCAGTATTGCATCTATGAGCACGATAGACTTTTTTAAGTGACCCGATTGCCACCACTTCCTGGTTTCTCCTACACAATAAACAGAGATCTGCGTAATGCGCACATTTGTACGAGCGCGAACTGGACGTCCAATACACATTCGTTGATCCTACTTCCAGCCAGACGGCATAATAAAATAACACAAAATTAATACAGTATTAAAACGTTACAGTAACACCGGATCGTCCACCGGATTTTAAATTAGTGCAAAATTTTCAAATCAGTGCAAAAATTTTCAAATTTTAATCAAAGGTATGCGAACACTTTTCCGTTTACAGATTATGCTTCGCACAACCGGAAAAGGAAGGGGTTGAGCCGTATTTTCAGCAGCTGACGCTGAAAAAGTTTACTGATATTATGTAATGCAACTGAAGCAAATTTTTACCTGAGCTAATTTGGAATATCGGGATTGCAATCCGAAGTAAACTGCCGCAGCAATGGATAACACAGCAAAAATATATTGCCAGCTGGAAAGTCTAGATGATTTCTGGGTTATAGTGATTTCCTGATCATCCTTGATGAGGGTCTTGGTGGTTCCTTCTGCAAGGACATCATCCACGTTCTTCTTCACCTCATCGACACTGGGAGGATGATTATGCTTTTTATGACCCATCCCTGTTGTTTCCTAATAAATCCTTCACAACTTAATCCTCATAAAAGTAAGTAAGTCACGGAAGATAAATTAACACGAATACTGCGAGATGCTCCGAATGAGAACGCAGCACGGATGTCCAGTCAGGCAAAAATCATGCAGTTTTTTCATGCGGCGCTGGTCTGCACAGTCCACTGGCTTTTACGCCACTGTCGTCTTTGAGTCGCAGTGAGTGGAGCGCAGTCTGCTTGGCTAACACAAGATAAAAATGTAATTAAACATATAAACATCACGGAGCCAGTATTGCATCTATGAGCACGATAGACTTTTTTAAGTGACCCGATTGCCACCACTTCCTGGTTTCTCCTACACAATAAACAGAGATCTGCGTAATGCGCACATTTGTACGAGCGCGAACTGGACGTCCAATACACATTCGTTGATCCTACTTCCAGCCAGACGGCATAATAAAATAACACAAAATTAATACAGTATTAAAACGTTACAGTAACACCGGATCGTCCACCGGATTTTAAATTAGTGCAAAATTTTCAAATCAGTGCAAAAATTTTCAAATTTTAATCAAAGGTATGCGAACACTTTTCCGTTTACAGATTATGCTTCGCACAACCGGAAAAGGAAGGGGTTGAGCCGTATTTTCAGCAGCTGACGCTGAAAAAGTTTACTGATATTATGTAATGCAACTGAAGCAAATTTTTACCTGAGCTAATTTGGAATATCGGGATTGCAATCCGAAGTAAACTGCCGCAGCAATGGATAACACAGCAAAAATATATTGCCAGCTGGAAAGTCTAGATGATTTCTGGGTTATAGTGATTTCCTGATCATCCTTGATGAGGGTCTTGGTGGTTCCTTCTGCAAGGACATCATCCACGTTCTTCTTCACCTCATCGACACTCGGAGGATGATTATGCTTTTTATGACCCATCCCTGTTGTTTCCCCAATCCTTCACAACTTAATCCTCATAAAAGTAAGTAAATGACAAAAGATAAATTAACACGAATACTGCGAGATGCTTCGAATGAGAACGCAGCACGGATGTCCAGTCAGGCAAAAATCATGCAGTTTTTTCATGCGGCGCTGGTCTGCACAGTCCACTGGCTTTTACGCCACTGTCGTCTTTGAGTCGCAGTGAGTGGAGCGCAGTCTGCTTGGCTAACAGAGGCGATAGATGCATATCAGCGAAGTTCAAGGTCATTGACTGTTTTCCAGTTTTCGGGGAAATTTGTTGGGATAAGACTTCGACGATGATATCCCAAACACAAGAAAAACTGTGTGCTCTGGAAGAGATCTTTGATCGTGGTAAATGCGTTGGAAAAGCGAAAGTGCTATGTGCGTTATGCACAATCTTGAGCTCGTTGACACCCGATGGAAATATATTGTTATGCCATGAATGACCGGAACCGCCCTGGGGCATTTTTGTGATTTTACATCCGAACAGGTTATACGAAATCGTAAGTAGAAGTAAGATCTGTGCCACCAGCTGATTGTAAAACGTCAACATCTGCTCAATTATGCGGACTATGAAAATATTAAAATACAATAAAAATGCTTAATTATTTCATATGATTGGTCAGGTACATTCCGTGACCTGTTTTACAAAAATTAAGTTTAGAAAGAAAAAAATTATTGTACAATATTTTACAATTTACAATATATTATTTCACAATATCTTTGTGATCAGTAACCGTCACTGTCAATCTCGCAACATGGTTTGAAAAAAGCATCAATTTGTCTTCATTATTACTGCGTTTTCCTGTTGAAACAAGTAAACAAAAATAACCAAATTAAAAAAAATTTTGACTATGCACTGTACACAAAACCATAACAAAATAAAAGCACAAACAACTTCTGAGATCGGTAAAATAATAAAACAATCAAACGTACACTTGCACGCAATTCACGCATCATTAAGCGCAGGCGCGTCTAGGGCCATCAGTTCGACCGTAATTTCTTCCAGCTGCTGACGGTACTGTTTATTAGCCACTTCTAGATCGCGCAACTTAATCTCCCATTCGCGCTTTTGTTCTCGATAACGGGCACTTTGTTCCTCCTTTCCAACGCGCAGCTTTGCCACTTGTTTTTCCGCATCTTTGCAGCGCTCCCTATATTCTTCCAGATCTTCGTTTTCACGCTGCAATTTGCTAATGCGACTAACTGCCTGGGCTAACTTCACCTCAATCATCTGCGTGCGTATCCCTTCTTCCTGTTTTTCATTCTCGTAGGCCTCGGCAGATTTTTTATATTCTTCCAGATCTTGCTGCAACCGCAAAATATCCGAATTTTTCTCTTGTGCAACTTTGTCACTTTTGGCAAGATTTTCCGATAAGGATTTCTGTGAAGATTCCAAGGCTGTTTTCATGCTGGTGTAAGCGGACATCATTTGCTTCAGATGCGCCAGCAACGATTCATTCTGTTGCTGCATACGAAGTAAACTATCCACCATTTTTGCGCTCCCTAAAAGAACCATAACGGTTTACAGTGCTGCATCTTATACCACACAGCTTCTGAAAATGTTGTAATATTCTCGCAGCAAATAATTTACTCGCAATTCTCCGAGATCTATGAAGTTTCAGTTTACAAATAAAAATCAAAACGTGGAACAAAAACAATAAAACTTGTCGACTAACTAAACAGTGCAAAACTCGCAGCAAATTATATTTTATTCCCCAGCCAAAAATTTATAAATAAAAAACCCGGCAAAGTACACCTTAAAAAAGAAAAGCTACCAGAAGAAACCAACTTGAAAGCTAAAAATAATTAATTAAAATAAAATCAGTGAAACAAAATAAACTAATTTTAAAAATAAGAATAAAGTGGGCGCAAAGGCGGTCGCTTACCTTGCGGACGGGATGGAGCTGGTTCGTTTCTCCGTACATGCCCCGTATCCACGTGGGTAAGCTGATTTCTCACATGGTCCGCGAGCTCCTTCAAATTCTCTTCAGACCTGCTCAATCTGGCGGAATTAACAAGTGATTTTCGACTACGCGCTGATGCAGGTTCATCTTCCTCCGCCACATCGGGCAAACTGGAATGGATCCGCCGTCCGGCACGCGAAATCCGAAATCCCTTGGGAATGTTTTTCTTCGCGGGAACGGGTCCATTTGTGCGTGGGTGATGATTATCCACGGCAGTGGAAATTACGCGCTGTGTCAATTCATGGACTTGTTGCGACAATGTTTTCACGGGGACGCTGGTTCCGTTGACAGGACGGAGCGGACTGACAGAACGGCTGTCCACGCTGTTCGACGCAGAGGAGCCACTGCGTCGCTCACCGGAGCGGGACTTGCGAATGTCCAAAGCGGGACGGAGTTCGGAAAACGTGGACGGAATACTGAATTCGCCGTCGTTGCGCGGACGAAGCGGACGGCGAGATTGGGGCTCTTTGGGTTGTCCGGAAGACGCTGCATGTCGAAGTTTTTGGCGTTCTGTAAACGGAAGAGTCCAATAAATTAATAAAACAATGTTTAAAAAGCTCGGGAATTCTGCATCGAAATATAAATGATTTTAATGTCCAACAGAGAAAACACTTCACGCACCTAGCTTGAACTGGGTATATGCGCGCAACAACTCCGCAGAATATGCGCTATCACTATCCGCCATTCCCTTCAATGCATTTTACGAAAGAGTCAAGAATAAAAATAAGGTACCAAAAGCTTATGTAAAAGCTGTGACAATAGTTTATGACGATGTGATAAATCTATACTTAAAGTCACTGTCTTAGTCACATAATATTTTATGTAAATTCTAAAAATCAAACATTCAAACTCCAAAAATTGTTTCACAGTTTTGAAATTCTGTTGTTTGCAAACTGAAAGCATATAACGTGCCGAGCAGAGCCGGGCTTTTATCGGCCGAGGACCCCTGTAACTGTACATTTATTTCGTCCCCCACCATAAGGGCTGCTCGTTACGCTATTTGCGATAGAGACCGCTGCGAACCGATAACGTTTGGGAATAAATCAATTTTTATGCAGCAAAATTGTCTGTTTGATTCGCTTATTGCATACGATATTATCATTTGTGCGGAGGAATCGGCATAGAATTGTGTGTTTTATATTAGTCTCCCTAATTACAAATCCACCATGCCGGTGGGAAAGAGTAATAAGATGCAGGCCCACATCGGGTATCGTGTGCGTGTAACACTGCGCGATTCGCGGAGCTTTGTGGGGACCTTCAAAGCTTTTGATAAATACATGAACCTCATCCTATCCGACTGTGAGGAATTCCGAAAGATCCGACCAAAGAACAAGCAGCAAGCGGAGCGCGAGGAAAAACGCGTGCTGGGTTTCGTGCTGCTGCGCGGAGAAAATATTGTCTCCATGACGGTTGAAGGTCCGCCGCCAAACGAGGTTCGTTTAAGATTTAAGTCATTTAACTGTTTGTTTTGTAACTTTTGCAGCACCGCTGGTATTAGGTTTATGTTTGAAATGGAGGAGGATTTATTTAGGAATTAAAGGTTTAATCCTCCTGAATCATGACGCTTATGCGTGTGCTGAGTTTATCTTTAACTTTCTGAAAAAGGAAAAAAATTTTTCTCTTAGCATTTTATATTACTTGCAAGTCTACTGCTGACTCATAAGTTTACCGTAAGACAAGAGTTTTGGTAACAATAGTGCTAAAAATTTGAAGATCTGTAGAATCAATAATAATGTAACGAAATTTGATTTATTTCTAATTTGCTATTCATCGGTACGCTGATTAGAGCCTGCGCTTGGAACGGGTTTGGCATAGAATTAGAGCTCAGAAATTTTTTATAAATTCCTGAGTGTCGTATCTATGCAAAAGTATGGAATTGATCCATTTTTGTGAGCTTTGCCAGAGACGCGAGAAGTTTCGCAGAAATTTTCACGAGGGATTAATTCGAACATGTTATATGGTTATATGGCTAATATGGGTATTTGTTTGTTGGAGTTTTGGGAATTCAAACATGAATTTTTCTTCTTGGTTTCGTCGCATTTAGGCAATAAGTTATAGTCTGTCTGTTTACTTATAGCGCTTATTATATTTTATTTTCTGTAAAATCGTACGAGTATTACTGCAATTTCGAAGTCGACGTTTTGTATTAACAAAATTATTAAAATCTGTTCCGTCGGTTCCGATGTGAGAGACATAGGGGGAGTTTTCCCGTTTCTCTGGAGATAGTAATTTCTGACCCCCTACGGTTTGGCTTTTTTCCAGGATGTCATTCCTCGCGTCCCGATCCCGGGAATGATGCCCGGCATGGGTGTGGGACGGGCAGCCGGTCGTGGCCTGCCCATGTCGGTGCCTCCGGGCGCGTCAGCGCCGCCCACCGTCCCTTCGGGATTGTCCGGACCAGTGCGGGGTGTGGGCGGACCTCCGCCGGGTGTCATGGCACCGGGTGGTGTCCCGGCCGGAATGATGCGGGGTCCGCCGCCAGGCTTCCCCATGCAGGGACCACCAGGAATGCCGGGTATGCCACCACCACGCGGTATGCCGCCGCCACCGGGCGGAATGATGCGCGGACCACCGCCGGGAATGCGACCTCCGGGACAGTAGTTCGCCTTATTAAATTCGCATTCACGTGTATCCTATTGTTTTGCCATTATGTTGTTTTATTCCATTTGATCACTAGATGGCACGCCCATTGTTGACTGATCTAAAATATTGTTGAAACGAACCTCGAGGTTGTTGTATTGTAACCGTGTTGGTCCTTGGATGTTAGGTTTTTTTTATTTCGAGATTCAGTTTGCGAAATGTTTTTTATGCATTTTCGAATTAGTAGTTAGTTTAGCTAATGACTGACAACACCGCACGTCATTTTATTTGATTTGCACGCCACTGTGTGCTGGTTCGAAGAATAATATACTTTCGCGTTGCTCGTTCACGTTTAGTGTACGAGACTACTAGTACAGTATAATAACTGAAATTATAATTTCTACAAACGTAAAGTTGCAGTGATGATATGCGTATGTACATGTAGTTGGTATTTCGGAAGCTTTCGACAGTCGACATCCGTCAATAATTGATAATTTTGTCGTTGTTGCCCTGTCGAGGTTTGCCTTCGTCCATTCATTCATACACTGGTGAAGTTTATTATGGAGTCAATGGAATACATTGAGCGTTCTGAAAATGTAAAAAGAAAGTAGTTTACTTACGTACAGTATTTGTTAATTGTTACCATACGGAATTTTTCAATGTGCTGGGTGCGCAAATGGTCGTGCTGCGTGTCGCGCTTTACTGTACTATTCAAACTTCTATTTCGACTACCCTGCGGCTTCGGATTTTTCGGGGTGAACAGCTGAATCCGCGGTTAAAGTTCCAAAACCGGAGATGTAAGCAACGTAGTTTATGATTGCTACTTATTGTTAATCGGTTTCCCAGGGATGATTGCTTTTACCTAATAGGTGTGTGGCCTGATAAATCCCTATAAACCATATTCGAATTCACTTTATTGCAAATTAAGAATCCAAGACATTCGGTACCTTTGACTTTTTTGCAACGCACATTAGATTACTGCGAATGGAAGCAATCAGTTTCATGTCCATCATCCAATTATATTTCGGGCTAACGTCATAATGTCCAAAATCCCATTTCGAAGTAACGAGATGGGTTAGGGTTTATTATCGCGTAACGTGAATGAGATGGCAAATTCGATAAGTACAAGTCTATGATCATGAGCATTCCTGTTTACAGTGATAATCGCTTCCGCCCTCACTTAATTATTTATCGATTTGACAAATATTAGGCGGAACTATCAACTACGCAAAGGACATTCGAGCCCATTTACAACGTATTCACCCAGCGTACCAGTGAACATCACAAGTGTTAGTACTACATAACCTCATAACCCATGTCCGGGTCAGCCGTGACCTTTAATGATTACTACCACTTCGACTGTGTCTATGTTGTGATGATACAACAAAACAAACCTTAGACCTTTTTCTTCTGTTTACATGTATATGTTGGGTGTATTGTGCTTTGGCGCCAATAACAATTCCGTAGACGTCATAGCACTGAAGAGGATGGGCAGATGGCACTTGGGGTGATCGTTTTGTGGAATTGAACGAACAAAATCAACGAACTAAACGAAAAACATTGCGACCGGCAGGTACGTACATAGCTATAAAAGAGCTTTCTCAAAATTTCACAGGTAGTTTAGGTGCACCTGAATTGTGGGCTCACCATTATTTGCAAACTATTGCAAGTACATATAAGTTGTGCAAGAGTGAATTTTAATAGTATTATCACAATTTAGGCGTTGCACTAGTCTGTGCCCACTGTCCACTTTTCAGGCATACCGAGCTACAGGCCAATAGTTGTGTGCCCAGGCCGCAGCCAGGATTTCGTTTAGATTTATAGCATTTTATTCCTCGCACCAGCTATCTGGAATGTCTGACCGTCACAGTTTATTGGGAAGACATGTTATGGAAACCGTTGCGGTTTCTTACTTGTTTTTCTTTGCGTTATTCCATGCCGGTAAGCAAAAAGAGTGACCCAAAAAATAGGGGGCTTCCTAATAACTTATCTCTCACGTTTTAACCACATTTTACCTGATAGATGATTGCTACGATATTTCGAAATCGTTTGTGTGAAATTTTATAAACGTTTCATGGTTAGGAACAGCCGCTTCATCCAACGACGATTCGATGGTCATCATGCAACGGTTTCAACGACCCAGGCTCCATAACAGTCGCGATGCGTGGCGCTTTCTGGGCTTTCCGGCTCTTCGCAGCACTCCGAAAAAATTATGCACAACCCTGCCGTGCTCCTTGAGTCGTCCATTATCTATCCACAACAAGCAGTTCATGGTCGATCATGGGCAGGATGATTAACCGGCGTTTAAGCGGGAAGCCGGATATACTCGTACTGATACCAGACGGCTGTAAAATTTTCATATATAGACTGTGATTGGTCTTTACTACAATAATCATTTGCGACTCCCAACCATGGACAAATCAGTCAAAATTACTTACTCTTGCAGCTATTTCAAAGCGAAAATGTACTTCTTATAAAACCTCGACCTTCAAGTTTCCGTGAAACGGTATCTGCGTATAGCAATACCTGCAAATGAGCCGTATTTTAACGATACGCATATCTTTACATTGCAAAATTAATTATTTGGGAAAATAGCCACAGGTAAGTATCTCATGCCTAAAATGTTGTATGTTACAAGCATTTTGTTCGAAGTCGAGTATCCGAATTTCTATGGATACTTGTATTAAAATTTCGAGTCGGTTGAACATACTGAGGTACTGTGTCCAGTGCTCATACTGCTTACTTTTGTTGTACTTTTTTCTAATGTCGGATCGGCTGTGCCCTTCATTGATAAAAATCATGAAATTACTGTATCTTTACAAGCATTACCTGTTTTTTATTTGTGACTTTATACTCGATAAGTGCACTTTGTAGTAAATGCTATACTCACCCATATTCTGCATGAAACGAATACCGAACAAAACTGGGCGTGTGAAAATACATTTTCTGTTTACACACACAAAACACAATATTAATCTGATTTTTGTACTATTTAATTTACAAGGCCACGTGTAATAATTTTTGGCACAAGGTCATAATTCTTAAGGTTTCATTAAGAATAGCAGTAATATATGATTACGAGTATGTATATCTGCTCTTCTTTTTAACATGAATAAGTGAATCATAAATTTACGTATATAAATTATATAAATATAGGCAATCGTTAAGCCGGGAGAGTTACTGAACCGTTAATTATTGTGTTGAAAAGGTAAACACAGTTACCTTACAGCATTCCATGGGATATTTTTCAAATTCTATGATGAATCTTCAAAAATTTGAAAACTGATTTCAAATGTGAGCAAATTAAAGTTTTAAGAATACCGAAGAATATGTTTTAGTTTTAAGATAATTACTTAACATTTATGCCTTAAGAGACGTAAACTGTTTTTTGTTCTTTATTCCGCCATATATATCCAAGTATCTGCAACTGTTACACGCTTAAAGGCTTACATACCAATAGGTATGCCGTACTCGTATATTATACAAATCGTTTCATAAAAGAATGCTACTTGTATAAACAAGAACGCGAAAAAATGTTTGGGGTGCTTGAAAGTGAACAATTTTCATGGGATTTACGCGAAGGTGGTACGTACAATGTACCAGATCGTTTTCTTACTATTTTGTTTGCCAATAACCATAACTGCAGTACTTTTGTGCAACATGAACACGAGACAGAACGCTGGGAATAGTCAGTAAACATTGCACCCTATAATTAAGATTTTCTTTTTGATGAAACCTGAGAATGTCGGATGTTGTGTTTCCTTCCTTCCAGGTAACGGGGTTCGCGATGTAACGCTCTAACCGATTGCAATGGGCATACTACTCTGTACAGTAAGTACGTACCGGAAGTGGGAGCCGGCACGCAGTGCCATAGAAGTACTCGTGAATCGTGATGTTAGGTTTGGCCGGGCGAATCGGATTTGATGAGAGCTTTCGCTAATTGCAGTGATCGACGTTCAAATCGAGGCTGGTTTCGATTGTCAATGTGTCGAATTAAGAATAGCTTTTACAAATCTGCGGGAATTATTACCGTAATAAATAGGCTTTACGGGCATTTTGACGTAAGATTGCAACAGGATCGTCCGTGTGACAATAAACATACTGTAACTGCTACACTCGTACTGAATAAGTATAATATTCACCAATTGTCTGCTCTTGTTTACGTATACAACATGCAAAGTCCTAAACAAACCGGAAATCCTTCTGAATCGTCTTTTTGTAACGTGCATGAATAATTTATATATTTCTGACACCTGAATATTTTTGACAGCTGGTGACCTTTTAATGCAGTTGTTGTTACAAGAAGAGGTATGGCATTGTATGCGTTAGCTGATGTCTACAACGCCTACAAGTAGAGGTAATACACGTCTTAAAAGACGTATATCTAATACTTAATCTGGTTAAATAATAACAATAACGTTATTAATATAAAAATGTGCTGTTATTGCTAAAAATATGTCTCCTCCAAACGGAAATAAAACAACCATTGCGTACTTCTATGCCACAATACAGATCGAGTACGGATGTAAAGGATATCGGTACCAGCGGATAATCTCTGTATGAAAGATACAACAAAGGCAAACTCATGTTTTTAGCAAGTCCCGTACAGGATTACAACGTCTTAGAACGCAAGATAATAGCTGTACCAAGTAAACCCGCAGCATTTCTAAAAAAATGTTTACAAAACCTCACAAGGCATTTCCATCACAAACAGCCTCACATCTCCCCGGTTCCTTAAATCAACACCATGTTAAACGAATGTTATCCCTCCGTTCCGGTATTTGTTCGGGATCAGAGAGAAAAACCGAATGTCAGCCGTATATTTGCATAATGGTTTCCTTTAATAAGCCATTGAACGGGGCATTTTCTCGCTGACCAAATCGATTGTGCATATGCAAGGATTGCATAGCGCCGGAGCGTGCATATTACACGGTGCCACTAGTAAAGACAGCGCGCTTAATCCTCCATACTAAATCGCACTTTACTGCTTTTTCCCTCGACAGTATGCTCAAGTGATTCTTGAGAGTCCCCAGCGGATCGCCGTTTCAATCCCAGCGACAGGGAATCATTGCGCGGCTTCCGTCCGCCGCTGCAGCTGGTATTATTATACACAGCCATATTGGCCCATTCGGTCTGCGGCGGCACACCGGCCGGCTGCTGATTGACCTGCATCAGCGCCTGCCATTCCGCCAGCCCCGGGCGGGTGGTGCGTGAGCGGGCTTTGGCTTTCTTGTCGGTGAACAGCTGGTGGAAAATCCGGCGGTATGTGTGGGATACCCCGAAATAGACAAGAAAATTTCCCGAGTAATTAACCAGTGCAATCGTCCAGATGATGGGCTGTAAATACGGCCGTATGAAGAAATCGAAACGGCAGTACGGCTGTGCTGACAGACTTAGTCCGATGAGATTGAGGAGGACGACCGGAAGCTGTGTGATAAAGTACATACTGACAGCGCCCAGCAGCATCCGGTTGATTTTGGTTTTAGCCTGCTTAGCGCAGATTTTCGTATGGCGTGTTATTATGGAGCCTTTTGTGGAGCTGTTGCGGACGTAGGTGTAATCGGAGGCCGTACTGCCGCCGTCATCCTCCTGCCAACTGTGCCGTTTAATGTGGCATATCAGCCAGGTGTTCAGGAAAAACAGCAAACCAGAGATAAGAATGGGCAGTACCATCTGGAAAACACAAATTAAATAATAGTAATTAAAGACATTATAGCTTCGGCAACGTATGAATCAACATCATAACGTTATCATATTAGCTATATTAATTGAGATTAATGCGCACATATTTGCCCCGCGGAGCGTTTGGTATTTAATTTCCTTCGGTGACGTAGCGAATTTAACGAGATTAAATTTTCAGTGAATTCCATTAACTGGCAATCACGTCAGCTGTGTCACAGGTAAGCAATTTGCATTATTGAAATTCCGAAAATAGTGATCAGTAGCGGAAATCAAATATTTTACTGAATGTCATCGCACATGCGCAGAAAATTCTGGCAAGATCTAAACAACCTTTTTCAAAAAGGGCAGCAAATTAAAACGTTTTTGACAGGCATTTGATCCAGGCAAGTGATGTTTACACAAATGAGCCGACCGTGAGAGAAAGTTTATATTTTTGTACCGAAATCAAATTTGGATTTAGCTGGTTGTTTATATATACGATATATAAACCAAATTAAATCTGCCAGTCGGATAAACGGTTAAAGTGATCATTCTCTGCTTATCGGTGAAAAATTTCCATATGCGCATAACACAATAGCCAAATTAAAATCTGGTAATTTCACTCTAGACATTCTAATGATTCTATGCAGTTAGAAAATTCTGCTAACGCTCATGAGGTCATTCCTAAATTGAGAACTTTGAGCACAGTAAAGTGAGCAAATTGCAATATTGCATTAAGGCTGCCATAACAGCTGGTGCATAAAGACGTGCTTAACTTGCAAATTAAATAAATCAGATTTACGTCTACACTCTACAGTTGCTTTACACAAGCATCTGCTTGAAGACGATCAATAAGGCTAAAAACGACTGTCGGCACGTAATACGCGAGTATCGCTCCCGGTTGTGGTGGCACTTTACATTTTCGTCAATTAAAAGGTATTTTAAATAAATAATGAGCAGTTACAGCCTTAGAGACCGCAATGACGTGGACCCAGGCATAGAACTAGACATCACCCAGGATTAATTACTACGGCAGGATCCGTGTAAGCACAAGATCCCAAGTTGCAATTAATTAATATAATTATAGATTTTTAATCAAACGCCATCCAAATCTTACTCGTACATCAACAATATGCTGCACACTTTCCCACACATCCAGCCAATGCGGGGCAGTAATCTGGCCGGCGCCGGAAGACATTGCACATGATCCGGGATCCTCAGCTTTGATAGCGGCTACGGCTGGTCTCCAGATATTAATGTAATAATACGGGACTGTCTCGCACGTCAATAACGCCGAAAGGATAATTAAACCGCAAAAGGCACCGGCAATGCCGCGGGTACGAGTGCGCCACACATGATGCTGAGTGGGAAATCGGAATCCGGCCAGCCTCTCCAGTGAAAACAACACCAGCAGCCTGTTGGGTATACGCGTGTGTATATTAAGAAAACAGCATCAAAATTCCAGCATGCCGGGCCAGAGTGGCCCTATAAGATAAATATTGTTTTAATTTATTTTACTTGATAATTTATATATGATATGGCGTGTTTGGCGCGTGACAGTTGGATTGGAACAGCCAAATACATACGTATAGCCCAGGTCTCGGCAATTGTACACAGACACTCGTACACATATGTACTTGTACTGTACTCTGTCATCTTAGGCCTTTACTCTTAATAATTTTATTCTTTGATTTAGTATATATGACATTGCAGTTCGTGCGTAAAAATGTTCGCGAGTTGCGTAAATTTATGATAATTTTGCGTAGCTTTTTTTGACACTAAAACTACATACCAGTCGGAGACGTATTGAAAAGTGTATTGCAGCCACGTGAAGACCCCCATTGTAATCCCCAAGAATTCCATCGGCTGCACTTCAATGCCCAGAACCGATCGATGAAGATTAAGGTACCTCGGGAGGGCAAACCACCTAAATAGACATTTGTAGAATTCTGTATTAACCAGCTTAATAGTGAAAGTATTATTTGATTAAAGCACATTACAGACTTGAGAGGTGTGGCTTTATATTATCTGACCACGACACCCTCGAATTAATTATACATCAGTCCGTCGCCTTGCAGTGTTTGTTGTTGACAAAGCAATACCGAGCGACGCGACTGTCTGTGTCGAATATTTATCAGTTTGAGCCATGATGTCATATATAGCATTTTAAATTTTAATTATTAACAGTTAATGTTTGAAGTGTTGTTTAAATCGAAGAAAATAAAATTTTCAACGGTCACACGCTTTGCAGCAACCGTAACGACGAATGCCTCCTTGTCTTGTGAGATTTTATATTTGTATCATACAGATACGTATAACAATTAGCGTAACAAATGTGTAAAATCACGTAAAAGTTTGAAAAACCTTGATCCCTTCTACTGTATTACCAACTGTTTGAATTTTTTTAAACGTAAGATGATTCAGTAGAGCTGTCGGAAAAGTCCCTCAAGGTGACCTTTCAGAAGGAAGGCGTACCTGTCTGCCACTTGTTCCTGCAGTACTTGGTTATCAAATTTAACGAGCTGACAGATCCTCATAGTGCTTGTGTCGAACTCTATTGTCGAAAGGCAAACAAAAGCATGCCGCACAAAAGATCGATAGTGTTTAATTTAGTGCTCGGCTATCGAGGCTACGCGCTCCATTGAATCACCTGTTAAGTAACAATGTCGACACTTACATTTTGACGAGAGAGTAGAAATATTACAAAGACTGCGGATGCATTTCGACATAACTGTACAAAGCGTGCCGGTTTCTATGACAGGATAGACGAAGCGTTTTAACATCGCCTGACATAATTTTCTGTGCATTTATATAGGAACGCCATGCTATTGCGTTTTTATTTGTAAACATACGGGTATTAAACAAACTCAGCAATCTACGCATGGATAAGGAAAAATTAGTTTAACCTTTCGAGTATTTAAATTTCGGGTGCGGTCTTTTCTGACTTACATAACCAGCAAATCGGATAAGGCCAAGCATAGTAGTAACGTCTCCTTGGCATTCCTGCGGGGATACTTCAACAGGACCTTAACATTGAAGAAATTCCCAATTGTGCATAAAAGCAGCAGAATTGGATAGCAGACGGCGGAAACATATTGCGAATAAATAATACTATTTCCCGTATCCAGCGAATCGGAGCGGTTATAATACTGAATCAGAAGCTCACAGCGCTCTTCTTCATAATTTGCCGGTAAGGAATCCACCAGTTCCTGACCAGCAGCGCCATTCGTGCACATCGCAGCGAATTAGTGTATTCAGAGAACACTTTGTTTCTTATCCCTTTACCGGTACTCTAAATGAATCTGCCGCATTTCCACAAGGAAACGAAGAAAAATGGACGTAGTTGAAAATACAAACGCCCTTCGCCGTGTATAAAAGGTTGAACATCAACGGCTTTTTAAAAGACAAACAAACCATCCCTTTGTGCGTGAAAAGCCGGGCTGTCCCGCACTCTGTTCCCGGAAGAAAGCGGATCAGATTAAAACGCGATAACATATTATGTGGTTTCCGATTGCAGAACATTTGGATCACTGTACATGTGTTTGCGCCTGGAGTCGCCTGGAGTTGAGGTACACGTACGAAGGAATGAAGCTGATAGGGAACAGTTTACGCTCCGCCACGTACCGTATGCATATGTAGAACGTACAATACACTGCCGGATATGCTTTAAACGGGATGCACATTTCACCATAATATCTACGTATATCTATATATTTTGTGCGTGTGCGCATATACAGTATATTGACTACGACCATCCCGGTAGTATCAAAACTATAGGGTGCAAGTACGGGAGGTAGGCCAACACGTGTTCTTTAACGGGATCGTGTGCGTGTGCATGATATACTGCAGTCTAGCTACACAAACACAAGCACATGATGCTGCAAAAGGTTAACTAATTAACCGATGATTTCTGGTAGCTCGCGGCAACGCAGCAGAACTTTCTAATTTCTGCCATCTTCATACGATCCGGCAAGGAAAAGGTTGACCAACGAAAACCAGCTGCGGCAAATGCTTCCTTTGAGGAGCATCTATGGTCATCAAAATATATCTGTACAACATTGATAATACTCGAGCAGGTTTTTGCTTATACAAATATTGCAACATTATTAAACAAAATGCTTCCACGTTGTACATGTCGTGCATCGGCTCCAGTTTGCATGGAATTAATTTTTCTACTAACTCTCGCAATTCCAAAAGAGCCACTAATTGCACACGATAGTATTTATTACGATTTACCGTATGAACATTAATACTATCGTTTGCTATCGTCGATACGAATATTTCTGTATTGTATCGACGATTAAAACACGTCAGCCAACTGGCCACAGGAATTTTTCCAGTGCCATAAAAACTGGAATTGCGGGCGAAGACAAGAGAACATGACTAATTGTAAGATCGAAGGAAAGATAATTGCAAGCAGAGCAATCAACGTGGACCATATAGAGCCCAAATGTTTCCATGTATACCGACTCGATTTTAAACTTTGTGCTACTAATTATTTGCCAAAATAACAAACAATAAATTCTCTGGCGGGTCATAAGTATAGCGTGAATGCCCACTGTCGAGAGGCGCGAAACATGCTTAATTAAACTTCTTTTAAACTTCCGGTTTACCTTAACGACGGATTGTCAAATTGATGATCATTTCGTAATAATATTATTAGGTAAGTAATTAATTACGTACTGGATACTGATGTACGATCGAGTTGCACACACCAAGTTTTGTATTTGTACGTACACGACAAATACAACAACAAACGCCAACAAACAACTTATATAATTATATGTTACTGTTAAATTACTTATTGTTAAATGAGTGTTTCGATTATTTTTTGTTTAAAGCGCAACAAAGCATCTTGATGTACAGTACACAGTAAGAGTTGCTAATTAAGTACCGTTAACATCGTACGAACTACGAAGTACGTAAGTAGTGACAGAAAATAAGTGTAGACCGTTTTACTGACACTGAGAGACCCATAAGTATTATAGTATCGCTGTTATATGAAGGACAACTGTTTAGATTATAAAGATAAGCGTTTAATTTGTTCGAATATTGTGGCAGTTATGTATATTTTTATCCCTGGAGCTATTTGCACGTAACTGTTTATTTTATTTTTGCTATCGATAATTTTGATTATTTCCGGTGGTGGCAGTTTTATCCCCCTAATTTGCAAGAATTTGGCGCTGGCCAGACCTTATTAATCACCATCATCTGCGATCCGCGGACACCTGCTCAAATGGTTTGAACGCTCGGAAAGATATTACTTGTGTTAATCCATATCATTATGACCGCATTGAATCGCCAGGTACGATTGTTTTGCACTTGTACTTTTGCTAGCTTCGGTGTTTTTTGCAACATGGTGCTCTTCTAGCCGGTGTACCACCGATGCTGGCCATTGTGCAAGGGAACCACGGAGAAATTCTTCCTCCGCATTCTGATGTACCACTCCTGGACGACATACCGGCCAATGGTGTTCCAGCTAACGCCGATCTTCCAATGGGTTTAAGCGAGCACTTTGCTTCTCTTGGTTTAGGCTCGCCTGCGTCGCACGGTAATGAAATGTTGGACGCAACTGAAGCATTGTATGGTCATTTGTATTTAGTAACCTACATGTTTGTTCGAATGGAGAAATTGGCGTCTGTGGCTGTGTACGATCAGTTGAGAATTGTTATTTTTTAACATAAAAGGAAAATATTTGTACATGAAAAAAGCTTTTTCAACGCTTAATCTAGGATGTAGAACCTTTTTACCCGTAGTTTTTACAATCGTTTGTGCTTATGCTCTGTTGCCGGCACTGTTTTACCTTCTAATTTTTTAGTAGATGTCGAATCATCATTTACAATCACAGAAGTCGTGACAACTACGTTAGGTGACGATGGTACCAACGGAAACACTTCTGTGTCACTCAGCATCAGTCTGCCGAATGTGGGACCGGTCAGTTATGCGGAACCGGCGTTTTGGTGTTCGGTAAATTATTACGAATTGACTTCGCGAGTGGGAGACACCTTTCACGCATCGCGGCCTTCTGTGACCATTGATGCTTCCATTGAACCATCGAATGCGGAGCGGTATCACTTGGGTTTATGGTCCAACATCAATCGGAATTCCGTGGTGGAAATTACTCGAAAACATATTGGCAAAGGACTGCGGCTACATTACAGCGGAGGAGATGTAAATGTGGAATGCCTTAGTGATGCCGCGGTGTTTGTGACCAGCCCGCTGGGTAGTCGCCTTTATGGATGGTCTCCAAATACCGTATGCAAAGTCCCTCCAGGTTAGTAAGGAAACAAGATACATTTGTGAAATATTTAATGCCCTCATTGTAATTATTGGTTCTTTTGAAATGTTACTATAAGTCTTTTAAAACAAATTCACTTACCGTTCATGTGCTAGGGATTTGTGTTGGTTGATATGTAAATTTTAAGTGCTGGTTCTTTGTTAACATAAGTCTTTTAAAACAAATTCACTTGCCGTTCTAGAGATTTGTGTTAGACAGTTGGTTGATAGTGTAATTTCACTGGATTAAATTTCTTTCTTCAGGGTGCAGTTTGAAAATCTTCAACACTCAAGAATTCGCAGCTATGTTATCCCAGTCGGTCTTTGGAAGTTTCGAAGAGGTGTATCAGCTGGTCAACATGTGTATAATTCGAATAAGTTTCGTTAAAGGATGGGGATCGGATTATCGGCGACAGACCATCACTTCCACTCCATGCTGGATTGAGATCTACCTCAATGGACCCTTGCAGTGGTTGGACAAAGTTCTGATGCTTATGTACGTCTGTCGTAAGTTCTGGAATGCAGAGAATATGACGTAAATTCATTTGCTTGCATGATGATCCTCGCGTTTACCGTTTGCTGTTTTGTTGCAGGGGGTCATCCCGCAGACCTTGTTCCAGCAGGTCGTAACTCGTAACCATTGTGCATCCATTTTTCGCGATTTCCAAGCAAGACGCCGACTGCGTATTTACAATGGAAAAGCGTTTAAGTGTGTCTTATTGTTGCAGAAGCTATTGAAGGCCGTTTTCTTGCCTTTTCAACAGTGCCACTTTCCTATTTCAACTTCACCGTACATTGATTATTCACTAAATCTTTATTTACTTACATTTTTGATTATTTCTCTAATTACTCTGAATTTGATAATGAAGGTCCCAAATAACTAATGGGTGTTATGACAGCAATGACGTTAATAATTAATATATATTTATGTACAGCATAAAAGTTTTTGGCTTAATCATTAGGCTAAAATGATATTTTTGTATAGTTGTATTTTTCGTCCAGAATATGTTCACCTATTCCGAATGACGTCAGATTTATGAACAATATTAATTTTGATATTAACTTTTGGTGGTTCGAATCGGAACTTTCGTACGAATGTACATTGTACATAAAAATTGATGTGTTGCGCACAGAGGTCTTCTAAAGACGGCGGTAATATGAACTCATCTATTCCTCCCATCGAGCAGCGCGTCAAGGGAAAATCATGCTGAAAAGTACTTGCATACATAGCGACGGGAGTGACACAAAAAAGTTAAGTACACAGCGATTATCTTTTCCGACAAACACGTGGCGGTGCACCCCGAGAGACACACGCCCGTAAAAACAGCATTCCCATCTGTACAAAATGTATCGAATGGCCTGTCGAGCCGGCATCCTTGTTAGCCTTGAAGTTTCTCGTACACCCGGCGTTCCATTGCCGCCGGCTGCGTGCGTGCCGCCGCTGCCGACCGGCAAGCTTAAGTCTCTGTTGGTTAGTACTGAATACAACTGAATACTTCTCAAAAACGATTAACAATCCGCGACATTAACTTTCCCGGCAGGATGATCCCGCCCCACTATCATAAGGTCTTCCGCGCCAACACATATTACGAACGATTGCCGGCTTTATGCCGGATAGCTGCACCAAGATCACAGGCCCCGGCTTCGCGCGTATAACTGTGTACATCTGTATACAACTGGCAAATTAACCCAAATAAATGCCGGGATCGCGAATGGTCCCAGGGCTAGTTATTTTCGACAGTGACGTCGCAAAGTTTTAGCGTACTCACGGCATCATTGATGGATTTGCAGGGACATGAAAGAAGAAGTATGTAATGCGGTGTCCCTGCATGCCGTACCGCCAGACCGGAAATCTTAACTAACATATCAGTCAATCACCAGCACAAAAGGCTTCCGGTGGTGAGCTTGTTATCCTTAGTTAAAGAAATCACGTACGTAGAGTATTTACTCGGGACACTTCCGATTTGGATTCCCCAATCAGGCGGATCCAGGACGTGGTCAAGTGCCGCAATTTTTATTTGATTAAATTCTTATGTAACCTCTTTCGAGAATGTGGTCACCGGGGTATAATTTTCCATCTTGCGGCGTTTAACTCAGTAGAAACACCATCTTGCACGTGACGTTAAGGTTTGATCCAAATCTATAATAATGAATAATGCAACCGTACTAAAGAACCGCAAATCACCGACAAACAATCACAGATAAATACTAGTAATTAACTGCAGCTTACATATCCAGAAAATGATAAGTATGAGGTCGTATATCACTTTAGGCACTTCAATATTTAGCTGAGTTTATCCAGCTTAACGTCATCTTCTTAAGCGGATTATCCGCGAGATCGACATCAATGCAGTAAAGCAACACAGAAGTACTAGTATAGCTATTATCATAGTTGGCAGGACTAAAGAATATAAACCGAATTATTTGGTCATAAAAGTCCCTGAAATCGGATTCGATTACGCAATTGTCTGGAAAAAGTTAAGGGAAGCTTTGACGACTACCGATTACCACTGGTATAATTATATTAACGTGTGTGTTGCCTAAACTGAAGAATTTTTATCAAGGACATAAATTTACCTTTATTATCAAATAAAATTCGCATTAAAGACTCGCTTTGCGTAACTCTGACCTTTGCTGTCACAAACATACACTGCGTATGATATGATGAATAATCTATCAATTATGAAGCAACTGATAGTCGCAGTTTTTGGGAGCTGACTCGTTTGGTTAAATCAGAGTGCATCTGACGGTGACGATGTTGCAGTGAACTCATCCCTATCAGCGGCGACCAGGGATCCATCACTGCATATGCGCCTCCGCCGTAATGGATATCGTATGTGCGCACTGCGCACTCCAGCCTTGATGATTCTGCGGTACACACGCCTGGCACTGTGATCCACGGTAGAAATTGGATTACCGGCTTGACCGTTATTTTGGCAAAACAGAGTAGCATGTTGGGTTGTGTATGTGTTCCCCGGCGTTCAGAGTGGCTTGGCACAATTGCAAACGATTTCATGTGTTTCATGTGTCTTAAATAAGCGTCGCGCTGGCACCCATTCGGCAAATCCAGGCGCTCATGTTATTTGCGCTTGGCGGAAAAAAAGGATCTGAAAAGTTTTTATCAGGAGGATTAATCCATGCTGTGAGTTTGTATTTTCCGGTTTACTGTCGACTGATGTCACTTTCGCGCTCGCTGCTATTCGGGACGCGTATGTGTGTGTATCGATTTGTGCTGCGCGTATGTAACCCACAAATAAACTGATAAAATGCTTTATTTATGGGAGTATGATGATATGCCGATATTATCATGATACGGACATCCGATCATAACCATTATGACCAACAATACCACACATGCGTACCATGGTTATTTCGTTACACCACAAGGCGTTTTCGGTGGCATTGCCGTGCCGAAATACTATACATGGGAATTACGGGAAGATGACTGTCATCGTGTACATAATGTCACTAATCAGATTGTGCCGACAGTATATATTGCCGTCGTGATGATTCCCGTTTTTCTGGCCATGTGTACCGTGGGGAATATATTAAATTTGTGGATATTAATTCACCATTGCCAAAAGGGAGTTAAGCAAGTATTCTTACTGGGAATGGCTATATCGGATATGACCATCATGTAAGATAATTAGGAAATGAAATTCCACTGAATGGTTTGCCGTTTAATAAAACAGATTGGTAATAAAGCGTAGTATCACCACTGGCGACTGATGACATAACATGATATTGCGTTTCTTCACTTTTATTTCTACGAGCATATGTCGAAGCTTGCAATATTATCGACTGAAAATTCAGTGCAAGATAATATTTCAAATATCTAAAGATAGTTTGAAATTGTGGACTTGGTAATTAGGAAATAACTGTGAAATCTATCGGTAGCTCAAGTTCTGTGAAACGTCGATGGTCAGGAGTTCAATATATTGGTATTTATGCATCGCGAAGCAGAAAGGTATATTTTGTTTGGATTCGAATATCATTTTAACTGAGGGTAGCATGCAAAGATAACGATTAAAGATCAAATACTTGACATATTATCCCAATATAAATAACTTTTTCTATAACTTGGCATATTCAAATTTTAACCAAGGCTTCAAAATAAATGCACACTTTGTTAACTTTACTGAAAGCTATTTAATAACGCGCAGTCGCACAAGAAATCCTTAAATATGTACGCATCTTCATATGTCAGTTAGATTCTGGTTCCTGTCGATTTATTCTCAGCTTCTAAAACAGGAGAGCAAAAAGTCAAAGTGCATTATGCTAATACAGTAAGTGTACTCAGCAAGTTGTGATGTACAATTGAATGTATTACATTACAGCCGCCATACCGTTACGGGATCGATATGATTATTGACCCTTTTCCATGCACATACAAAATGAGCAAAAAGTAATTGGTTTTACAAATAACCTAAGTGCCCTTCTGCATATGTAACTTATGCAGATTACAAACTGTTGTGAATTGCGTAAAATTGAATAGTCGCACTTACACTATTGCACTAACTCCGAAAGAATTCGCCTGCAAATCATGCAATGCGATAGCAAAATTTTTTATAATTTTCGACAGCCTTTAAAGAAAGCGGGATAGGATATTCATTACAACGCAAACAAACATTTTTCTGACACAATCGTAAATTTTTAAGCGGAAAAGAGATATTCAGTGTTTAGACTGAATGATCTGGGATCCATATACGTATATAAACAGCTAAATTAGCTGGTAAATAATATGGTTAATAATACATTCGTGTAATACAAGTACTGCAAAGTACAACGGAAAAAAGTAAAATGAATATTCTGAAGGTTGTTGTCCATATTTATTGCATTACAGCCGCCACATGCTGCCGCGAAATACATTCATGTGTGATAAACAGAAAAATTTCTATACTACGTACGGACTTCAAATATTACTTCTAATATCGCATTAATTATATGTATTGCATTATTTGCATAAACTGCATCCTTCAAGCTTTTTGGCATACACAGATACAGAGTACTTCGTACATTTTTATATGGTTGTACTTACAAATTCCGTGCATTAAAATTATTTCACCATTTACCTATTAATCTTTATAATTAATATTGCAGGTGGCTTTCGTTTCTGCGTTATTTGATATTGTACAGCAACATTTTGGGAATCTTTTTGCCCGACCATCCACTTCTTTTGGGAAGCTACGGCGCCTTGACGTGGCTGCAGTATGCTGTATGTTACGTCACTGACTGGTGAGATTTTTTTCATTAGCGCTTACCGTAGTTATACCAAGGAAATGCATAAAATAAATGCATCTAGATCACTATAATAGATGACGTTGACGCTGACAGTGGGATTTTTGTGGGATTATGTAGGATTCTAATATTTTTCTCTCTGGAGCGATTGATAGCGTTCCGCTTCCCGCATCGGCATGATAAAGTGAGGAAGAAACGCAGCGGTACGGTGTGGCTACTCGTTGGATTCGTGACCACGTCGCTCGTCATTACGTGCGGCATTCTGGTGTGGTTCTACCATTGGTGGTGGTATCATGAAGATAAAGGCGTCTACGTACAGCCGGAGTGGGTTATTACATGGATCAGAAACCAACAAAGGGTCAACGTAAGTTGCGTTGATTGTAACAGAATTACGGTACACTTATCTGTACAATCGCCTGTAATTACGGAATCGCCTAAATTTAACAGGAAACCATTTGTCAGTCCCGAACTATGCTGTAGTAGTGCAATGCCGTAAAACGAAAACGGAAGGTGAACAAACTGGGTTTTGTTGTTATCATTTGTTTATTAATAATAACACGCATTAAATTTCGCCTACACATACTTGCGATTGCTCTCAACACGCCATCTTTAGCTTGCAGTCATCTTACAGTAGCACACATGTATCCATTTTTGCAATTTGCACTGTATCCATAAATAATTACGCTATCTGCAGTCGACCAAAATAATACGGCCGCGGTTGTGAAGTGAGATATTTTTAGACGCTTATATTGCGCTTCTTCACTGGTGCGCAAGGAATAAATTCGGAGGTTTAATGCATAATGCTGGAGGAACAACTGATTATAATGTCCAAGTACTGCAGTCAACGCAGAAAAATATTGCATATGCATACAAGTACAAATAAAAATGTCCACAGGAAGATGCATCGTGTCAAGCTTAGACAGATAGTTACTTTTATTTGTAATACATTAATGCGATTAAATTTCAGCAAAAATTCGCTAAACATAAATAACCGGCTTGAAAACTCGATTTATAAGTACATATATTCTGTGCGAATGTGTCGGCGCTTATAAATAACGCAAGTACTCGCAATATACGAAAAACAAATAATTCAATATACACCTTTTCCTTGTAATTTTGTAAAATATGCGATAATCATATTCGTCAGTAGTGTATCGATAATCGGTTCATGGTCATCAGCATTCAGAAAAGAGTTCAAATGCGAACAAAGCTGTTTTGGCGTGATCGTTTTTGGGAACGATACAAGTGTTTTACAGTCCTTTTTATGGACAGTTTATCGATCATCACCTACAAGCAGTTTTTAATTGCTGCGCCCGGAATCCAGCAAGTGTGTGTCGACATGTCGCTTCCAGGCTGGAATCAGCACAGCCGCCATTATTACTCGCCCAGCAGAATCAGCCAGATCGATATACACTGACATAACAAATTTCAACAGCATTCCAAGAGTCATCATTAAATAGTTTCGGAAGTTGGTGATATTTCTCCAGCATACTCACAGCTTTTATAAAATGTCTATAACTATTATAGTCCTTATTAATATTATAGTTTCTACACAACTTTTAATAATTTTTTTACTGTTACTTGCAATTTAACGACCACCTTTTGTATGAAGGAAATGTAGTGCAGCCACAAGACAACGTGTAATCAAATTTACATATGCTGATAGAAGTACGCATAGTTAGTGGAATATACTATGAAGTAATGTGTATTGCACTACATGTCTGAATTACACTTACAATAATGCAATAATGGTAACTTAAATTCTTAATTAGCTGATTCGCATGCAGCGAAAAACTTAATCACAATTTCTAATTCTTAAAAACATTGTTTTAAGTTTAACTGTTTGATTGCTCTTCGCGTCTGTAAAAATTTATATTAAACGTTACAACTTTAAACTGTAGACCCTTATACGAAGCCTTTAATCTTCATTCACCGTCCATATTCGGTACAAAATCACGTATAGGAGCAAACCAAGCTTCAAGAGCAGATGTTACTGTTATACAGATTGTGGTCGACTCTTCATTACTTTCCTGAAGAGCACTTCTACTACTGTATCTTTCTACACAGATAGATTAAGATATGCCGCTGAAGTGAAGAAGACGAAATAGCGCAGCCATTCCTCTGCGAATACTGTTGATATAAAATTTTAAATTACAATCGGTTATGACACCGCACCGACAAACAGGTCTCTTTCCACGACCAAATGGCCCAACTGAATACACATCGCAGAAAATTTCTCACACGCCTATAATGTTTTTCGCTAGCGGGCCAAATCTAGTATTCGTTTTTCCGGTTTGTAAAATTCGCGCTAGAATGGGAATTTTGTGGGGATTTTGCTCTAAATTACCGGTAAACTGCATCAAAATTCGTCAAATTTGAAAGGCGAACTTATTTGTTTTTTGATGCTGAGTGATCTGCATATATCCAGCACATGCTACAAAATGTCATAGGTTCTGCATGGCTGTGGGCAGTCGTAATTACGCAATTTACAAAATGCTTTCGTCAAATTGTCAGGGTTTGTGAAGCATCGTTTACACAGACGGAAGAATCATAAAAGGCAGGACGTGGTGAATAGCTGGGGCTATGAAGTAGTGGCACGGGTGTTTACACTACGCGCGTGCAACAGCTTTTACAACCCAAAGTACAAATTGTATTTACATAGCCGCCCTTTTTACAATTAACAATAAGCACTGGTTGCCGGCCTCATTACAGTTACACTTCAAGGAAAAAGCCTGTACTTCATGCCGGCAGGTACACGAGGTTTTCCACGAAGTTTACTAAAGGCACCGGCAACACAAGTCAAAAACAGTATCTTAAAAAACTCTGAATACTTCTATTTAAGAAATCAAGTAATAAGAAGTAGTACAGATACATACAAGTAGCACATAGCACAAATGCTTGGTAGTAGATTTGCACCTAAAATGACATAGTTGCTGTTTGATTACAAAATTTGCAGAATAATAATTGCAAAATAACCGACAGTGCCGTCATTTTGCTAATAAAGTCATCAGGCTACCACCGTAAATACGAGTACATAATTATGGTACACACATTATGAAGATGTTAACTTGAGGCACTGTAAAACGCTCTCAACCTTCTGTCGTTTTTCGCAGATCATATTCCCGATTCTCGTGTCAATCTCTTTGCTCATCACCAATGCCTGGTTATTGGATTATCTGAAAAAACAGCTAAATGCCGGTCGGAATCTGCAAGCCGTCAGCTTTATGTCACGCACCGGCGATTTCTTCCGGAGTCATACGCGTCGTCACGACAATCTGACCCGGATGCTGATTGGCTGCGTGATGGTGTACTTCATCACACAGATTCCTGCCGTCATTCACAACACTCTCGACCATCTAAGCCATGCACCGTATTGCTGGTTTGATCTCACCGGTTTGCACTACGTTGACCCGGTCATCTCGACGCTGGCGCTGCTGAACTACAGCGTAAACTTTCTTGTGTATTGCGGGGCATCGCATAAATACCGCCAACTGTTCTACCATGTGATACGGCAAGGCTCCATGGTCATCATACGGAAATCCCGCGGACCCCCGGGCCGAATTCCTCAAAGTCCTAGCATGCTGTTTTCGCCCAGAAGGGATACATTGCGAAGAGTTTCCAGGCTCAGTCAGGCTGGCCATAGTGATCTGGATGGCCCACCATCCGTTTTGTTGTCATCTGTACCGTCCAGGCGAGCATCGGTGGATCCAACGCCATTGGGCAGTGCGACCGTCAACGCCAGTGGTCAGAATGGAGACGGCATTGTCGGGCTGCATCCGCTATACTCGCCACGCAGGAGCTCGGTGCCGCCGTATAATCCAGCGCAATCTCCTAATCTGTTAAACACTAGGTCGTTTCGGAATCGTATACAATGAGTGACCTTTCTGTTTGTATGACAAGGGCCATGCATTTACACGTTTAGTGGTATAATGGTACAATTTACTCTGGGCGCCTTTATTTTGCAATTTTAATGCATAAGCGTTCACCAGATAAAATGAAAAACGTACCAGCACTTCTAAACATTTACAGTAGCTTGCGTTGTAAAATCCACACTTAAATGTCTCATGTCGCGCAGTTGATCAGTATTCATCCTGACGAAAAAATAACAAGAAAACTCAAAGTACATGCTTCAGTAAAAATCAAAATCATAATCTCTGATATGTGATACAAATATAAATAAAGATACTTATAAATTATAAATGCCGGCAGAAAGGCAGAAGGAGGACCAATAAGGTTACCAGGACTGTTCCCAGCGCTATTGTTTTGGCTTTTGGTACTGTTGCAACTATGACTTCCTTGCGCAACTGGTAATTTTCTCCGAGACCGATCATCGATGTTGTTTCCAGCAGTCCGCTAATGGTCTGCAACTGGCAGCATTTATAGCGGACAATATCACACTATAGTTGGTAACTTGGTACATGATTTCTTTGCGGAAGGGCAGTCATCGAGACAACGCATTGCCCGACGCCAGGCGAATGTAGCTGGAGGTTCGGGAGTTGAGAGTCTGAGACTTAAGACCAACCAAAAACAATGTTATCGGAAAGCCTGATTTGGAAGAACAACGGAAGAAATTTATACTGGTCCTGGTTGTTACGATTCTAGTACAGCGATGGGTGTGTACAGCGCATGTATGACCTTTGCGATGCCTAGACACATCGCCAGCGTGACCTGCTCTGGGGCAAGAAGGATAAAAAACCGGATGGCAAAGTGGATCCCGGAAACTGGGAAGTGGTGAGTTCTTGTCGGATTTCTTAATCCATTAAATAACTTACCGCCGTATACCGCAGAACGCTTTCTACTTTCTAATTTTTACTGTAGCCATCTGACTCACACTCATGATTCAGTAGGGAATGCATGCAGAGTGCAGAGTCACTGCAGAGTGCAGTGCAGACATAACATATTTATCTTTAGGTGCTGGCCGGTGCCGGTTTTTTCTACCGGGTGTCTGCGTTGGAGCAGTTGTTGTTGCCGGCATTTTACCATACCATGCCATTTACAACCAGATCGCAACCTACTCTGTAGACTCTCAGATACAAAATTTCTATGTTTTAGGCTTCGATTCCGCTGTTCGTGAGTTAGAACCTTTAAATTGGATGTACTCGCTTTTTTTACTTGACCGTTGATTAACGTTAATTCTTCAAAGCGGGATTAGCAGGAATATATGACTAAGGCTCATTAAGCATCGTACATCTTTATGCTGTAAGTCAGTTGATTATTAACCATTACAATACAAGTACTTACTACTTTTCCCGATAAATCTAATAACTTTGTTACTGATCATGTGTACTTTGTCCGTCTGTTCGCCTCCGTCGAATCGGAAGTCCAACCTACTCTAGACTGTTACAGTTACAGTGATAACTATGAATATCGCGTATTTTATTCAACGTGAACTCGTTGAATAACTAAATTATTTAGAATTAAAAGAATTCTAAATTATTACAATCAGAGATTTGCTCGTTTGCAGTACCACGCCGTACAATGGCAACCCGGTAGCGGCAGCATACAACATCTGTACAATAATTACAATTATATTTACCAATGAAGAATGTGTGCATAGTTACGTGTATATCGTACATACAGTTTTACTTCGAAGAATGATGTATTGTGGAGATTTTATTATTGCATTTTCAGTCAAACACTACAGAATTAAAGGGAGATTTGTCGTGAAAATAATAAATATCATAAAATCACAATATAATATCATTTATAATGTTATCGGTATTATTTAACTTTAATCACATCATATTCACCCGTTTTGAGCTTTCTTTCACGATTATTGGCCTTATTATTTGGCCGTAACTAGATTTTCGATCCAAGATTTTCTCTTTATTGTTACCTTTAGCGTACACTCATTTTTCAGGCCTTTACCGGAAAGAGCCGGCAAATGTCTTATCACGAGTGACGATCTGTAAATCCCTCAAATTAAAACAGATAAAATGTGTGCTTTATCATTAATTTGCGCTGACTTGATTTGTTTGCCGTACTTCTACTCGTACTCCTAAAATCTTATAGCAAAATTTTAACTAATTAATTAGTTTTAATTTTAATAAACGTATCATTAGCATGAAAGAAAAACGAAATAACGAATTCTTTCGTATAAACGGCCAAAGAGAAACAGAACGACCGCGAAAATTAAAGAAAATAATATTTAAAATTTCCGTTCCGTTCCTTTCTTGGCATTTATCTGTATGATACACGTACAAAACCTTCGTCGTACGGCAGTAAAATAATAATTATATCGAACGCCTGAGTGTGTGCTTTGCGCAGTTACGTTAAATATTACAGAAAAATAACTATTATTTGAAAACAGTTAAATAAAATAATAAATAATATTTAAAGAATATTTGAAAATAGTTTATTCCGTCATAAAAATTACTCAAAAACATTTACTTTAATGATCGTAATCTAGAAAGTATTGCATGCAATTGACGCATCGATGCTGTATAAACGTGCGAACTTATCGTATCGAAACTAACAAAGCATCCCGTACAATCTACAAAGCAAAAAAAATAAGCCTTGACCGTGTGTTAATCGTAAGCACGTACGCGTACCATGGTTCTATGGCATTATGGACTTTGAACAACTGCAGATAATTTTACTGTAAATGAGCTTCTTTTAGTGAAAGCCATAACAGTTGTAACTTCGAAGATCTGAGTTCGGTGAATTATTATGCAAATCAATACTAATGCGTGTCACAAAATAATTGCTTTACCGTTATCTACAATTGTTTTTTTCACGATATTTGTTTCATTTGAAAAAGGGGCTGTCTCGTCATGCCTATTATCTTGGTTTTAATACGTAATTTTTTATTACAAAACTGCTAAAAGAAATTAGTAGTTTTCGCTCAATGCATAAAATAATAATACGCTCATTGCATCATAGCCTCTAAAATCCTTTTCAGTTGCACCTGTAATGTTTTGAAAAAATTTATATTCGCCAAGACCAACGAATACTTTCTCCTGTTTACGAAATTACGTCTTAAAACGTTGTATCGTGCACTTCTTGATGACCAACGCTTTTCGCAACCATCAAAGAGCAGCCGCCTTTTAAACTGAACCCGCAGTTGGCAGCGCTTCCCGACAGTGGCGTAACGAGCCTAATAATTTGGGGGCCACGGCCCACCCCAAACGAAAAGTTATAGCATAGAGTCTATGGGAACGGCCTACCCCAAAGCCAGTACTTGTGGCTAGGGATGCCAAAAACTTGAGTTAATAACTTGACTTGACTTTCGACTCGGGTTTTCCATAAAGTCAAAATTTTTAAATTACTTGGACATCCAAGTTAATTTTTTTGACTTGACTTGGAAGCTCAAGTCAAGTTATTAACTTGAAGTCGACTCCAAGCCGACTTGAAGTCGAATAAAAAGTAATACGAAAATTTGCGTATAGGGGAAATATCAGACGTCGCACAACCGTTCCATGTACTGCTCCAGCCACCCGCCCGGAGTTTTGCATCATGGCTGCATATGCAGCCGTGTGGCCATATTCCAGTTCGGTGGCTGGAGCAGTACAGCGAAAGTGTGTTGTACGACAACATTATCAAAATATTTTAAAGAAATAACGCAGATATCGTCGGTTCACTTTAAATTCTTCAAATGTTTTTAAAACATTGTAAGTCGACTTGAAGCAGAACTTGAGAACTTGGTTTCACAAACGAAGTCGACTTCATTGACTTGGTTTGAAAGAATAAGTTCAAGTTAATAACTTGACTTTTCGTCCAAGTTTTTTCGATTAACTCAAGTTATTAACTTGATAAGTCGACTTCGCCAAGTATTTGGCAACCATACTTGTGGCCCACCCCAAACCTTTGAGCTCGTTACGCCGCTGCTTCCCGAGTAACGTCGGTTGCAACTTGCAACAGGTTGCTTACAGCTTATATAGAAGAAACTGGGCGTTTATCTGTTGCCAGCAAAGGCAGGAGGAAGACCAATCAGGAATCCCACCAGCGCTATTGTTTCGGCTTTTGGCACGAGTTCAGCTATGCAACTTTGTCGCACAGTTCCTCCCGGTTCGATCATCGAAGTAATTGTTTCGAAAAACTTTGTAGAAAACAGCTCAACGCAGTGTCTGGACATTTCGCCACGACGACGACGTTGTATGCAGTCAATCTTCAGCTTTTCCGTTTGTGGCTTTTTCTGTTAACATCATTTTCGTGTGTAACAAAGCGTTGACTGATATTTATTTATTCTCGGACCACTCTACGATTGCAAAAAATGTTCAATCTATTCTTTTTCAAGAAAGGTACTCCCCTACAAAGTTTTTTTAATTATATTGTGTTTTCGTATCATCGAAGTATGCTCAGGAAATTTTACAGATTCTAAAAACTGAGGATTCCAAAATCAGTCTGCTAACGGTCCACATTCATGTCCACGTTGATATAACGGGCAATTTCATAATATTGCAACAAGATTTCGTTGCAGATGGATGGTTTTCGGGGCGACTCAAGGCCCGCAGTGCCCGACGGTTGGAAGAAGTGCGCGGGTTACGACCCACCAAAAATAATTTCATTGGGAAGCCTCCTTCGGGCAAAGGTCATCGTAAGAAATTCGTGCGATCCTAGTAACGATGATCTCTACAGTTTGCATACGTACTTCATAGATGTTGCATCCACAACCGTTTTAATAGCGCTACGCATATGTGCGGATATTGTGTGACATCATTTTGAAGTCTAGTGTATTGTACATACGGCGGCGCATACGCACATGAGCTTTTCGTTAACAATATTTTCTAACCCATCATTCTCATTTAACAGGTGTTTGTTTCTTTCATATACTCGTACTGAAAAATATGTAGAAATGCAGAGACTGCTTGTGCAGAAATGCAGATTATATTTATATGCAGAAACCGCTTTTTTCTTTTTTAGTTTACATTGCTAGTACGCCAGTGCCGCCGTAAATTCTGTTTTAACGCTTCGATCGGGAACACCATAAAGCAAGCTGCACGTTTTTCGCACATGTTATAATTTAATAGTACAAAACAATGAATCCCATCAATTTTTGTCTAGCTTAAAATTGTTAACAAGTTAACTTTTACAGGCATTCGGATCACGGCCACGCGCTATTTCTTCCACAAAGAGTCGCCAAATCATTTGCGCGGTGTAAGTGCAAACTGCAAACCCGAGTAAAACAGTTTGTAAAAAATACGTTAGCTAAACGTTAGTTAAAGGCCAAAATTCGAACACTGTTCGAATTTTGGCCTTTAACTAACGTGTAGTTAACGTATTTTTTACAAACTGTTTTACTCGGGAAAGCATATTCGTATGCGATACGTACACACTACTCGTAAACCTTGGAAGTGTTCTGAAAACACATGAATGTTTTCGCTTTAGTCACTGTGTTTTCGTATAATTTATGATACAACTTTTCTGTGCAAGTGTAATAACTGTCTCTAATTATAAGCTCTGGTCACACCGTCTTTTGCATTTTATATCTAGATTGCTACAGCTCGCAGTGCGAAGTTGTACGGAGGTAGAAAACAAAAAATGTCGACTAATATTTAATTTAACACAGATTGCTGAATACTGAGTAGTGTTGCATACGGCTTTTAATTTCATATCTGCTGCTCAATTCTGCTGCGTTTTTTTAGAAAATCACTAGAAGTACTGTCAATCGCGATCACTCACATGACGCCGACGGCCCGACGTCAACGGGATCGCTGGCGGAACTGATAATGAACGCTCCTCGGATGGACGCAGGTAAATCATGTTGACCAACGGTGGATGAGAGTAACAAATAAAAATAATTAATTTCAGAATTATGAGATTTTTTCTAATTAATTTTTAATAGTTAATACAACGACCGTATAGGAACCGGCGCGTCTCGAAAACTGCGAAAGCCACTGCGAATATTGAACAGATGATTACACTGAACACTTTTGAAGGAACCGTAGGTGTTCAAATTACACAGGTTTTACTGTAGTAATTTCCTTCACATGATTATTGCTAAATTATATTTGTGTACGCAAAACCGCATGCAGTATATGAAATGATACTTTTCACTTATCCTTATGTCTTTAATCTCACAAAAATTCCTTCCCTTAAATTATTTTAGACCGCAATAGCATCTGAGCGAAGCCGAAGATGGCGCTTGCGTAACAGAATAATATGAATATACTCGTATGATAAATTATTATAACAGTAGTAACAAAACTTGTACAATCGCATATCGAAACGAGTATCGAGTATCGCTATAAACACATGTCTAAAGTATTACGTGAAGTACAGTACTTATCTGTACAATACTTACAGACATTTATACGAGTATTTTTAGTACGACAACGGTACTATCAGTCACGGACATTTTGTTTTTAGTACGCCGCAAAATGAAGTTCAGTTAGACACAAGTCGCCAGCGTAGTCCCAGGGACAAGAATAAAGACAGCAAACGTAACGACAAGGTTGAATTTGAAGATGAAACTGGCCACGGAAAGTGGTAATTTAAATGGCACCTTTATACAGCATAAGTAATAGTTCATCGTTTTTTGTTTATAGTTTATCGCGTTAACAATTTTTAGACTCGACTCAATAGCCCTCATGGCTAAACATAAAGGTAAGCAACAAAACCCGAATTGTAAACAGTGAAAAGAATTGCTACAACAGTACAGTCAGTACTATGGCACGTTATCAAAGGTGCAGCCTGCACTCTGCAGTAGGTTTGTGATCAAGAAATGTGTAGTTACTCCTGTAGATTAATTGCGATCATATCACTTTCTAATGTGATTTGTTGCTGCTGTTTTTATGACGCTATCCACTACACTCAAGGTTAACAAATGTTCATTTCGATCAAATATCTATATAAGTTTCCTACGCTCTCACAGTTCTTGCCTTAAAAGTATTCAATTTGTCGCGAACGTTTTTATGCGATCCTGAAAGCGTTTTTAATTTAGGTATTGCTCTGATGCATTTGGATTCATATTAGTGCGATGTCATCCTGATGAAGTATCCCGTTAATGTGTGCTGGTTTTGTAAGAATTTTGCTTCTGGATTAGTTTTGTGTTTTCCGTAATATGCTGATATTTTTTTACTTTTCGATTTTTGCGATGTTTGTTAAATGCGGTTAGACAAACTGGTGCGCAACAAACCTTTATTTTTTTTCGTATACGCAGTGGCTGACACTTGACAATCTCACAAAGATGCGTCGCTTTTACCATGCGTATCTTGCATACTTACGATTGCTAGAATTACTCGGGATTCATTCCCCTCTGTATTAAGTCTGTTTTTCGGCGATTTTGCAATGCATACCAGATGATTACGAAAAAATGCCATCAGCTACCCATTTTGTTCTCCATATCGCTTTGTCACATAGCGCTTCAACCGTTAACATTTACAGATGCAGTTGCTATAGGACTGCACTATTAATCTTTATATTTAGTAATTAAATCTAAGGAACGTAACTGGTCAACTTTTCCAAACAAGAATTATAAAAGTACCAGGATTTATCAGCGGGATTCTGGTAGTGCCCATATGGATCGGCCACCGGCAGTTTCGCCATACGTGTCCAACGAACGGACGATTGTACTGCTGATTTAACCTCGAAGCTGGCCCTGCTCAACTACAGCGTAATTACGCTGTAGTTTACGCTTTTACGCTAGAAGAAAGTTTATAAATTTTTGCTGCATTTTGTCTTGTGCATCGCATAAATACCGTTTGTGTTTTACCATCTGATACGGCAAGGTTCAGTGGTGATCATCCGGAATTCTCGGGGCCATTGCGAAAAGCCTCAAGGGTTAATCAGGCTGGTGATTTAGATGGCCGGTTGCGAACGCCATGCAGTGGTCAGAATGGTCGGGCTGCAGTTGCACCCGCTATATTCGCCACGCAGGAGGTAAGTGCCGTCGTATAATCCAGCGCAATCTCCCAATCTGATGAACACTAATTCATGTCGGAATCGTATACAATGAGTGATCTTTCTGTTTGTATGACAAGGACAAAGCATTTGCACAGTTAGTGGTATAATCGTACGAAGTTATTCTGGACGCCTTTATTTTGCACTTTTAATTTAACGCATAAATATTCACCAGATCGATGAAATGAAAAAAGTACCAGCACGTCTAAACATTTAGCTTGCATTACACAATCCACATCTACTTAAAACTTAAAAGTTTTATGTCGCGCAGTTGATCAGTGTTCATCCTGACGAAAAAAAAACACAAAATCCACAGAGTAGTTGAGTAAAGACCATAATCTCTGTATGTGATACAGTCATCCAGATATGAATAAAGATATTTATGGATGGCATTTATGGATGGCATAAATGCTGGCAGAAATGCAGAAGGAGGACCAATAATGTTACGAGGACTCTTCCCAGCGCTATTGTTTCGCCTTTTGGTACTGTTGCAGCTATGACTTCTTGCGCACCGGGCAGTTTTGTCCGAGACCGATCATCGATGTTGTTTCGAGAAATCCGCTAATGGTTTGCAGCTGACAGCATTTATAACGGACAATATCATACTATAGTTGGTACATGATTTCTTTGCGGAGGGGCGGTCGTCGAGGCGATGCATTGCCCGACGCCAGGCGACTGCAGCTGGGAGATCCGGGAGTTGAAACTTAAAACCAATCGAAAACAACGCTATCGATCGGAAAGCCTAATCTCAGTAGTGGAAAGAATTTGTACTGTGTGACCTTACGACGATAAACAATGGCAAAACAATTATTTTGACACTTGGTAATATGTAATGTACAAGGTGCCGTACTTGTTAATATACTGTATAGTTATTGCTCTGTATGTTTGTAACTTTGTACGGGATGCTTGGTAGTTTCCATACTATAAGTTCGCACGTTTGTAGCATCGATGCATCGATATTAACTCGCACATGCGAATACTTTCTAATTATGGTCAATAAAGTAATTTGAGTAATTTTTATGACGGAAGAAACTATTTTCACATAATATTTATTTTTTTGTATTATTTAAAGTAATTACGCAAAACACGCTCTCACGCACTCATCGCGTTTGATATGTTATATTATTTTACTGGCGTACGACGAAGGTTTTGTACGCATTATCATCATGCAGATAAATGCCAACAAAAACAGGAACGGAACGGAAACAAACACTTTCTTCAATTTTCGCGGTCGTTCTGTTTCTCTCTGGTCGTTTATAGGAACGAATTCGGTATTTCGTTGTTCGTTCATGCTAATGATATTTTTATTTGCTATAAGATTTTAGGAGTACGAATACGGCAAACAAATCAAGTCAGCACAATTAAAATGATGAGGTACACATTTGTCTGTTTTAATTTGAGGAAAAAATGCGTATTCTATGTGATTTAGATCGTCACTCGTGATAAGACGTCTCCCGGCTCGTTCCGGTAAAGACCTGAAAATGCGTGTACGCTAAAGAGGAAATCTCCGATCGAAAATCTAATTACGGCCAATAATCGTGGAAGAAAGCTAAATACGGGTGACTAAAATACGATGCTATCAAAGTTAAATAATACCGATGACATTATAAATGATATTATATGATAGTATATTATGATAATAATTATTATGATATTTAACATCTCTACGACAAACCTCCCAAGGTTTAATTCAGTAGCGTTTGATTGACAAAGCGATAAAAAATCTCCACAATGGGTTGTTCATAAATATGCACACATTCTTTATTGATAAATAATTGTAATTATTGCACAGATGTACGAGTATGTTGCCGCTACAGGCTTACTATTATACGGCGTGCAGGTATTGCAAACGCGCAAATCTCTGACTCTAATAATTTATATTCTTTTTAATATCCTAATAATTTAGTTATTTTAATTCGACGAGTTCACGATAAACAAAATACGCGATATTTCTAGTTATCACTCTATCTAGATCTGTAATAGCGATTCGACTTCCGATTCAACAGAGGCGAACAGACGGACACGTAATATACACAGTAATATACACGATCAGTAACAAAGTTACTAGATTTATCGGGAAAAGTAGTAAGTACTTGTATTGTAATGGTTAATAATTAACTGACTTACCGCATAAAGATGTACGATGCTTAATCCTATATTCCTGCTAATCCCGCTTTGAAGAATTAACGTGGTTCAACGGTCAAGTAAAAAAAGCGAGAACATCCAATTTAAAGGTTATAACTCACGAACTGCGGAATCGAAGCCTAAAACATAGGAATTTTGTATCTGAGAGTCTACAGAGTAGGTTACGATCTGGCTGTAAATGGCATGGTATGGTAAAATGCCGGCAACAACAACTGCTTGAACGCAGACACCCGGTCGAAAAAACCAACACCAGCCAGCACCTAGAGTAAAGATAAATGTGATGTCTGCACTCTGCATGCATTCCCTACTGAATCATGAGTGTGAGTCAGAAGGCAACAGTAAAAATTAGAAAGTAGAAAGCGTTCTGCGGTATACGGCGGTAAGTTATTTAATGGATTAGGAAATACGACAAGAACTCACCACTTCCCAGTTTCCGGGATCAACTTTGCCATCCGGTTTTTTTTCTTTTGGCACGAATACAGCTGTGCAACTTTCTTGCACAGTTTCTCCCAGTTCGATCATCGTAGTAATTGTTTCGAGGAAATTTTGTGGAAAACGGACAAACGCACTCGCAGTCTGGACTTTTCGTCACAATGCCAACGTTTTCTGTAGAAAGTGTCAGTCTTATTCTGCTTTTCCGACGGTCGTCACTCGTCAGTGCCCTTTTAATTTCTGTTAACGTCTGTAGAGTTAAAGCGTTTCCTGATATTTCATGATCAGATAACTTTTGCGATTCAACAAAATGTTCAATTGGTTTTGGTTCACAAAAGGTAATCCTACGCGGACAATTTGATTATATCGCGTTTTTGCAATATCTGTGTATGTTCAAACAGCTTATACAATTGAGGAGTTCTGTACGTGATCATGAGTGCGAAATCAATCCGTTAACGGCTGGCAGTGTTTATTCGTTTAACGAGCGGTACCGCAGTGTAACAAATGATTTCGTTGCAGAGGGATGGTTATGGGGTCGACGCAACGCCCGCAGCCGCCAGCGATTGCTGGAGGTTCGTGGGTTACGACCCTATAAAAACGAGACTATTGGCACACCTGGCCCGGGTAAGACAGTTCATTGTGACCTTTACTGATGCGATTCTGATAGTGTAGGTACGGCGCATACACTCGCGCATGTGCCTTTCGGAGTAATACAGCAAATAGGGTACTGATATTATCGACAGAAAATAAGTTTTTTTATGTGCCCAGTACGCTAATGTTGCATTAAACTATGTAAACCAAAACGACTGTTTATACAATAGATTATCTGTCCGAAATCCATGAAATATGCAGCTAATCGTTTTCCACACAAGTTTTTCATTAGGACAGCTCGATACCTTGCTCTGGAATTTTTAAAAAGTTAGTTTCACAGTTTTACTGTTTTACAGGCCCACGGATTCTGGTGAAAGGAAAATTCTTCAGGGAGAAGTCACCCAACCATCTATTCGGTGTAAGAGTGCTACAGATGTCAGCGTAGCGGTGCATACTAAGTAGGGATTTCACATATCAAGATAAAACAAATTATGGAAAAAAATGTTCCTTATCTGTCTGTTAAAAATGGTTTTGTGTATAAAATAGCGCCGTCATGTTTTATAATTTCGTATTCATACGACAGAAATTAATCTGCTGTTGAAGCACAGTGTGAGCAGCGTTTGGGTTGCACGAATGATGAGACAATTATTCAATTGGTCAACGTTGGAGACACTACTAATATTTTTCAATGTACATGTGTTATGGCAGTTGTTGCTAGTTAATGGTAAGTAAATGTTATTTACTGTACTATTTTAACTAATTGTATTTAACTAGAACGGCTTTCGTTTTTTTATATCTAGGTTGCCGCAGCTCGGTTTAAAAGATTCAAATCACGTCCGAAACTGGGGGCCATTGTGGAAGCGGAGCCTAGCCCGAATGCCAGCACGGTATGCAAAAAAAGTACAATTATAATCGTATCCATAAGATACGAGTACTTTGTAAAACGCAAAATGAATGCAGCAATGCAATGCACATGTAACCTGTGGGTAATAACTGCTGGATTTGATTACATCTAATGCTCGAACCAGTCACCAGCCGTAATTGAGTTTTGAAGCGATATTTTTTAAAGCTTCACACAAATGGTAAAAACTCTAGATTATCGGATATTTTTTTTCAAAAGGTTATTTAGATTAGTACGTTTTTTAGATCATCGAAATGGGAACCGTGGGATTGTACAGAAAAAAGAAGAAATCATCAGCAGCCTTGTACCGGTATCGTAGTGGTCAACAAATTCAGGTGAATGTTTTCATACCGGTCGAGTCATATTTTTGTTTTGTGTGTTTCAGTCCGGCAGCAGCACTGTTGCTGCTGACGACGCTGGCGTTCGTCTTGCTTCACTTTGCCGCTACATGGCTTGTGCCAATTAATGGAAATAACGCGGGCGGACCGGGCCCACCACCGGTTACTTCGGCCGTGGGGGACTTCGGGCCTTCCTTTAGGCCAGTATACGTGTAAGGTCAGTTTCACTAGTACCAACTTCGGGAAACGAAACAGGATCGCTTCTCTATAATTGCACCAGTACTACAATAATCTGTAGATCAATAAGTATTTTTATTGTTGGCCACTAGTGTATCCACCAACGGCTGGTTAAAGTAGCATAGTGAGTATACTGCTCGCGCTATTACTGGCACTTAAATTTCGCAAGAGATATGAACTGGACCAGCAAGAGATATGAACTACATAGTACTTTAACTTTAACTGTGTAACATATGCGTGCACTAAATAAAATGCTTGTTTTGATAGCCCACAATGCCCGCGATTTTTTCTCCCGGTGGATCTGAAGGGAATTCGGTCCGTCTGGATCCCCGGAAGTGGTTGCCCTGAAGTGGTTGCTATGTTTACCGATTTTAAAAGAATACGTGTGCTGCCGAACGTATCATTTGCCTTATATCTGATTGTCGGGAATGATGCGGGATTCGTTTTTGTGTTTTTCCTCACAACCGTGCGATTTGCAGTTTAAGTACTTAATTATTTTGCTGTGTCGACTGTTAAGCTTTGTTTCCATTGTTTGCAGTACAACCAGCTCATAATCATAATTAAATAAAGATAACGATCGTGTACGCCAATGATAAGCACGAACACGGAACCGTTTTTTGGCTCATCGAAGCCAGTGTCGCGATTGCCAGTTGCCACTACGAATCGTTATCGTCGCATAATCGTAACAGTCGTAGTATAGCAGGCGGTGTAGTTGCCGCATAATCTAACAGTGTTGCCGCATAATCTAACAGAATCTTTTAATTTTAAATTACTTACTGAATGCTGATATACTGTGTGCTAGCAGTGGTCGCTGCGAAATCTTATAAAATGAGTGACCTTTATTTTGACAAGAATATACCCAATCAATAATTGACTGTTACTAAATTACGTTTTTTGCAAGCACAGTTTCCTACAAATTCGATCAGCGATGGCAGAAATGACTTCAGTTTTCAAATACCTAGTAAAGCACATAATGTAATTATACACCGTTATGTACTGCAGTATGTACGAGTATTTATTTATAAGAAGTTTTCGTGCGTTGTGGTAGCATTAGCAAGTGAAAGTGTTTCCGACAGGAAAAATATGGTGCTAACGTACTCACAACGGCCAAGTGCCGAACATTCTTACTTTCTTAGGAAAAATTTTGCAGCACTGCACGTTTTCGATAGATCAAAGGGAAACCGCCGTTATAGGACCGCAGTTGGCACACGCTTCCCGTTTACCAGCCGCGGTCAGGGTGGTTTATACGCAGGAAAACGTTGGGCGTTCACAACTTCACACACTTTCTTACACTGTTGCCAGCAGGGCAGAAGGAGGACCAATGAAAGAAGGAGAAATCACGACGACTCTCCCTAGCCCTATTGTTGCGGGTTTTGGCACGGTGACAACTATGCAACTTTCTTGCAAATTTTCCCCCATTCGATCATCGAAACAGTTGCAATAATTTAAACTTGACACTTAACAGCCAGACGCGTTTTCTGGACGTTTCGTCAGCCGCATTTGCAGACGATTGTCTGGTTTTCAGTTAGTTCAACCTGAAGCGTTCTTACTTCAACCATTTATTAAGCCGAATTATGTTTGACATCTTCGGAGTGAAAAAGGGTAGGAGTACTGTACATGCATATTAATATTACAGATTAATTTTAACGCTAATTGATACAAGGAACTGTAAGAAGGACCAAGCGAGCTAAGCCAACGGTTCCCACTTCTCATCGTACACAGAAAGAGTACCTGAAAAGCATTTTATGCCTGTGTATTAAAAGTGACATCAGCTTCGATGTAGGTGCGCGTTCATCGGGAAAGTACAGCGCTCGAAGCGCTCAACGCCTAGCGGAAGTGAGGGGAGAGCGTCAAACCAGCTCTTTTATTGGAAATCCTGAAGGAGAGGGTAAGAATTTTTGATGACCTTGATTGTTGAGATCGTACCAGAAAGTCGTATAACGCGCGCGTGTCTTTCGTACACAGATTAATTTTGAGAAAGAATGTACAATATTAATAATTTCATTCGCGCAAAACTTCGCCAGTACTGGGCTGGCATAAATAAAGCCCCTCGCACTGAAATTAAATATTTTATTGGTGAAATGCTTTTTTGCAGGTGACGTGGTCTATGTCACTGTGAAATTTTTTCTGGACAAAACGCCAGGAGGCCTTCACGGAGTAAGTGTACTGAAAATCAACAAAAATTAATGAGCGCTTTAAGTTATTGCTTACTAGTTAATACATCAAATTTTAAAGCTTTTAGTATTGGACAAAATATTGTTATTTATGGCGCAAACTAGTAATTAATAAAAACTTGTAGTTTAAGGAATATACAACGACTGCATTTTTAAATAGTGCTCATACTGTCAAAGGCGCAAGCCGTTATGTTTGATAAAAATTTTGTTATTTCATAAAGTATTTTTATAATTTAAATAACTTGTGGTACGTCAATGCATCATTCGTCATAAAATCGATGTCCTAGTTGTACTCTAATAGAGCCTGCTTAATAGTGCATGATGGTAGTGCGTACAGGCCTTATAACCAAAACATCTAAAGATACTTGTTAATTATATTATAGGTGCACGTCGTTCGTACATTCCTTATTATCCGTAAACCGTACATTACAACCGTAATTATTCGTACCGTACTACCGGAGGTGTTTGATAGTAATTATTGTGCCTACTGCAACTGACATTTATTCTGCGAGTATAACATTAACAGAGATACCAATAATACCATCGCATGTTTAGTTCGCGCAGAACACTTTCGTATAAAAACTGATCAGCTCACTTTAAAATAATCGCTTTGCAAAGGGCGCACATGCAAATGTTTTCCCACTTGTCGGATGTTTGTCAGTCTGATGGCTTTCATTTCGTGTGCAGGTTCCCGCAGTACGGAGCGAACAATTCAAGAGCAAACCAAAACTGGAAACAATAGTGGAGGTTGAAAAAGATTCTACTGGAACGAGCACAGTATGCAAGAAGTATTCTCAGAAAAAAATTCAGAAAATTAAATTAATTTAATAACTAACAGAAGTCTCTGGGTTGTCGATAAGTATGTATGTTGTAGCTAACTGTCAGTCGTTTTAAACCGGCGTGCATGCTGGTTGTTGTAGACCAGTCGTTAGTTAGGCCTCGTCCCGAATTCAAAGCGAATCTCGTTGCGATACAGCAACTCCACCTCGCGAGGTGGCTTCGCGTACCGTATCTGTAGGCGTGGCCACTGCATACAGCCACCTCGTGCGGTTGAGCAACCGTACCATAGCGAGATTCGCTTTGAATTCGGGACAAGGCCTTAGTAAGATAATACATGTCACCAACAGCAGATGCTCGGAACTGCTGCCATTAATAAGCACTCATCAAAGCTTGTGGACCATTTACGCTCGAAAATTATTATCACTGAATACTGAGAAAACTCACTGACGGATATCTGCGATTAGTTCAGTAAATGTAAAATTGTTAAATAATCGTTGTATAATTTAGGCGGCGCTGAAACTGGGAACTGGAAAACGAAATACGAGAATGTTTCGGTATCGTCACTGCCTGCCAATGAACTATACCTGATTTCATACTGATTGATATAAAATCGTATTTTAGATATTTTTATTGTGTATTTTATATTGCCATATTGTATTTTAGACCGGCAGCTGTCGTGTTATTTGTAATGATGTTTTGGGTCTTAACGATCAAATCGGTCAGCGCGCATCAGCCGTCAACAACTACTATCACGGTCTGTGGCATCGCGGCGACTTGGATCGGCGGCGAAGGTCAGTATTAACAAAGCTTGGGAATGCACAGTATTCGCACTGCACAGTACTTAGTAACTACTTACTATGCTGGTTCAGCCTGGTTGACCATACAGATTATTAATTCGGTATTGCAAGTACTTCTGTGATCATCGACAGCGCATGTGCCGTTAGTTTTGTCTTACAATTTACAGCATTAGTTATTTGCTTGGTTTCTTTTACAAGCTTACAATGCACTGGCGGAGACTAATATGTACGTGCAAATGGTGTATCAAATGCTTATTAATTTGATAGTCCTCCAAGCACGAAAATGCGTGTTTTGCTGGGTGAGAGGGGAACCGCCTCATACCGACTGTCCGGAAGTCATGTTGTTGCTGGTCGGCGGATTTGCTTTTCTTGCAATCCTTCTTGGATTTCTCCGTCTGCATGGACAAGAAAAGGTATATAAGTACAGATATCAAGATATCAAGTCATAACCCGTTTTGAGAAAATAAACTGGCGTGATTGATTTTTTTTAAGGAATCAATTGTGGTTCGTGAGCACCATGGTGCCGGTGGCGAGCGGGATCACATCGTGAATATGGAACCGAACAATATGCCGCCTGGTCCAAATGATACGTTTCGGTAAATTAAGTAAATGTTAACTGGTCACTTTATAATCGCATACATATAATATGTATACTGTATTGTTATAATTATTACTTATCTGTATACTTATGTCTGGCGTCAATGTTACTAACATGTGACGGAAGCAGTTAATCTACGTATTTTGAAGAGTTGCTATTCTACAATGGTCAGCTACTTCTTGTTAGCACGCCGATGAATGAGAACACAGGCACAGGGGTACCGCGCCAACGCAGGAATTCAAGCGAGGAGAGAAAAAAAGCTAAAATGATGGAACAACAAAAAGCACAAGTAAGTACTCGTACATATCCGGTGACCGGTGGTGTTTTCCACAATTATCGTACCTTCTATACTTTCTAGCGTTCCGGTTTTCCCGTGGAGAGCGTCCATGAGGCCGGCTAATTTTAAGTAAGCAAAAAAACAAACATTTATGATTAAATGCTCGTACTATTGCTAAATAATATTACACAGCCTTCCGACCTACTGCACTGGCGTATTTTTGCTAGTATTTCCCGAATTATTTCTAACGTTGAAAAGAAAAGTTGAACATACCTGGCGTCTTTTAAAAAAAGTATCACTTTAAAGTCAGTGTTTTCTTATGCACCGCCAAAAACGCTTTTCATTTAGGCACTGCCACTGTGTATGCAAAATTCTGCCGGTCATGAATGGATTGCAAGTTCTGTATCTATCCAAAAATTTTGTTGATTGTACTGTTTCTCCATGTTTGTTTGCATACTTATTTATTATGTCATGGACCGCAACTGATTGCGGTCGACTACGCTCCGCATACGCTATCCCTTCTGATACTGGAAAAATAATTCTGCTGCCGGAAGGGTCTTTTTGCATTTCTTGTAACTGGCATCAGTAATGCGCGATTCTTGATTTTTTTTTGGTTTTCATTGTGGTCAACCGTCCGATTTTACAATAAATTTTTCGCGCTTTATTAAGCTTGTTTTTCTTTGGTTACGATTCGTACATGCCAGATGATACATGTTGACAAAATGCGTATTTGTAAATTGTAATTAGTTATTTTGTTTGTCGTTTCGCTTTGTGACATAGCATGTCAACAGTCAGCATGTGAAATTAATTGATATGAGTATCACTGTATCATCCAAGGTAGCATTACCCAACAAAAAATTCATGTAGCAGGATTCAATAATGTGGTCTTGGTTTTGCCATGCATGAATTCTGCCAATATTTTAGAAAACAGCATTCATTGAGGAGCAATATCACAATAACGATAGTGACCGCGTTCCTGACCTTGAGCTGGACACAGAAATAAAGATTAAAGGATACCACCTGAAAACACTTGGCTACTGATGAGATAAGATGTGGTTTTCAACAAACCGGTACTCAAGTACTGCAGCCGAGCGTACTTTAGATAACTTTACCACATGTGAAATGCTACGATTTTTTAAGAGCACGCTACGTTTTTGGCTACCTTAACAGAATCATCCTAAAATAATCACTAAACTGAGGGCTTCGCTTTACGGCCGGTGATATGTATTTCAACTTATTCGACAAAAGGAAGATAAACAGCTGGTGAGTATTGACGTACGGCAAAGGGAAGTTTGTATTGCGAACACGCTTTGGAGTTCTGAGACACCTAACTGAGGCTTTAATTTCGACGCCACGGTTATTCAGTCCCGTTTTCCCGCATCGTTCTCCATGATGAGCTTGGTCCTGCAGTATTCGCCTCTCTCGCATTCACCCACGGTAAAGCACTTCTCACCATCCAACTGACACGGCTCGATTCCGTGGTATCCGACAACAGTTAACATAGAAAACACAGGACTGATAGAAACATCGTAAACAACTTCCGGCGTCGATTTCACTCCTTTGAAAACGGCTTGGTTGCACCATGATCGCGTACAGTACACGACATCCTGCTTTGTTGCGTCTTCGAAATGAAGACGAATTGTCAGGTTGCGTGACCCGTTAAATTCGCCACGAAGCAGCTCACCAGTCAGTGCCACCGTATAATCCAATGTAATGTCCTAATCTGTTAAACAGTGAATCTTTAGGAACTAGAGCAGTGACCTTTCTGTCTAGCTGCTTAACAAGGAGAGTACGCGATTGGTGGCAATGATGCAGAACTGCGTTGGGCACTTAAGGGAGACTGCTTATTTAATCTATTACGTATACATAAACGTCTACCTGAAGGTATGAGAACATTCCAGCATTTAATTCTAAAAATTTGGCTTTGTTTTGCACCGCTTATGCTGCAAAATAAGAGTACAGTGCTCAGTACACAGTTACCTGCTGCTGCTTGATGTCGTGCAGTAAATACGGGTTTAGATATTTAGGAATGTCCAGGTTCCCGTACGGTCCTTAAAGATTCGTGATTGTTTTTCTGGTCTTCAGTCTTCAATACACTCTTCCGACTTCCTAATATATTTTTTCCGCTGCATTAAGCTTGCCATTCTTTTTTTTTGCAAATACACCGGATAACAACGACAACTTCGACAAGGATACTCGTAAAATATCCATTTTGTTCACCAAATCGCTTTGTTACGCAACCCATCGACAGCACATGTAAAATTAATATAACCACTCTTTCATTTAAAATGAACATATATTTATAAACCAAGAAACTAGGCTCCAAGAAACTGGACCAGACTTGAAGTCCCTTTTGGGTTGTCTGCCCTTGTGCCGTAATAATAAAAAAAGGCACTACACACGGTTTAAGAATTCTCTCAGTCCATCTAAAATCAGCCTTCCATTGACTTCGCCGTGGTCGGCACCGAAAGCGTCGAACCAACGCTCAGGAACAGCATCATCGCCAAACAGTACATCTTCCTCCTCGTCATTATCTTGATCGTCAATCTGCATGCCCAACATAAGATTCATGTAGCACGATTTATTTGCAGGATCCTGGTAGTGTCCATATGGGTCGCCTATCGGCAGCTTCGCCATACATATCCAACAAAACGGACTGGCACATTTCGTGCACAACATCTTATTGCATCCACCCATTTTCTAGTAAAAAACAACAAAACAGGTATTTAATTTCTAGTAAACCACGAAAATGTTTAGGGAGCAATAGCGCAAATCACATAACAATATCGGTCGCTTATCGGGGAAGAACATACAAAAACTCAACGCAATCATTGGTGAAGATCTCGCGCTCTGTCAGCTCACAATGTCGGAAGCGTTTCTCACAAGACATCTGGGCTCAAGTACGTACTGCCGCATATTCCAAGTTCCAATCAGCCAAATAATACAATTCTCAATATGCACTTAAACTTTCATAACATCATCATGATTAAAATTACGATGTAACTTGGTTAAACCGAAATTTTAAAGTGATACTCCATGAGTATCGACCGGAGAGCAAGAGACACTTATGAACTGCAAGCTACTGTAATTCAAAACATCCCTGAATAAATATCTGGAGATTAGTAAACCTTATTACTTATGTAATTACAAAATTTCACTAATGTGAACACAGAATAGTACCGTGAAGATAAATTATGTGATACTATTGCTCGTACATTATTTCATTAAAACAATTTTACGATCAAATGTATTATTGCTCCAACCATGGCATGAACAGCTTTCCGAAGTACCTCGACAGGAAATTTGCATTTCGGACACGGTTTAGAGTTCTGCGACACCCAATCTTCCGCTTTGATTTCATCACCAAGGTTTTTCAATCGCGTTTTCCCGTATCGTTTCTCCATGCTAAGCTTCGTCTGGCTGTCAGCTTTCTCGTATTCATCCACGATTAAGCGCTTTTCACCATCCAATGGGCACGGCTCGATTCCGTGGTATCCTCGGCGACAGTTAACACAGAAAACATAGGCGCATCCTGGACAGCGTCCGGCGTCGCTTTGGCCCTCTTTGAGCACGGCTTGATTGCACCATGGTCGTGGACAGTACACGACGTCCTGCAATTTCCGAAAGAAACATTAAAATAAATCTTTTTTAAATGTTTGCATTCGCACAATAAAGCTGCTTTTATTCCAAGCAACTTTTCTAGAAGCGAAACTGGATTGAAATGAAACGTCCAAAGATGAGTCGTTTGTACTGCTTTTAGCATTAGTGTCTACGCAGTAAATTCGAAAGAATAATGAATTATTTCGACATAATAACTATGGCAAAATGGGATTCCTAACCAGTAAAATCAACTTTAATGTGCCGATTTACTATTTACGATGTCTCTCATCAGCATACCTCCATTAAAGATAACGCATTATCCAACTGGAATTTCTGATAGCGACTCCAAAACACCGGATCCACCGACGCCTCAATATCAAAGGGATTCAATTCTTCCGAGCATTCCAAACACTGCAGCTTCTGCACCGATCCATCACGTATCAGACTATCACACAATCCCTTCATGCAGGCTTTGCAGACGAAATGTCGGCAGTTGGTCAGGCGGATGAAATCTGTGCCCGGATGCGTGTCAAAACATACATTACAACGATGCGTATTCTGCTGGAAGAGCACCACGGTCCGGTTGTCGTCGTAGTGCTGCAAAGAGCGGAGGAAGTTGTCAGCGTGAGGTACCAGCAGCAGATAGTTGGACTCCATTTTGGCTATAGTCTCGTTGGACTGGGAGAAGCTTTCTCTGGAAAATATGGGAAGGCACGGGGCTGTGAAAGGAAATAACCGGAAGCTGGCAGCGAGGTCGGAGACGGACTGGAAGAATTCGAAAAGCACGGCCTGGTGGCCATTCTGATCCCATAATACTTTAACGCGGTGTTCTAACTGCTGAACCTGTAACACATCTCGTGTGAAAAATCAAAGAAATCATAGCTATTACAGTACTTAAGGATTAGTTTTACCGTGCGATTAATCCGCGATTAAATTAATGCTTACGATATTTTGTTACAAATTTAAAATTCCCGTATTTTAAAACAGAAAAATAAAAACAGTTAAAAATAGGTAGTCGAAGTTAAAAAAGCAGCCGGTTAGCCACAGCACTCAGTCATTTCAGTGTACCTGTAAATTCTGTACGCAACAATCAACATGACTGTATCTGTTACAGTTACACTTACACATAATTATTTATTTCACGAAAAAAGCAGCAAAATTGAAGCAAATATTTAAGAAAAAATTTGAGCCGAAACGTTTTACCAGACGTCGAGGGATCCAACAGGCTGTAACACGAATTTCGGGAGAACAGTGCGAAGGGTACCCTTCAGGGTAATGGAAATGTATTTGTATCGGAGGCAGATACGATAAATGCGAATGCAGGCCTTTAAAGTCCTCGTTCAACAATTTCGTCTTGTCCTGCAATTCCAGAAAATCCGCTTTTATTTCTATGAACACTGATATTGTTTTCACTTAAAACTGTACAATATCCTTCGAAATTTTAACAGAAATATAACAATAGTTTCGGGATAGTTAACGAAACGCAAAGGGAGAGGGGAGCAGTGGAGTTCGTTCATATAGATATTCAACTTTTACACTCACCTCCTGGTCTTCAGTGTTCAACCATTCATTCAGCTTTTCCACTTTCGGCGGAGAATCCACAATTATAGCCGTGATACCCAATTCAAAAAATGGACAAATCTCCAAAATCCCACTGGCATTTTCATCGGATTTCCGAAATTCTTCAGGAGACAACAGTGATTCCAAGCAGAGAACTTCGTCTCGCTGCAGTTCCAGATCTCCTTCGGAAGGCATTGCTTATGATCGGTGTAACTGACTAAGTTTTGAAATTTGAACCACTAAATCTTGAGGAGTATGGCAGTAACCAGCTTTAAAAGTCACAAAATATAGCAGCTATAAGCTCAAAATTTTTACACATTTATGATTTATCTATTTTACAGACAGAGTACGAGTATAATAATAATATTCATATTTCAGCTGATTTCATTCATAACGAGCCATTCCGCTACACTCTACAGCATGCGTAAAAAGGCTGGAGACTCTACTGTCTAGTGTCTACTCTAGAGCAGAAAGCGTCAGAAATCGAGACGGTAGACGAGATCATCACGACTGATCGAATCCTGCTGGAGGGTTGGGATGCGTGTTATTCACGCAATTCGGTTCATTTAACGCACTTAGCGTCTTGTTCAGTGACGGCGTTCACACATCCACTCTAACATGAAATCCATTGGAAGTGTCAATACATTGGAAGTGTCAATCCATGAAATCCATTGGAAGAGTAAGTATGAATACGCAAATAAAGCGAAAAACGTTCGTTTTGTTCTTCGACAGCTAAAAGGGTATCTGATAGGAATTAGGAACGATATTGAAAAAATCATAGATTTTAAATTTTTAGTTTGTTATTGTCAATGCATACTTTCAGATTAGTTGATGCTCAGGTACGTTTTAACTTCGATGCTGTAATGGTGAGAACTAACGCTTGTAGCGGCAGCACATTTGCTAATCTACGGCTTCACAGTCAAAATTTAACAATTTCTAGGAGTGAAAAACCTTTAATAAATATCGTAATAAAAGTACAAACTAAGTATCAAAACGAATGAAAGTCTACTATTACATTTATTTCCAAGTAGTGTGTATTAACTCTGCTATAAAAAAACTTCGTGCAATGCAACCGCAAGTGCACTGTGTAAACGCACAGTAACTATATAATATTATTTTTCACATTTTGGTCCTTTTTTCCCAATGAATAAAACAAAAATTGCATCCGCACAAACGACAGCGCCAAAAACTAGAGTAGAAAAGCCGCTTGAAAACTCCGCTGTAAATTACAGTCTTCACACAAATAAATTCTTGACGGCACTTACATAAGCACTTAGGTTAAGACTTTGATTAGAACTAATATCAGCACTCGGGTTAAGACATTGATCATAACTAACACCAGCACTCGGGTTTACATTCCGGTGAGCACTAGCAATAGCACTCTGATTAAGACACTTGAAACTAAGGACCACATAAGCACTACAGTTGCAATTATCCACCGTTGCGTTTAACCCCCGGAAGATTCAGGTCCATAAACAGATTCTAGATTTTTTTCTGAATTTTTTCATTAAAACTATGAACTAAGGAAAAATTCTCAAAAGATGTTAATAAATCATGGTTTTTAATTCAGAAGCCTGAAAGTTTTTCGTCAGTGCTTCATGATGGACCCACGGTCGAGATGGTAGCCATTGAGCCAAACCATTCTACAAGCTATTTGAACCGTTGCTAATATTTCAGCTATTCATGTTTTACGCAACGATCTTAAATTCTCAAATTTTTTCATTATTTATTCAAAGACATGGGCATCGTTTGTAGAAATATTAATATTAACTGTTTATAACAGAATTTTTTTGTTTTTAAAACGTTTGTTTTGTTTAGAACTAGAGAAGAAAATTCAAACAGGTGTTTTTTTAAAAGAAAAAAAAGTTGCTTCAATTGTTGGATAATAGTAACTGTTCAAAAAATGGCTAGCTTTTCTTCTTTTTGAATGGTAGCCATTGAGCCAAACCATTCTACAAGCTATTTGAACCGTTGCTAATATTTCAGCTATTCATGTTTTACGCAACGATCTTAAATTCTCAAATTTTTTCATTATTTATTCAAAGACATGGGCATCGTTTGTAGAAATATTAATATTAACTGTTTATAACAGAATTTTTTTGTTTTTAAAACGTTTGTTTTGTTTAGAACTAGAGAAGAAAATTCAAACAGGTGTTTTTTTAAAAGAAAAAAAAGTTGCTTCAATTGTTGGATAATAGTAACTGTTCAAAAAGTGGCTAGCTTTTCTTCTTTTTGAATGTTTTTTTTTGCTCACAACTGAAACAAAAAATTCAGAAGTTAAAAAGTGAAAAGTTTACTAAAGACGCTTAAGGCTCTACTTAACAGAATTTTAGAGACATCTAGATTTTGTTATTTACTCAAGTTGCACCTTTCAACATCACTAACATGAGCACTCGGGTTAAGATTTTGATTAGGACTAACACCAGCACTTAGGTTAACACTCAAGTAAGCACTGACAAGAGTACTCTAGTTAAGACTTTTGGTAAAACTAACATTAACAACCGTCAATTGCTACGATGCACTCTCATAACGGCTAGCTGTTATGCAACTGCGCCAAATATTGAAGGCAAATGCACAATAAATGTTGAAGTCTCTTTGCAGTCTCTTTCCAAGCATTCTCGCAAATGCAAAATTGCAAACCAATGGTTCGGTGCAACTGTGCCAGATCAGGCCACAAAAAGCGCTAGATGCCAGAAGGGAAATCTTTAAATGGATTTAATTTTTTGCTTCAGAACAAATATTTAAACTGAAAAATGTAAAACTAGTCCATTTTAGAGCAGTTGCTGGCGCGAAGGCTAAATAAACCGACCAATCGAAACATTTTTGCCAGGTAGCTTTAATTCACGGCCGACAGCTTCTTTTCGCACATAATCCGCTATCTACAGCTCAGCAATTAAAACCGAAATCCCGAAAGAAAAAGAAAGACATTTAACTTACAAATTTGAAGCTCGCTGTGGAACTGAAACAATGCATAAACAGATTATTGATAACAGTTGAAACTGTTTGTTAAGGTGATTTCGCTACCTCGACCGAGGTCCTGGTAGAGTGATTTCTCGACCTCGACGCTAACGAAGAAAGTTCAGTCTTTTGAACTTGAAAACGCTGAACTGGAACATTTTTGTTGGGATCTTTTTTTTGATTGATAGCCTGATGGAATTAAGAAAAAACTGATTCTGTTTGGACCTGAATCTTTCCGGGGTCAAACGCAACGGTGGTTAATTGCAACTGTCGTGCTTATGTGGTCCTTAGTTTCAAGTGTCTTAATCAGAGTGCTATTGCTAGTGCTCACCGGAATGTAAACCCGAGTGCTGGTGTTAGTTATGATCAATGTCTTAACCCGAGTGCTGATATTAGTTCTAATCAAAGTCTTAACCTAAGTGCTTATGTAAGTGTCGCCAAAAATTTATTTGTTGTGAAATCTGTAATTTACAGCTGAGTTTTAAAGCGGCTTTCTGCTGTAGTTTTCGGCGCTGTAGTTTGTGCGGATGCAATTTTTTTTTAATTTATTAAAAAAAGGACCAAAAGGTAAAAAGTGTTATTATATGGTTACTGTGCGTTTACAGAGCGTACTTGCGGTTGCATTGCACAAAGTTTGTTTTATAGCAGAGTTAATACACATTCCTTGGAAATAAATGTAAGAATAGTAGACTTTCATTCGTTTGTTATTTATTTTGTACTTTTATTGCAATACTTATTAAAGGTTTCACTCCTAGAAATAGTAAAATTTTGACTGCGGAGCTTCCGCTACAAGTGTCAGTTTCTCACTATTACAGCATCAAAGTTAAAACGGTCCTGAGCTTTATCTAATCTGAAAATATGCCTGACAATAACAAACAAAAAATTTACAATCTATGAATTTTTTAATATTGTTCCTATCACATACCCTTTTAGCTGTCGAAGAACAAAGCGAAAGTTTTTCGCCTTATTTGCGTATTCATGCTTTCGCTTAAGCTCTGAACAGCGACACTTCCAATGGATTTCATGTTAGAGTGGATGTGTGAACGCCGTCACTGAACAAGACGCTAAGTGCGTTAAATGAACCGAATTGCGTGAATAACACGCATCCCAACCCTCCAGCAGGATTCGATCAGTCGTGATGATCTAGTGAGACGGTAGCGCAGCTGGTAAAGCGTATTTGCCGCCTGCGGGCGGATGGCTTGACAATCATTTGCGGTATTTGACGCGGGCGGCATGCTATGGTCGACCAGCCCAATAGTGAAATTTTACATGATACTGAAACGATGGCCACGACTTGAATTTCAATAAATATAAATTATTTAATAAAAATTATGTTAACTATTGGCAATTTCATGGCTTGAGAAACACAAACGTCATTAATTGTTGACACTTATTTTAATCTGGATCTGTGCCATAATTTTACATAAAAACACAGCCGTACTTTGCGATTATTTTGCTTTATTCGGCTAATTGTTTCGGAAACCACCTGCGATGCGCAGGCCTAGGTAATTCGCAGACTGCGGATACTTTCACGCATTATTGTGATTTGCCGAAATTCACCGACATTTCTGCTGTACATACCGTGTTTGGATCGCTCATTTACACCGTACAACATGTTACACGTGCTTTGTGACTTTGTGTGCTCGTGTTTTGTACAGGAAACGTAGGTCGTAGTTCATTTTGATAAGGCAGACTGCTTATACGAAGGCACTTAACACTTCTATGCACTTTTAACTGCGCCAGAAGAGCAGTTGTACTAATATCCAATTAAAACTAATTGCGTAACTCCCGTTGTTTGAAAAATTATGGTTTTGAAATTGGTTATTTATAAAGAGATAACCAATAATTATTTTGGTCGCCGTTTTCAAATGGGTTTTCAAGGTGACCATGCAGCTCTACTTGTATATAGATCTCTAACTGTGGTTATTCAACTGCCAAACAATCAAGCAGACGTACCTAGTTGCAGTGGAGAGATGGGTAAAAATAGAGCCCGTTGTTGTGCTGATTGATTAATTAGTAATTTCTCTGCCAAAAAATCGAAGGCAATCCTTATCAAGGTTGCCGATTTTCACAGATTTGTACAACAAAATACTTTGACATGACGAACAATAAACAATACTATTTTGCATGTATCTACACTTTGTCCCACTCCGATTACGTTACAAAGACGCTCGACAGATTCGTTTATTGATACATACCGATTTCGCCGTAGTCATTTAAGAGTGATCGCGATGGTACCCACACAACAGCAAGACAATCACCCGTCAAGAAATACACCGATAAAATACAATGCCTGCACTGTAATCTGCGCTAAAGATGCGCAACCACCGGCACCGATATATATATTTGTCGCCAATACGCTCTGCAACCTCACTCAAAACATTCACAATTTCTAACCGCCAACATGGCCACGCGCTACATTGTTCTGATCGCCCTGTTCGTACACTGCGCCCTGGCCGCACTCCCCCCGGGCTACGATGGCCTGTCCAACGACGGCAAACGGGATGCTCTGTGGAGCCTGATCAATGCGCGCCAATACAGCGGCGCTTATCCCACTGACAATCCCGGGGTGCTGAGCATGCCACAGCTCTTTGTTCCCTCCTTCCTAGCTGCTCGCTTCACCACTGTCAGCGATGAGCTCGGTGACCCCGGCCGCCAAAAGCTCATCCACACCTACGGTGCCACGGCGAAAGTGGAGATGCGCATGTTCGCCAACTCCACCTACTCTGGTGTTTTCAAAGCCAACCACAACTCCAAAGGTCTCCTGCGCCTGTCATTGGCCAAGTTTGACCCGGAGGCTTTTACTCCCGGTATGGCACTGAAACTGTTCGTCCGCAACCACCCCTCTCTGAACATCATCGCCATGTTCTCCCTGGACGGTCAGGGTACCAACCGCAACTTCCTACAGAATCCCTTCTGGAACGTCATTGCCGGACCGTCCTCGCTGGCCCTGAAGATCCTGGCTAAGGCTTTTGCCCTGTCACTTCACTTACTGCCGGGTGACAGCACCTGGGATCGACCGGAAAAGGAGGAGAATCTGCCGCTGTATGAGCACGCCTGCATTGATTCGGACGGGAATGTCCCGGCGGCGATCCGGGCACCGTACCGCATCACCTTCACTCCCAACCGTGATCTGGGCTGGAGTGCCTCGACTCCCAACGATTTCCGTACGCATCTGGCGCAGATCCCCGTGGGCTCGGTACTGCAGACCATCTCGGTGCAGCGTGATGTCAATGCACATGAGGAGATTATCGGACAAGTGGTAACGGAAAGCACCTTTGTCGCGACTCCCTATAACGATGAGCAGCTGTACTTCCAGCATCATGCCAAACGTTGGAGACCATAAACATACATAGTGGCAGGAGGTGACCTTTAAGCAATCATCTCATAATGGACATTGTATAACTATGTGCTGGCTATTAAAATCAAATAGTTAATGTCGAACGCTTTGATATTATATTTATATCCGGGTTTTGTTGCTCGTCTATTTTCTGAACAACTGCATATAATTATATACAGTGCATATATGCACTGTATAATTCAATTTATGGTGTGGGATCGGTGTCAACTCCGGTTATGTAAAGTAAAACAATTTGTTTTGGGATAATTACATAAATAGAAAGCTAATTAGTCGCATCTACAACAGCATACAGCATTAGGCATTAGGCAACAACAAGACGAATTAAAAACTAACGTCATATGTGGTATTTTTCCAGTGTAGATAGAAGGTTTAACCCTGCACCACCTTGCCTGCTTACTGCACAGTTGGTAGCAAACATCGATCCATTGGACTGGTTAATGGACTGCATAATGGACTTAACAAACATTTGGACTGATTATTTTCAGTTTCTAAAACTTCCCACAATAAAAAAGGCGTTGCTATTCTGCGTTCAAAAATTATAGATTTCATTTCGATCGCGAACTTTATGGATTTGTCTTTTTCATGAACATTTCTGACATATTTGTAATATGTCCTCGCAGTCAGTGCGTTATATGATAGCGGAAATTAAAAGCTTCTTGTAAAACATCTGACACTTTCACCTAGAATTCAAATCGCGATTTCACCGACATTTTGATTATCGGCAAATCTTTCGGCTTATCTGCTGCCGATTTGCTATTCTGCAGTTTATCTGTGTTAATTCCGCACCTACCAAGAATAACAATACAAACTGTATTGTACAATTCAAGATAGCTGTTACTGCCATATCCATAATTTCATACTCACATTAGTGCTCACAATAACAGTATAAATGTCGGAAACACTGTAACAATATACAGATTCCATATGCCTTCGCACGAACAAGAACTACTCCAATATTGTACATGTGCAGCAGCGTGCTAGTAGTTATAATCACTAAGTTAAAATTAATTACTCAGTAAAAGAAGGCTCCGTTACATCAAATCTTAACAAACCAACCCTTTGCGCGTCCTTATGGTTGTCCCCGACTGGAGCTCCTGTAATAGTGTAATGCGTTTGTTGGTACTGCAGCACTTATAAAAGCACCTAATTAGAAATCAACATACGAAACACTCGTAAGTGTTCTAATAATATTTCTTAGGCTTTCGCGAAATTAGGAGTTCCACAGCAGCTACAAACGGCATAAATTTATAAGGGTAAAGTAGAATAATGAATTCGGCTTCTTGATTTCCCAACATTCCATGCGTGCACCTTATTTCGTTGTCAAGATTAACGCCTGCCTGATCCCGCCCATATAGTTAAAATATGAATGCCCGATAATGCAATGCAAATTGCAATATCGCGCCAATAATATCGTAAATGTACTACGGGCTACTTCATATTATCGTTATGAAGAGAAAAACTGGGCATGCTTCACACCAGCAAAACAGAAGGAACACAGATGGCCTTTTATTCTTATTCCGATGCGGTGGCAAATGTCTACATTTGCCCCCATAGAAATCAACCATAAACTCGGCAAGTTGAATAGTTAACAATACCACAGCTCATGATCAGCTTGGTTAAATCTGCAATCAAATGGAGGAATTACCCAGCCGAGTCAACTTGTAAAGGGTAGCCTATAGGGTGTTAATAACGATTTTGGGCCGTGCCAGTAACACGAGGATTGTCAAGAGGCTTGTGTGTGCTATACGGTAGAAAAGCGAAGTCTATTGAATATATCAATCCACACAATATAATAGCCGAAACAATGCAGCCGTGCATAAAAGCAGTAATAAGAAGGCAACATTCTTGTCAGCCACGAATAAAACTCAATCATTTTTCAAGGAGTTATGGTGAAGTCGGCACCGGCAGACACGAGTTGAGGTACTTCTTAATAAAGCCGGGATAATACAACACTTGGCTGCCGGAAAACGTATATTGAATTTATGAAATGATTGAGTGTGATTTTCCGAAAAAGCCATCGCGCAACTGGCCAACGAGCTAAGTAATCGGCATGCCTTCTTGACCGTTTCCAAAAGCGCCCACAGGCTCACTTGAACAGACTTTTACCATTTCTTAATCAACGACGACAACTGCTAGTTTTTTGCGCTCTACTGGCGCTGTCAACACTTGTATTACACTCTTGAGTCGATCAGAATAAGGCAATAAAGAACAATTTCCGCCGACTTAATCGGTTAGTATTCTGGCTGGTCATTCAACAGCAGTCAGTAACTCGGTGGCTAATTACTTAATTTCTCTTGTTTGTTTCGTTATCCCTGTAGCTTGTAGTCATATTATGGCAACAACGAACCGCAGCACACAAAGACAACGAAGGACAGGTTATAAAAGAATTTTGCGCCAAGCTGAAAAGCTACACCTTTCATTTTCGGCTTTGCTGATGTAATAACCGTAAGCAAAACTGCGAAATAAGCTTATAACACTGCTATACCAGTAAGCGGTGCCAATTTCGGAAGGATTTTCTGTTTCTGGTGTCGCAGAGTGATTTGTAAAATGTTTTTGCTGAGAAACACGGAAACAATGCATAAATTTGCACGAATGAAAGAAATAATTAAGAACTTTCGTTTGTGCTGGTTAACCTGTGCAAAGACACACAAAAATCTGAGCATGATTACATATAAAATATGAATACTGGATCCCTCATAACATTAAAGAAAGATGCGGAAGCAATGGAGTGTCGTATTATCGGTATTCTCATAATTTGTAAATTGAACGGTACCCGCTTCGGAATAAAAAAAGCTTCAAGCCAGTTAAGTGTGTTATTCGCTTGACCATTCGAAAGGCAAGTGTACAATACTGGTGCCATCCTGCCCATCCGATGCGCCGCTTGGTTAGACTAGTACCCTCAACCGTCAATAATGGATTTTTATCATAAGGCCCAATTTGGATGATCGTTGTTTTCATATTTGATCTGGGCTGATTGTCGAGCAGGGTCAACCAGCGGTGCGTTTTAGCTACCGTGAATCACGAATTCAAGTAGCGGCTCTTGTACGGCAATAACTTTATTGGCACTTTCTATTAAACAACCATTCTGTGCGCAAAATCGGAAAAACGATGTACAGAAAGGCAAAAGTGTGTATTGTTGGCGGCTGGGCAGCCAGCGCGCTTTCGCGCTCTTTGCTTCGTCGGTACTCCATACCGACCAATCAGCGTGCACACTGAGGACAATGTCTCAAGCACCGCCCGATAGATTTGCCTTCTATTCGTCCATCAGCCGGAATCAAATTAGATGTCATTTGCTTAGAGCCTTTTAATGTTGTCTAGCTATTTACGTGGCTTCTTGTGAATTGAGAAATTGTGCAGTTGTGTTGAGTCCTGGCTTTAGATAATCTATCGACTTTTTCTAGCATTTCACAGATTTCTCTAGCCATTTTCGCCAACAGTGCCGCGATAGATTGCCAAACATCGCCGGAAGTCACCCAAACCAGACGGTTTACGGATTAGCCACCGACTACCGAACAAAGACACAATAAAAATGTCTATTAACAAAGAATGTGGCTCCGTTTCTTCATCCGGTAAGCAAAAACATATTTTTTTAATATGTGAAAGCTTAATCCCGGCTAATTTTGCGCAAAAGTTAGGTAGTCATAATAGATTGTTAATCAATTCAAAACAGAGTCAAAATTTTGTTATCGTTGTAACTTTGAAAAAAATTTCTACTTATTAGCCCTAAACGTCGATATTAACTTCATTTATAAGAGAGAAAGTTGAGCTAATTTAAATGTGTGTTGCTTTGTGCCAATACCATTACAGGCATTACTCGTAAGAAAACTCCTTAGAATTACAGTAAGTACTTTACGGAACTATAAGCGATATAAACTCACATGAACAACTTTACTTCTAGTGTTTTGGTTTTGACAGTCGTATTGCGTAGAAATTTTGACAAAACCTTTCTTGCCCCTATAATTAATATAAAAACTGACTCACAAGGAATGGAGTTTGAAAGATGTGATTTTTACAGTGTACAGACACGAAGATTATAATGCGTTACCTTTACTTATTACACATTACTTACATTTAATAATTTGAGTCAAGTAGGTAAAAATTAGTATCCGGAATTTCGTTGTTTTTGGAATTTCTTTTATTAAATTTTCTCTGCATGTTTCAAGCAGTTTTGAAATGATTGACTTAGACTGGCTTTTTAAGCGCAGACTATGTAATGTTATCAAACTAAGTAATGTTTTCAAGGAACCGTAAGCACTCTGACGATTCTGTGTTCAATAATACATGATTACCCAGTTTGCAGAGTACGAGGGTATACATATCATACTAACGGTGACCTTACACAAAACTGCTTACTTTGTCTGTTTTAATAATAACTGAAACAGTGTACTTCGTGCAGGATCAAGCAAAGAAATATAATTACTCCAGGACCATTCACGAATATTCTCGCAAAATATTAAAAATTCAGGATAATTCAACAAATTCTTTGAACTTAGTACCGTAATGACGCTGATGCGTATTGAGTTAAAGTTTCAGGTAACATGATTTTTTGTAATTGTAATGCTTTTAAGTTTGCACAAACGTCGAAACAGTAGCCGAAAAGAGCACGTCAAAAAGCCTAAGAGGTGGGATGGTACGGTAATTGACGTTAATTAAGAAATTATTAATTAAATATCCAGTAGCGTATCGCAAGGTGCGATCGCGGTGAATCGCCAGGGTGGTCCCCGCGCCCAGTTAGAAGCCACTTACAAATGACTAAAAGTCTCACTGCAATAAGCTAAAAGTCAGAGACGGAGCAACAATCTTTCCGTTTTCACCACGGCTGAAGCAAATGCAGTCGACATTTGGGCGATTGACAAAAGACAAAACGCACGATGAATGGCATGGCTACCGGGCAAAAATGTAGGATTAGCGCATCCAAGCTAACTTTTGGTTGACTGTGTCAATTGACGGAAAAGCAGCACTGGCGTATAGCTGTGTTCATAACTTGCACTGATCGTCCAAAGAATGTGGTTGGTTATTGTGTCCACCAGTAATTGAACACACGGGTACCACGAATGATCATAATATACACAAGTGAAGAAAATGAATTGTTCTAGCTTTCTGCCTTTCCGATGAATCGGGCCCGTCCAAAGAAAAGTCGAGTCGACTCTCCATTGTTTGTCACCTGGTGAATACAGCAGCACGCAGTAAAGGTCGATGGTAGGGGTGCTAAGAAAGTCTGTTACCAATTGGTGTCCTTATACACATGCTCCCATCCTCGTGTATAGAGCTTTGGCCATCAAGTGCCGTTGCGTAGGACGCGGAACAAGGCCGGGATTAACACGGCTACCCCCACCTGCGGATTTGTAACATGGGGTCTCTCCCTTGACCCATTCATGTTCCCTTTCATTCTAAGCACATTTTATTCTCCCCTATTTTCTCTAGAACAAATTGCTTTGTTTGTAATTTACCAACTGAAGCATAATACTAATATATTCTGTATGTGTGCTTTTTCCTCCTAGGGCGGATACTGTTTGACATTCCATGCAAAGTCTGTTCGGATCATTCTTCCGGAAAACATTATGGCATTTATGCGTGCGACGGGTAAGTCTTTCGCCTTATGACCAGTGACCACCGTGCGATAATTAGGCTCCAACATAGCTAAGCTACAAACCCAACAGCGCAATGTACTTAATCCCATTTATACATGACAGTAGTTGCTTATAAAAAACAAATAAAAAGTACATTTTAATTTTACAGTTTTTATTGATAGTTAACTGCAATATGAATTATATGATGCAGTCATGAATAATTCCATCAAAGCACTCAAATTAATATCATTCTATGTGTCCTCGTAGGCTACTTCTACGTAATCTCGTAAGTTTTCGCAAGTATGTACAACTGTTCGTTTCTGCACTGGAAAAATGCAGTCGATTAACTACATGTTACATCTCTAAAATTGAGCTTCATCGGGCAAGTTCTTTAATTATTCTTTTTACTGGTCTTGAGATTGTGATTTGTGCGTCACTTTCAAAAAGTGCCGGTACATTGTACTGTACAACGCAAAGCGTATTATCCCAGACAGCGATGACTGAAACTGCAAAAGGCTAGCAAAGTCTTCAGTGCCGCATTATTTTGGAGTCCATCGTATGCAACCTTCTAATGTTTCTCCAACAAGCCAACATATACATGTACAAAAACCTTTGTCAGGCGATGTTCCCAGCTAGCTTTCCCATGCATATTGTGGTTGAACTTGAAATCACATTTATCCAACACGACAGAATGATTTTCTCAAGGGCTGTTTCTCCATAGTCATTTGAAAAAGCAGGATTTCGCTTTCGACCAAGATAAACTTCTCTACCTTAACCAATAATAAAATCGTTTACAATGCATTTTGTGTCGCCGCAGTGTATTATGAAAATGGGATGTTTGGTATCAAGCCAATCTTACAGAAACTGCTTATCCGGCATTGATGAACAACAACATCACAATCAAGGTCGAATAGTTGTTATTTTTGGATTGAGTCAAGTAGAGCCAACAAGTTAGTCTGTAAGGTTGTGTTGTGAATCAAAAGAATAACGCCATGACCAGTTTTCGCGATCGGTGTTTTTTAAGAGTTAAGGCTCACTAAACACGCATACGGATTTCTAGCACAGTGACGATATTGAGACATGGGACAGGGACAGTTATTAAATGGTCAACGGAGCTAAACATGGCGTCGGCCTTTCGACATTGAATGACTCTCGATAAATAAAGAGGAGTCGCCGTACACAGCTGCAACTGGCGACACCATCAGTGCAGCGTGGTACGCGCTGCATCACCATCCGCTATACTTGACGAAGGATGAGAATCATTTAATTATCCGGCCGTTTGTTGTTGCTCATAACAATAACAGAGGAAGTTGACAAGGCTGCTGCACGATAAAGCCCCTCGTAACATGTAGTAATCTTTTTATAACTTGTTACTCCTCCTTACAAAAGGCTGGCTTCTTTTGACCTTTTATCAAACTGGTCTGTAAGTATCGCACACGAAACTCGCGGAACAACTTATCGTGCATAGAAAAGTTGAGAGGATCGTTAAACGCGTCAAAGCTAATCGAACAAGATTTTCCACACAATAATACTTGTCAAATTCTATGCGCGTACAGATTCACAGAATGCTTCAAAGTAGAAAGTATTATGAAATTTTACTAACCAGTTCGCAGATATTTACGAAGTGCAATCCAGATTGTTTTTATCTTGGTAACCTCACCTCAACTTCACAAACAGTACTTAAAAAAATGTAAACCTATGATGGTGATAAATAAATTAATAATTTAGTAATGTTTATTTAATCAGTATTATTAATTACTAGCCTCTTGTGAATTCTAGTTCGAAACGTCCGACGGTACAGATTGTACATTATTGAAAATTAGCATCTGGTATGTCGATTATTTGCTTGACAGGATGTACATGGTATTGTCCGTGTATGTCTTTTCAGCCTGTAGACTTTTGGACATGATTTGGCATATGAGCCAACAATGGAATCAATCAAGTGCCATTGTCTTACGAGCATTGACTTGGTCTTTTGGCGAGGGTATTGATGCGCACTGGGTTCTTGAGAACATACTCTGCGGTAGAAAGAATACGCCTTGTTAATCACATCACAGCGGACGCGTTAATTAATGCCATTAACACCATGCGCAATCAGCATAATTACCGCCACTCATTCTCATAGTGACTATCTTTCCTTTTTAAATTCGGTGTCGCATCGTACTTGAAAATCGTTTTAGCACTGACCTTTAAATAAAAAAATAAAACTTAAGTTATGTATAATAAACAATTCATTTCTGAACTACACAATTCAAAAACAGAACCAACGAAAAGTGAGTGCCGCAGGCTGCCGGTTAAAGTAGGCGGAGCATGAAACCTTTAATGGTATTTCAGTTTCATAGTTTAATGTAAACAAATCGGAATGTATAACATTATTATTGTCATGCGTCGGTGCTCACAAATGTTAAGGGCCTGATAGACACGAATCTTATTAACCTGCAACGAACCACCGAATCAAGTTAACTAATGAAGCATGTTTTGCCTGGTGCGCATTGTATTATGGCCATCTATTTGTCGCCGGACAATGGAGCATAATTACGACGACCTTCCCTAATTTGATTGGCGTTCAGCATGGCCCCAATTTGGGCAGGGTGATCGAAAAGGAGACCAGAGTAGAGTAGAGCGCACTTTGTCACTACAAGCACATGGACACAGAGAGAAAGATCAATGGAGTTAGCATGAATAACAAGGGCGCTTTAAAGTTGCAGTGCAGTTAGTTAAAGGTGACGTTTGTTATGTCGAACAACAATCAAGCTGAGTCGTTGTCGATTTCCACTCTAACAGACTGTGTGTATATATGCTGCCGTGGACGTGTCAAAAGCATTTTTCCACCACGACAAGTAACCACTTTTAATCAAGGTCTTTCATGTCACTGCGAAACTTGTAGCAACTTTTTACCTGGACAATATCTTTATCAAACGATCAGTCGGCATAAAAGCCTGTACAAATTTGCACATGGAGGAAATAAAACAACAGATTGCTTCCATAGTCATAGGGTAAACATAAGCCACCTGGTAAACGGTTTCTAACCAGCTCAGCGATTTCGATTGGCAACTGTAGCTTTGTAAATTGTGATGTATTACTGAAACCGGGGATGTGCTGAATTTTTGTTATTGATGCCATGAATACAATTTGCTTATTTTACACAGATGTGCTGGCTTCTTCAAGAGATCCATACGACGCAGCCGGCAGTACGTGTGTAAAGCCCGGGTCCAAGGCAGTTGTCCCGTAGATAAAGCCCACCGTAACCAATGCCGCGCATGCCGGCTGAAGCGGTGTTCGGACGCTGGAATGAATAAAGATGGTATTAAAATTTTTAAAAAATGTGCGATACAAATTTATTTTTGAATTTATAGCACAAAGCCGAGCTGAAAGCTAAAAAAGTCTGTAACTTATCTTACTCACCAAACACATTACTTTTACGGTTTTATCTGTTCTTCTTAAACATAAATATATGCCATTGAGTAAAAAGCTTTATTCAGTGCAAAAGATTGCATAATATGTTCAAAAATTTAAGGTAAAAAAACATCCAGTGCAGTGCATAACATTTAATATACTCCGTGACCTTTACAGCTGTGCAACACGAACGAGGTCCACGCCATTCTACCATTCGCCGACAAATGGCTAATTTGTACGCCGGTGATCAATCCAGTCCTGTTGATCTCCAGATAACACGCCCCGGCTGTCTGCCTTTAGCGGCACCGATGCCATCGTTCCCAGTGTCACCGCTTAACATGTCCATGAGCACCGCTGTCAGTACGGTATTCCACAACACTAGCAGCTCCTTGGCGCTACGGACGAATCCCTTTGCCATGACCTTTCCATCCGCATTGCATCGTAGTGCAGCGGTGTCCAGTATGTGCCAGCCCGTACCCAAATACCCTTTCAACTTCGGTCTCTTGGGAACGTCCATGGTGCCTAGTCTGGATTTCATGCGGGAATCAGCGGGAAATATTATTTTTATGAATCTGCACTGGCTGCGACAGTTGGCAGCGTTTTCTGCCCTTCCCCAGTCCGATCAGGTACAACTCGCTCTGGCGTGCATTTCGTACATTTCAACACTAATTTGTAGGTTTGAGCGGTGCATGTACCCTTTCGTATAATTAATGAGAAATTATTGGTTTGCAGCTTATATTAATTGAACGAAGCTGGAAGGAGCTCTTTATTTTAACCGCAACACAGCTATACTTTCCCGGCGACATTATGAATCTGGCAGCCGCCACACGTAAGCAAAATTGTGAACTTTTACTCGTTTACTTTGCTGCTTCCCAGTACCTTTGGTTTAATGTCCATGCTACAGTATACGTAAACTCTGTGAGATTGAACAACTGCAAATATTGAACGCCCGTGTAGGAACCGGCGCGTCGCGTATACTGCAAAAGCTACTGCGAATATTGAACAGTTGGTTACATTGAACACTTTTAAAGGAACCGGAGGTGTTCAGATTACACAGGTTTTACTGTATTAACATTTGATAATTAGTTATATTCAACTGAACATGCAGAAATACCGTAATCGGTAATCTAAGGAACGGAATTATGCGAACATTAATATTACATGCATATGGTATACGCATGTGGAATAAATGTGCGAAAGGGCAGTTTTGATATCTTGTAGATGATCTCTTATATGATGATCAAATACAAACAAGTGAGCAATCCGTGTTTTGCCGTTGCAGGGTATCAAAATAAATCGGAAGCTGATTACCGACTCAGCGGTATGGATCTCAAGGTTGACGCCGAAGAGAAAGCACTGGCCGACGACTTTCGATTGTTCCATGATATCATAACAAAATTCCGGCAAATGCAAGTCGAGTGCAATGAGCACCTTTTCCTGCGCGCCATTCTTCTTTTCAAGCCTAGTAAGCAACCTTTTACGGGTGTACTTAAAAGATTACGCATTTACCGGAAGCGACCGCACATTACACAATTGTCATTATACGCACAACTTAATCATACATTATTGGTACATGGTGCATTATTAAGTTGCCCTGTGAACTAATCCTCATTCATTGCGTTATTCAACAGGTCCGAGTAATAACGACGACGCGCGTCCCGCTCTAACGGAAGTGCAAATGGTATCCGCTCTGCAGGAGCAGGCTCAAATGAATCTTAATCGCTACATTCAGGCGACATATCCCACCCAGCCCAACCGGTTCGGCAAGCTCCTCCTCATGCTACCAGAATTAAGCCAAGTGTCAGCCAAGAGTCTGCAGGAATTATTTTTCAAGAAAACCCTGGGCGATGTACCAATTGACACGTTAATTCTTAATATGCATAAAGGATATGACATGCCCAGAGGACTCTGAAAATGACTGTGCCCAAATATTTCCTCTCATGGCTGTAATGCTGAATCGATTGTGCTACTATGTGCAATATATGTTTATCTCGAAACAGAAAATTGTTGTTAATTGATTATACGGTGATGGCGCTGGCGTAAGACATTAGTTATATACAAATCACAATCCTTGCACATTATTATTATGCCATCTCCTGCACAGTGTTACACTAGTAATAGTAATACGAGGACATTTGGGTGCTGTGAACTAAATTTATAGCCGTTTGCATTCAGACTGTGATATCAGTAGCGTTGCGAGCTACGGCTAACCAGCTGTTCATCGCAGCCTAATCGTGCAGGGTATGTTCACAGTAAGTTGGCATCATTCAAACGTTGGAACGGATTGGGAATTAAATGTTCGGGATTCCAAAATTTGGAATCAAGATAATTCCATGGATTCCATAATGCTTCCAATCAATAAACAATAAATAAGTGGAATTAGTAATTACCAATTAAATTAACGCAAAATGTGTTTTTACGCAATTTATTTGACAGTTTTTTCAGTAATTTCTACAATTAATTAACTCTGGCTCATCAAAATGTTCAGATGTATCACAACATACGGCGTCAGTCATAAGCCAAATAGATTGCTCTTCTACCAGTTAAACTCATAGTATGATGCTGCTGTATGTAGTTGAACTGTAAGTTATTGTTAAACTAAACAAAATTTTTTCACTTATTTCCTTACTACTGTCCATCATGAAAATTCTAAATCTTGTTCCATTTGAAATTATTCAGTGCCCAGCTGTTAACTAGCTGAATTCAATTTAACACTCCAGGAACACAAATTTGCAATTTTCAAATTGAGTCGCTGCTTACTAATGGTGTCCACGTGCATTGAATGAATTCACGCTTTTTCATTCAAATTTATCATTCAGCAGCAACAATGCGTAGAAATTATCATGCATTGAATGAATTCAAAGTATGTAATAAGCGAAAATCTGGATGACGATTACGTGATTTTAACTCAAGTTGCCGAGTGAGAGCCTTCCTCTTTATTCATAAATAAAACTTTCTGGCCAACCGCTATTGCCTGCCGCAACCGTGGGCGGATGGATTGCCGATATAAAAAAATACAGATACACCGGGCAGGTGCCGTGCCAGTTGTTTCATGGCATGAAGTATGTAGTCGACTATCGCCATTCAAACCGCCAAACAGAGTATTCATCGGCACGTTTCACTTCAGTTTTAAATCATAACATTTTACTCTACTTCATGAGATTTGCATCAAACGTGCATTACGCCAGTGCATGTGGACACCTTAAGTCTCACTAGCCTTTGCTCCAGTATAGCGCAACGAGTAGCAGTGATTCACATAGGTGTTTAATATTAAAGTATGAGAATTTACGGGTCCCGACATAAATATTTTAAAATTATAAAGCTTCCCTCACCATCACGCCAAAATCGGATTTTAGCAAACCACTGAGCTTTGGACAAACGGAATTTAAGAGCCCAGAGTCAAATTATGCAAGGTAAACTTTGTGATTTTTAACGCAAATTAGCTAAGACTAATTGAAAAAAGCCTTTGAAAGCTTAATTTTGGTAATTCCAAGGAGAAAAAGAATTCCAAAAATTCCACGTGGAATCCGCGAAATCCGCATTCCATTCCAACTGCCTCTTGGAATATGCGGATTCCGTGGAATCGAATTCCACGTGGAATTGGATTGGAATTGGAATGCCCACCCTTAGTTCACAGCACCCAAATGTCCTCGTACTGTACAGCTTTACAGTTAGGCGCACCATCCGTGACCCTGAATTAAATGTTGCGGAGACAGAGACTACTTGATAATAATAATAATACCATCAATAAACCATACTTCTATACCATCAATAAACAATACCATAAAAAACCATATTAGTACCACCAATAAACAGCTTCGTCCAAAATGTACGCTTGTACGCCACTTTTTTGGGGCAAATGTTTTTTAGCCAATTGAGTACAATTAATTATTTGGCGTCATCGGAAGATCGCCTTATATTTTGGCCACTGCGGTGCCGGTCGGCCGAAACGCACAATCATGGCATGCATATTACTACGCGGATGACTAATTCGGCACCTCGTAATTTTTTTGATCCTTTGTGAAGTTGCAACTTGCAAGTTTGCGTGCTTAATGTAAGGTAGATTTGTTTTTCACTATTTCCGATTTCGTACTGTCCATCAGTGAAAATTTCTCCCGCATCTTGTTCCATTTGAAATTCCCATTCTTGACCCAGCTTTGTTAACGGGAGTGGTGATCGTTCAATTTAACACTCCAGGAACACAAATTACTGCGAATTTACAATCTGGTACGATGCCGTACGAGTTGGTCTTTCAAGTCAGACTGACTGTTGATGTTTTTGTTTGAGCCAGTTTACGACATACTGGCAATCCGGCATTGCCTCTGTTTATCAGCGTTTGTTGTTTAGACTTCAGGGTTTTTTCGTCCTTTTCTCCGTTTGCCTGGGTTACACTACCAAGATTTTAACTCAAGTTGCGCGCTGTGAGACGCCTATACGCTCCATCATGGATGCGCCCGTATCCGGCCACGATCAAGGACCTGTTGCTGTGGCTGTTTGCTTGGACATTCGCGTTCCTCATACAAACCGGATCGTACGCATTCCTTGTCCTCCGGAAGCTGTGCAGGTACCGGCCGTACTCTGTCAGCAATAATTGTGTTAATTATTGTTGTTTAAGTCCGCTTTCAGTCTGTACACGCACATTACAAATCGAATTGCTACGTGTAAGTACCTTAAAACTACAGAATGATTTTGAATTGGATCTGTGAACGTTTCCATAGCCGATCGACTTATGTACCATACAGTTTTTTAATTTCAGAAATGTTCAACAATTCGAAACGTTCTGGATTTAACGGCCGATGAAAAAGGTGGACACTCTGCTCTGCAGATAATCACAATTCCGGATTTTGTCAATATTGATGCTCCATCTGTGAGAAAAGTAAGAATTTGACTTTCATTGAGCTGAATTTAGGCGTGGAAAGATATTTGCGCCAGTTGTTTATCGGCGACCACTCAAAGTCGAACATTTCTTGAAAATTAATTACTCCATCTGTTGTTGAAACGTGAAAACAGTTAATTACTGTTTTACTTTCGTATTATCGTAAGCACTGAAGCCTGAACAGTGAACGAAACAAAGGTACATATTTACAGTACAAGCCCAGCACGGATGAATAATGTCTTAGGATTTCGAGCATGTAAAAAGGTTAACTGTATATGTATTAAATAATGGCACGATGTCTATTACATTAAGGAGGCACGAACAAAATAAACAGGCGTAAGAAGAACCTGTTATTTTGTTTATTCGCAGTTCGCTAATTTCAATGACAATTCGATATAATAAGACATAGTAACAATCTGGGGATTTACAGTTAGCCCATGTTAAGCTAATGACCACCATGGTAACAAGCTTTTGAGTGACCACTGGACTGTGGGTAGTGGGCTTTCCAGAAAATTGATGATGCAGGAACACTCTCGACACTGAGAGGATTCTGTAGCACTTTAGAGCGGGCAGATTGGATGTGTGGAACGGGAGAAAATTGGTTACAACGGCAAAGTGTCGAGGACCCTGGTTACGTAGTTAGTATTCATATACAGTACTTACTTACTTCCTGCATGGCAATTGACAATAATGTAAAAATAAAATAAGTAAATAAAAAAATAAATATGAAATGAACAAATATGAAATGTCACAAACACTGCAAATATTCATAAATCACAGTATATTGAATAAGTCAGCCAAATCACTGTGCTCGTTATCGGAACTGAATATTTTGTAATTTCGGATAATCCAGATGTAAATAACTATAAAACGTAATGGTTACATTGGCTCCGCACTCACGGTCGGATATTGATTCGCTTGTTTGCAGGTCTTCAGTGTTCTGAATTGCCTACACTGCAACGCGATGCCCACAGCGACCAGTGGTGCGTCGGAGTGGATCACTTGGGTACTGCGCTTCGCTCAATTCCCTACCCACACTCAGCTGCGGGAATCGGATGTCGAGCAGGGAATACTACGCTTATACCGTGCTTACTGTGCGGCGGATTACCTGGGATGCGAAGAACTGCGGCGTGTCCTCGAGGGAGCTCTAAACGGCATTTATCTGGTGGTCAAAATGCCCGTCGAAGATTTTCGCCATTTCCTGATGAACAACGCAAAATCGCGCCTCATATTCGACGAGTCGTTATACTGCGGCGTGATGATTGTCCGCAAGAAGTTGGAGAAATTTTTTATGGTCACCTTGCCACGTACGAATGAACTGGTCAAAGTGCTCTGAAACTTGCAGTTTGGAGGAATCGGAAGTTGAAAAATCAGGATGCACACAAAAGAACCGACGGTTAATTGTTTTGTGTTATGCGCGACTGATCCTTTAATTATACATATTGCTTTGCACTGGTTTGCAGTTCGCACTTGTTAACCAACTGGAAGCCGTTATACAGACTTTTTACTTTATAGCAAAGGTTTTTTCATGAATAACCAGGCAGACTTAAATTTTTTACATCAGTGTGATATCCACAGTCACATCTCTATGCCTGTGAGTCTGCGCTTGGGTTCCAGACCGTTGAGCGATAATAAAACGCTTCAAACTCTTTAATGACCTTTAGGAAATTTTTGTTCGTACAAGTGAACAGATAGAAATACATCATTATTCCAATCTGGATCTACAGGTTGTAAGGATCATCAGTCTGTATAAGTATCAAAACCGGCGCTTTACAATCAAAAACAACTCTCCGTTTCCGGAGCAAATCACTCCAGCGCACTGTGACTTCCAATCTGCTCTGCAGAAAAAATAACACCTGTACAGAAGTCTTTAACCTTACAAAAACAGCTTGATAGAATAAAGATTCAAAAGCAACACTGAATATGACAAACCGATGGTTTCAGCCTCTAACGGAAATTGGAAAGGAACTAACGAGGGAAATTGGAACATGGCTTTCTGGAGTCCACTGGAAGACAACGTGCCGTACCTACAGTATCAGACTGTACAAACATTGTTGAAGCCTTTACACGAATCCAGCAATTCACGAGTTGCTACATCGTCACGGCGAACGAAAACCGTAATGCCCGGTTCATATGCAGCCGGAATTTTGATGCGTTTACTAGGGTCCAGCAGCGACGTTTCCAGCGGTTCATCTTGGAAGTAGAGCATTCCGGATCGACTTTGCAACTCATATAAATTATCTGCGAAATTCAATTACAATCAGCATTTAAAAATAAAATTAATGTTGTGCTGGGAATGAAAATGAGAAAACATGCTACAACAAAGGCGTTAAATATAAAACGAAGCTTTTTATAAGCACGAATTGTGCCTTTGTACCTTTGCACGAATTGTATTTTTGTACATTCTTGGTCACTGCATATCTCTTCTGTCGCTTTAATACACAGATAATTTCCATATCCGAAATTATGCAATTATGGTACGGCTTCGCCTTAAGTTGTGAAACTGAGGGGTAATTTCCAAAATCAATAAGAACGCTTAATGTCCCGAAAATTCCAAATTCAGTATAAGCTCCACTTTCTTTACCATGTAAACATTGCATCAGAATTCAGCGGAAACACTGTTATGCATCTTTTCAGTAATATTACAAATGCGACCGGAAGTGTGGTGATAGACGATAAGAAAGTATGACATCAAACGATTATTCAATCCAATGTTTACCTATGGTTCCCATTGGCGTCCAGCGTTTATCGTTGTGTTTCTTCAGCGTATCCACATCACCAAAATCCCTACGCGCACTGAAAATCACCCCCTTACTGCGCGGACACGTCTGAAACAGAATATCCTGCTCCTTCACCATCACGGCCGACTCGCAATCCAGCATCCGCTGCAGTTCCTCACACGAGTACGTCACATCGGGGTACATCATGCGAAAGCCCTGCCCGATGGCCTCGCCCAGCGGATGATGATGCCAGGCATCTGTCAGTTTGTCCGCGGGCGTTGTATCCGTGTCTAGACGCTGCGGATTGAGCGTCAGCACGATCACACAGCGCAACGGCAGCCACTGACGCAGAAAGCCAGCAATTGCCTTAGCGGGGACGCCACGCGTGGGGAAGAAGCGGGAATAAACGGCATTGTAGGAGATCTCCTCGGCGGCCTCCGCCAGTGTGGCGGCCGTCATGCCTGCACAGTAGCGGGACGCCAGGTACATCCCTACGCTGCCGCGGTTGGCGCGATGCGTGATGAATTTCAGGTGGGACGCGGACATTTCGTACGAGACGTCGAGCGCCTCGCACATACAGTAGATCCCTACCAGGCCACATGTGGACGGAGGTAGATCAGCGGACTTCAGTTTGGCCTCCAGAATCTGGCGGGAACGATCCACTAGTGATGACATTCTGTCTGTAACTGAAAAGCGCCATCGAATGTCAGAGGAATTCACTGCTGTGTTCTGGTGCTTGAAGAACATGTGATCGAAAGATACTTGAGTATGCTGGAATACAGTACCTTATTGTATCCTGTGTTAACAATGTTACCCAAATTTTCATGGAAACCGATTACAGAAACTGGTAGTAAACAATCACATCGGAATATTTATAAGCTGGCTTCCATGCATCTAATTTTATGCATAACGATAACAAAAATCCAGGGTTCAGAAGTACAACAAGTGCAAGCAGTAACGTTTCATGTTTTATGGCGTAACCATCTCCATGTAATTTCTGGTAAACACCCTTGTACAGCCAGATGCCACCCGGTAGGCTCGGCTCGGAACTGTTATCCCTCTGACATCATCGCGATATCGTGTACGATTACGTCAAAGTGTTCGGTTGCATGAAAACTGCGGTCGTTATTTGTCCGCGTTTCTGACCGTTCTATGCAGCATTTCCGGTTAACCTGATACGGTCTTAACTGTTATTAAAACAGTAGATGCAGCAGCTCGGTCGTAGTACAGTAAATAATATTATACCGTTTTATATTCATCTATGATATTTTTACCTACTTATTTTTATTTCATGTAGGTAAGTACGTTATCGTCATAATTTATAGAATCCTAATTCCTAATCCCTAAGTTCGTTAAAGTGCACAATCCATGACCAGTTTCAAGAGAAAATTACTGCGCAATCGACAAAATGAGGCATTAGAACTATTTATAGGCATACGTACTACCTGAATGCAATAATCATTGCGTAAGTCATTTTATTTTATTTTTATTTCATTTAGAGTAGGTGTTCTACGCAATAAAATCGTAGGACAGGTCACTAACAAGGTTTGCAAAGCAATTTCAATTTACAGCTAGATACACGTACAAAAGAAAATGCTTTATAATATTCAGATTGGCGGCACGTACTGGCATTCACAAGTTTTTTATAAAAGGTCAAAGGGAATTTTCACTGATTACACAGCCTCATTGTCAGCCGACAGCGGAAATAGCCAATGGGCGGCCTAACCACGCGAAACATTTTTCGTCTAAATTAACCCATCACAGAGGCCCCATTCCCCTCGTTGGACTTCGACGCTGATCCGCTGGCGCGGATACTCCATCGCCCGTATCTCGCCTGTTTCCTGACGTACCGTTCTCCCGAATCCCGACTTGTCATCTTCCCAAAAAAAATTTACATACAATATTAAGCAGTAGTAACGGTAGACGGCTAATGCGTTGTACGTACGTAGTACTACGTACTAGCCCTTTATTTTTAAACAGCTTTACGGCATTAAAATTGGCGATAGTAAATACTGACCAACTGCACACCGACATTTTTTTAAGTTCCTAGCTGATTTAGTTGCTAAAAATTACTAAGCTTTTATGTCGATATTAATAAATTATTTATAGTTGTGTTTTAATTCTAGAAAATAAACTTTCAATGTAAAATTTTCTGTCAATCTTGTGTGTCATTCCGTTCTTACGTAACAAGCAGGCTGTGCATGATTATTCACCGCTAAAGCGATTCGCCTGAAAGAGATGGTACCGCCCAGACGCCCAGCAGCCGTGTAACATTTTGTTGGAATTTTAAATTTTTAACTTTTAGAAACCCAAATTTTCTATCATATTTTTATGACATTGTCTTTCTGTTATTGTACGTGGAGTGAATGTGAGTTTGTATTTGGATTTTAACGCATTTACTCACACAGTCATCTGGGATTTCTGTTCCTGTGGCTTTCTATCATCAGCTGAACAGCAGCATAATAATTATCTAGGAACTGGAAGTCTTTCAAAGCACCCTAGTAAAATTCCCCAGATCTTACTGGTGGTCCTGTTTGTGAAGTTCACACTGTGAACCACTACGGCTAACAGTATTTGGATTTGTCTCCAGTTCAAAATGCCTCAAATGGATGGTAAGCCTTTTTTGGGTTAACGTGTAATCTGTTAACAGTTGCTGTTTTTAACCATTCCATTTTTGATTTGTCTGCAGATGTTCTTTTCCAGCTGAAGGTGAAGCTACGGTATTTTCACTACTCTAGAGTAGTCTCTAGACGCCATATATGCCTATCATACGATTAATATAGATTACAATAGAATAATAATATACGTCTTGCTGTTTCATCGCGACAAGCTTAGTCTCTGGATCATTACTTCTACAACTTTGTGAAATTTTCTTATTAGTTCTCATCGAAGCAGCTGGAACGATTCGCAAAGAAAGCGGAAAAGGATCAAGCAGCGCAACAAGCCAAAGTGAAAAAGGTACTTATTATTGGTTTCAGTTTTGAAATTTGTTGATGGACGCGACTGCGCATGGCAATTGCGAGGATTGTGCTCATTTTTCAGTTTGGTTTATAGGCTTTGCAGCAGCAGAACATAGAAGGAGCCCGTATCTACGCTGAGAATGCCATTCGAAAAAAGAACGAAGGCCTCAATTTTCTGCGTATGGCGGGCAAGATCGACGGTGTGGCTAGTCGAGTGCAGAGTGCTGTGATGATGAAGCAGGTAAACACTGCAATATCCGTTTCAGATTCGAGTACTGTGCGGAAACAGTTTCTGTAAAGTGTTTGCTTATTTCTGTTGAAAATTTGATTTGATTTTTTTCATTGATTGGTTTTATTTCCCTCTACTATCTATTTATCTGCTATCTATTTATTTACTTTGCTCTATTTTCATGTGCTGGTTTCTAAAATTCCAGGTCGCCTCGAATATTGGAATGGTTTCGAAGGCATTGGACAAAGCGATGCAGAGTATGGATCTTGAAAAGGCAGGTTTTTCATGTTTTTGACGGCATTTTGCAGTAGTTGCTCGTAAGTTGTGACTGACAGATTTTTTTGTTTTGGTCAAGCACTTCACGATTATTTCTTATTAAAATTTAATGCGAAAACGTTTTAATGTGACAGACCCTATTGTGAATTTTAATACAGTTGAATTTTTGTGGGTGTGCAAGATACGATAGATTTTCTCCATGGAAATGGTTTTGCTATCCGCAGTTACCGGACTGCTGAATTTCCAGATTACTGACTTACCGGATGTTGATACTGCGTTCTTTCACTAGATTCAGAAAGTAATGGACCAATTTGAGCATCAGTTTGAGGATCTGGATGTGCGATCTCAAGTGATGGAAGGTGCTATGGGTTCAGCGACCGTCATGTCTACACCCGGAGAGCAGGTGGATCAGCTGATAAAACAAGTGGCCGACGAGAATGGCCTGGATATCATGGCCGAACTGGCCAAGGCCCAACCCGACACGGCACTTCCGGCCGCATCCACATCGCGAAAAGAAAGGGAAGAGGAAGCACTCAACAAAAGGTAAACTTATATTTTGATATGTCTGAAACTTCTGGTGCTGACTCGAGTTTGTAAGTTTGTGACAATTGTCTGGCTCAGGTTTGGGGTGATGTTTCACTTTATGGAGATTCTACAGATGTTGAGTTTTCTCAATTTTGTTTTAGTATATTATCATTAAGAGATATAGATGTAGTTGCGCGTAGTGCTCTACAACATCTTTCTTTAATTTATTATCAAATCAATTTTAATACATAAAACAGTTTAAATTTTTTGTCGCTTTTTGTTGGCAACTGTGAACCACTTGTTCGACCGCTCTTTTGTGCTGTGTCCTACCATAAAGCGTTGTCTTTTCAGGTTGGCTCAACTACGAGAAACATAATGCTGTCCTCAGCATTTCGGTTTGGTGAATATTCAGCGGTTGACACAATGTTGGATATTAGGATCTTTATTTTCTTACCGTGCCGAAAATAGTTGCTGCTGCCTCGATTCAAAATTTTTATGCAAAATAGTTACTATTATTTTAATTTGTCTAACCGTAAGCCAAAGCAAATTTCGAAGCATGTGTAAGGGACACCATTCCCATTCCTCTTTACTTCACTGCTACTTTATTACGGTGGATGTGTGCAACTCTGAAGCCTCTGCTGTTGTTAAACGTTGTTCAGAATTGCGACATACCGACATTATGAAGCCTGAATTTTCTTTTAGCAGATTCGTCCTGTTCCTCTTTTGCTTCGAGTCAGTTTTTATGTTTTAATAAACCGCTTCTACTCCGTTACAACCTGTACGTGAAACCATACATGGGTAACCGATGACCAATCAAGAACGTGATTTAACACAGATCAAACAGTAAAATCACATGAAAGGTAGAAGGAAAACGAGACAGTTTGTTCTATTGATTCTTTATGTAGCTAACAATAAAAAAATCTTTTTATAAACCTGTATCACATGCTGCATCACAGGAGAATTCTTTGGCATACAGTCTCCGGATTTCCTCTAAAACCAAAGAAAGTCTTAGATTGCTTTGCTAAAGCGCAGCAGTCCCATACGAAAAAATCTACACTTGCATAGTACAATACTATGTACGTAGTTAACATTTTGCACATTCGCGTTTACCTTCCGCCAAGACAAGATCCGCATTACGCTGCGTTATAACCGCGTATAAACTTCTATCAAATTTCCGCTTCCCATAAATCCAACAATCATGGAGAACTTTGGCAAATATTTCCACTTCATCCGGTCGGCTACAAAATCCAAATTTGAGAGTCATGTCCAGCCAGGCGTTCGCTTGTATAAATGCACTCATCTTACTTGCGAATATCTTCGTCAATCGTAGCCAAAGCTTTCAGTAGTTCCACTTGTAGTGTTTGGGTTCGATCAACCAAGGTTTGTTTTTTCGACAAATTGCTGTCATTGAGGTAGACGTAGTGGACATACGGTGATTCATGAGCCCATACCGGATTCTTTAACTTGGCGAACTGCTCCGCTAAACTGCTCGACAGTGTGGTCAAAGCAGGTCCCAAAAAAGAGTCGAGTCGACGGAGCAATTCGGCATTTGATCCCACAACATCTGCATGATAAACAAATTGTCACATAAGCTTCCAGTGTATATGGAAAAGGAAAAGAAAGCGATTTTATTCATTTCTGGCTGCATCGTATACCACTACCAGAAAATTATCCGAACTACTGTAGGTATGCAACATCAACAGGAACTATTAATTTATGTACCGATTACGAAAAATTCTCGCATACCGACCGACCTTGCAAAAAAAGGCACAACGTCGTTCCCGATGCGTTATATATGGCCAAATCGTAGCGAACAAGTTCGTCAGTGTCAGCATCAGTCAAAAACGCAGAAGCAACATGAGTGTCACTGTCGCCGGAATGTAACATTCCCACCGAGCAAAACCTGTGATAGACGACGCTTGAATTACAGATGTACAAATAACAGTATCCGTACTAATCATTCTTGTATCCGAATACAATAACTGAATATTTCTGGAGAAGGATTATATCTACTTTCCAAACCGAGCAGCAGAACCGTTCTACCTTATTCTGAGCAAAACATTTCGTATTTTATATCTACTCATTTACGAAATATTTCTGGAGAAGGATTGTATCTACTTTCCAAACCGGGCAGCAGAAGCGTTCCATCTTATTGTGAGCAAAACATTTCATATCCCAAAATAAGCTTCGATTTTTATTTTTCGAACAAAATCTATACCTTCCAAGATGAGCAGCTGACTGTGGTAACTGCGCGGAAACGGAACTGGAATGGATAGCATGGCGCTCTCGGTCTACCTGATCCGGAAAAACGAATCCGCTGACATACTGCGCAACAGTCTGAGCTAGCTGTAAGTCCAAATCGTTCCTGAAAAACAGCGAATACTCAATTCAAATAAATTCCTATTCCTATTCGTCAAAAAGGGAAAAAATCATAACATACCACACAACCAGATCCCAGTATAACAATAAGGCATGTTTCACATTGCTGTTGAAAAAGTTTGAAATCAGAAAGCTAAACAAAATACTGCAAAAGGACACAAATTCAGACAATATTGTATGTCATACGAGGTACGACTTACGTGAACTGGATGCACAGTGTATTAATCATATTCTGCACATTGAGAAACACGTTGCGGTCCATCGGAAGATACGACATGGCCTCGAAACGATGCAGCATATCATACTGTCCGAAAGTAAATTTGGAAAAATACTGCAATTGCACAAAAAAATTAAATTTCAGCATCCTGGAAAACTAGGCTAAAATCCATGAAAACCCGTACATTTCCGAAGAATCGTGCCAACCGAGGCTTCAGGTTTTTAATACCCTGCTCGGACATGTCGGATGATAACTGTCCATGCAGTAACTGGAATAAAGCTAATTAAAAGTCATGACAAAAACATTTTTCAGAACAAAACGAAAACCTGCTGTCACATACGTTGTACATTTTATAAAGTCGAGTGAGAATTTTGTAGTATGTATCCTCCTGCGGCTGCTCATCCCGAGTGCGTTCAATGTCGTCATTATCATGCTTTCCAGCATCGGGATTTTGTACACCTCGTAATGTCTATAAAGGCAAACGATCTACGTTAACAAAATAATTCATCAGAATCTAGCATCCCTTATAACTCTCAATGTGGATCAAATACATATCAAAGCAACGAAAGGCCCGAGAAAAATCATAAGTAACCTAGGATAATCAAGAAAACTGCCTTCAGGGTCGCAAAAGTCATGATGATGAATACTCTCAGTATATAAAACGATTAACATCAATCCAAATACGATGGATACTGAAATACTACACTACTGCAGACCCGACACCCAAAAGTCAAAATTAAATTAATAAAAATAAAAGATTTTAACACAAAATTTTTGGATAATTCCGTAAACGCAGCGAAAATTACGGGGAAAAAATCAGTAATAATAGTATTAATAGTCGATGATTTTACTCACGTTTCAGTACTGATAAGTCATTACCGAGCTTTCGCAGGATGCACAAAAGGAGAATTCTAATTAAAATTTACGTCATTTAATTTCCAAACAGACTTTGGCGCCTTACCATGGCAAACCAGAAATCAGGCTCCGGCTGCAGTAGAATATGCAGATTTCTGGCGGTTCGCATCGATCGACAGTCGTTATCGCTAAAAGACCTGGGGGAAATAAAAGCATTCAGGAACGCACAGGAAAAAAATAAGAATTTAATCATATAAGAAAGCCATCTTCAGTTATGTGAGTCTATCTCAGAAATCTTTTCACGGTGAACAGACTATTACAGGTAACAGCAGATTCATCGCCGTAATTATGGTTATTTACGTTTACACTGTACCTGACAAATTTGGCGACAGCTTCCATGAGGCCAACATGACGAATTTGTTGGTCCATCAGCACTCCAGATGGATGGAAAAACAGTATCTTTTTCTCCTCCTAAATACATACAGCACGTTCTTCTACAGCCACAAGCCCGAAACACAGTCACACTTTTATGATGGCAAACCTGAGAACCGGACAATCATAACGACTGCTCACCTCGCCTTCTTTAGGTCCCAGATTCGAGTTGTAAACGCACAAGGATGACAATTCCAGAAGAATGGGTTTCCCATGATGTGCTACGACGCTGATCTTCTCCTTGCTTGACATGTCTGAATGGAACGCACACAAGTACGTGCGCAACTTCAGAAAACGTAAAAACAAACAGACTCTTCACTCTGTCTAATGTGCAAACCTTTCTTTACATCAACAGAAGCAAAACAGATCAATTTTAAAACAAAAATTCAATATAAAACGAAACACTAAAAGTCTTAAACAGATAAAATTACTGTACAGAGTACTTCTGCTATCAAATATAGAATATTATATACGCGGTGATGCTACAAATGCTGCTACTACAATAACTACATACATACATACACAAATGCCACCCAGCAAACTTCGCACACGCGTTCATCACAAGTGCGGGAACATTGCGATGATTGGTTGTTATGGCGTAACTTAACAACCAATAGAAATTGCGCAACTCAACGTAGTATTAACACATTAGTGACACCTAATTAGTAGCACCTAGATATTATTGAGTATATGCTATATTAAAACATTAGTGACACCTAATTAGTAGCACCTAGATATTATTGAGTATATGCTGTATTAAAATATTAGTGGCACCTAATTAGTAGCACCCAGACATAATTGACTATATACTGTATTAAAACATGGTTTGCTGAATTTTGCTAAGTTATGCTGCTAATGCTTTAATACAGCATATAGTCAGTAATGTCTAGGTGCTACTAATTAGGTGTCACTAATGTTTTAATGCAGTATATGTGCAGTTATATCTAGGTGCCACTAATTAGGTGTCACTAATGTTTTAATGCAGCATATATTCAACAATATCTAGGTGCTACTAATTAGGTGCTACTAATGTTTTAATACAGTACGTTGAGTTGCGCAATTTCTATTGGTTGTAATCACAGCCAACCATCGCGATGTTCCCGCACTGGTGATGAACGCGTAACTTCGCACAGATTGCGCCCTGCGCAGGTTGGCAGTCACATTATTATCTCGTTTTTTATACCAACTGTTTCTAACAAAAGAAAATTTTTTCGCAATGCAAACGCAGAATGTTAAAAACTAATCATGAACTGCGTACTGACTGCATAGAGCATGAATTCGGTGGACTTCTTTAGCAAATTTGCAACGTCTAAACTTACAAAGATCATTAGAATTTTAGCGTGAAGTTTTTGATAAACAAAAAATCTTGAAACTTTATCTCAGCAACAAGAGACTTTAAGTACGGTATTTGCAAAGGAGCTTAAGAAGGGCGTTAATTGTTGATCATGAACTCTTGTTAAAAACTTTGTCCCATCGTTTGGGGAAGGCTTGCTGTACACTAGTGCGAAGCTGCAGGTTTTATTAATTACATCTACCACATTCTACTTTATATTATAATTAGAAACATAGATTGGATCATCGTACAGATTCGTACTCGAAGAAGATTTATTAGTTCATTCACCGAAAGATTTACTAGTTGAACGTCCGCCCGCAGTTTTAATTAACATGCACGTACTAAACGTGAACCAGTATATAGATATGTACTCTATATTGGAATTATTTACATGCATTCTGCTTGATCCTATGTCAGCAACTAATTCCTGTTAGTTCCATGATCAGTTCGCTTGTAGGCGAGTCAATTAAGTACTATAGCTAGTGGTAATAAAAACCTATGTTCACTGCTAGTGCTTGATACAACTTTGTATGCGTGCACGTTCACTTTTTATTGAAAACAGTAAAAATTTAACTTAGGATTCCGCTAACATTAAGTGTGGAAAGAATTCCGCTGTGTTTGCGAAAAGAATTGACAAAAAACTGGGTCATCCAGTCAAATCCATAAGTCATCCCAACCGGAACATCTTTGATCCTTGCTTTAATTGACAAGGCAGTACATGCAGGCAATCTACAGATTGCTTTCTTCCCTTCCCACGGTAATCCCACTGTTTCATCTGCGTCAGATGTTGGGATCAAACAGGCAGTGACTGTCGTATTCCCAGTTCAGCTGCCAATTGCTTTACACCAGAGAATTTTACACAGACAAATAAAAGAAGAAGATTATATAAGAGTGTCCATGGAGTTTACTCAACATGCATTTTCTGACTTAATTTCATTATAGCCGTTTAGGCGGAACCGAACTCGGCGGCTGTTATATGACCTTTACAACTGGATGGTAAATCGCAAATCATTTTCTGTTTAAGAGTTTTCGTTATTATTGTGAATGCTGTAACGAATACAACGAATACAAACGAATACAACTATAGAATCTTCTTAACGATAAAAAGTTTAAACTTTACTATGCAAACAAAAATTACTAACAAAGTCCATAAAGTGTATATAAGTATACATGTTTATATACTTTATGGATGTTCTTAGTTCTTACTTTTTTTTAGTGCAAGGATGTTTTTATAGCCTGATTTGAGTAGCGTCAGTTCATATAACAAGAACTTACTACTCAAATATATTTGGTTTATAACTTTATACGTACATGCGGCTTCTTATACATAAATAAGAAGTTACATGTACATATAAATCAAACAATTTATTGCGTTTTATTAGCGAATTAGTTGCTGGCGCGCCTTTATATTCGTACTCGCGAAACACAAAAGTGATGTTAAAGGTTTTACCCTGCACATGATTCCGGCGGTCAACGGATGGCGTGACAGTCACATTAGAAATGGTTCTCACCGGGATTGTAAATCGTGACCTCCTTCTGTCCAGTATACAGCTCATTCATGACCAGAATGCCTTCTCCAAAGGAAAGGGAGCCCTATTTGACAAGCCCCTCATCATGACCCTTGGGAGTTTCTTGGCCAAATAACCACATCTTACACGCGGCAATTGCCAGCCACTGGATACCACTAAACGTTTATCCTCAGGGATCATCATGATCCCCGTCTTCAAGACATCTTATACGGCCAATAAATCGCTCCCCGCGATATCGGACACTGCGTTACTTTAGCACCACACATGTTTTTTCTTCCTAGGGTATATGTGTGTAAAATGGGTTGTCAATGGTCCTCATGGCGGGTCGAGCTCATGATCAGTGTCCTCTGTAACCGCTGTTGTGGCGCAACTGAGTGCCAATCAGCGTAACAAGCATTGCAATGTTATTTTGGATGATAGTATTACGACACACTTAAAGTTTGAAGAGAATCGCTTCATGGTTCGCTCGTCCGATAATTTATTAGCAAAGAGAACGCTGTGATTCGCGATCGCAAGCGGGGTCCCTGAAGGTTTGCGATCGGTGACCTTTCTGCCATACACACTTATTTCGGACGTAAAAAAAAGCCGGTCTGTTATTTGCGTGACATGTATGCCAGTTTTAATTAGTACTACAAAGTTCCTTTGGTAAGCTATATAAGTTAGTATAATATAACGGAATGAACGCACTGAAATCACAAACTGAAATGATCGTCGCACCGGGCCAGTATATGCGTACAAGCAACATACGAGTATCAGCAAAACACTAACCATTCAAAAAGTTCATTCAAAAAATACGCTAATGCAACTGCTAGTACACTAACAAAAATTTCTGGCGTTACTACTCATGACAATCTCTTTATGCCCCGTTGTAATTTCGACCAGGTGCAGGTGGACAATTCTTCCAATTAATCAAAATAATTTTAAGCATTCGGTTTCTACTTTTTGCAAGCATACTTTTATGTAAGATACAAATAATTTTCACATCTTATACGATAAACCCAATTATCCCATACATTCCTGGTTTTTCCTGTTGACGCCGAATCGCACGCTTTAGAATGTCCGCAACATGAAACATTTTCCTCAGTATCTGAACTGTGGGTTCTGTAATACGTTCTACCGGTGTATTTTCTTACTGCTCTAGATGTGATTACCAGCTTTTGCGCATAACAGTTAAAGATGGCCTAATTTTTACGGATTTCAAATTACATCATGCATTACGACTGTTGTCTCCGGCCCGGCGGGTAAATCGATCTGGTCTCTGTCGTGGAATCAACGATATAATCACTACGACATCCGCTACTAGTTACGGAACAATTCGCAGCTGCTGATCCCCGAAGAAGCGCTAATGTTGCCAGCTGGATGTAGTACTTCCGGTCATTAGGGAAAATAGGTCTTTGACAGGCTAACGGTGCATGGCGACCGGATCGTCAAAAGACGGCACACAGAGAAAGACCGGGGCGAGCTGCTGTGGAGTAATTATGAAAGACAGCTTGTCACGCACCTGTTGTGTTTCTTACCTTTCACATCATGCCCAAATTAGGACGTCAAAGTCAAATTTCTTAACAAAGAGCGCTATATAAGATCAAATGTATTTCGGGTCAGCCAGTGTGCGCTCTCGGCGGGAAACATTAAGAATAATGCGGGTTTTGCACAACATTCGCGGCGTATTTGTTTGCCCACATGGTGCTGCGTTTTTAGGTCAGTTTTACAATATTCTTAAGGAAAATGCTAATTGACCTACATTACGTTACTATTATTTTTTATATAATAAAATCATTCTACATTATATGGACGTAAATGCCAAAGGCGAAAGAGCTCGATGGGGTGTTAAAGTTTAGACCAAATAAGTAAATAACCCTCAACTGTAATTGTACAGCGTACTGCAGCAAACGTTTTTCCCAGCATAGATCGCTAGGTGGGAATTTTTTATTCTTGATTAATCAAATAATGAAAACTGGATGGTGGAATTTATTATGATGTGCAATTTCGGCAGTATAACCAAAAGCGTCAACATTAATTTGAAAAATGTCCAAAAAAACGAGTTGTATTCAGATTGATTTTAGAAATTGGAACTCTATAGTCTTGTGTCAATTTGGCGACGGTATTAAGAGCCACCTCCGGCTACCACTGATCTGCTGGTCAACCGTTTTCCGATGCAGTCGCGGTTGTGTACCAGTCAGATAGCACTTTAAATATGGGTCAGAAAGGATCAAACTCGCTGCCGGCATTTATTCACCTACAAATGTTTTGTCAACATCACTTAATAGATCAAATGTTTCCACACTTCCCCTCCAACCACTGTATTCAGTGTATTGTCATCAAAAGCAAACTGCTGCTCTCGATGTAAAGCCAAAGCACGGATTAGGAAGTTGTAGGGGTGTAAGGTTTCCCACCAAATTTTATGCGCAGCGAGATGCATTATTGGTTGAACAACCGACAAATAATACCGCAGAGCAATATACTGAGCAATTGTTTACGAGAACTCTGGGAAAAGACTTTCGCGGATATTACACAACGTGTATTAACTATGTTCAACAGCTTATTCTGTAACACAGATTTTTGCTGTATTCCAATAATTGTTTCAAAGGGCACTGTGCGTTACGCAAAATGTTGCCAGATAAATCTT